TTAAATTTAGAATAGGATCTAAATAATATTATTTCGAGTGACTGTGGAGTTAAATTTTGTTGACCCATATAAATTATTAATAATGCGGAAGCGTAAATGAGAATTTCCTCTCGTGCTAAACATCTTAATCATTTCGCAATTGTTGGAGGGAATACATAGTTATAATCACAACACATGTGACACACATGGAAAGGACTGTAATTTGAAATGTTACTCTCATGAGGATGATTCAATCTATTCAGTGATTTGCATGACTTTATATAATTCCCCCTTTCATTTTAAACAATGGGAATAGTTTCCTTCAAGTCAAAAAGCCTTTAAGTTATAATGTCACCAACCATTATGTTTGACTGTCTTCATCTTCTCATGTTTATGCAAACCATATGCGACGAAAGCATTCCTTTCTTTTAATATAAATTATTTAACTTCTCTTGTGATGATAATGATAAAAACTATATAAGAAATCATGAAAACAAATAATAGTAATAAATTTTGTTTTACATTGTAAAAATAAGTTTACCGAAAATCCGCGGATACAGAAACAAATTTGCGAGCATATATTTGTAATCAACTGTACTGTAATGGTGTATAAAAGACACAAACACGTATATAAAATGTTAGCCATCGCGTACATTATCCATCATCTCTTGTTGCAAAAAGAAAAATCATCGTTTTTTTGATCTTTGTCACACGACACGATATTTCTCAGACCACTAAAAAATGTAAATCACTGTCCTCGATGCTGCTTCACTTCTCTTGCTCTTGTCCGTGTCGCAACCTCCTCCTCCTCCTCCCCCACCCTTTGCTTCAACACTCTAATGCACTTTTAATTAAATCGTTAAATCCATACCCCTAGAGGGAAAATCTTTTATCGGACGCGACCCAACAATTCTTCAGCACTTTCAAAGAGACCTAGTAATTAAAGCGTTGCTTAGCAATAAGTGAAGGTGTCACCATATAGACAACACGCCTCTTTTTTAACTAAATTAATTTTTTTTAATTTTTATCTCTTTTTTGTACTCTTTTTTTGGGTCCAGCTTTGTTGAACTAGAATATGAAAAAAAATTTCGAAATAAAATGTGTCCTCCGTTAATTAATAGAGTAACGATATTTAAATAATGTAATCTAATAATTGTAACAATAATAATTATAAAAATAATATAATCTAATAATTATAAAAATAATACAATCTAATAATAATCAAAACAATATAATCTAATAATTATAACAATAATAATTATTATGTATTAAAATAATTGGTCATTTGTTTCGAAAATTAAATGCGAAATTACTTTTTACTCAGTGTCGGGTGGTAAATTTAACGACTGCTGTTGTCCCTCTTTACTCATTCACGACAATGAAATAAGAAAATTTATCTTTCTTTTGAACACATTTATAAAAAATTATTTTAATATAAAAAATATTATTATTAATTTCATATAATAAAAAAAACATTTAACTTTTCATTAATTCTATTAAAATAAAATTAGATAATTTCTATGTTTTATTTATTATAAAGTAAATAATTTTTTTTGCATTTATTAAAAGCTAGATAATTTCTATTTCATACTTTGTAAATTAATAATATTAAAATAATCGAATTAAATTATTGTCCTTAATTTAAATGTAGATAAAAAATAAATTATTTATTAAATTGAAAATAATTGGAAAAAATAATTTATGTTTCCGTCAGTTTAGTGAAAATCACAATTTAAAAATTTACATAGTAGATCATCTATATTTCAAACATTAATAAAAAATTGATAAGGCTAATAATCGATATTAATTAACATTAATTGTAGAGAGAACCAATGAAATAAAAAAATTAGATTCTAAAATGCTTCATAATTTATGCTTCATTAAATACTTCTTTCATCTTAAAAAATAGTTCTAATCAATAGTTATCCAGCAACTAATAGTCAATCACCTGTTAATAATCGATCAAGAATAATGAGCAATCAACCAGAAATGAATTATTAATCGCAATTATTAATCAGCCGATAGTAATTTAATTTATAGTTAATGATCAATTAATTTTTAAAAAATAATTTATTTCAAAAATAAATGTTTCAGTTCTTGTAATTCTAACAATTAAAAATCTATGCTGAGTGTAAACAATTATTATTTTCTTGCAAAAATGGAAAATAAAATTTTTAACTCTCAGAATAATTGTAATTAAATCTATAGCGCCAGGTTTGTTTTAAATAAATTTTTTCTTTTATTGCAAATGCCAAAAAATTTTCTGTTCTTGCAAAAATGGGAAATAAAATTTCTAACTCTCAGAATAATTGTAATTAAATCTATAGCGTCAAGGTTTGTTTTAAATACATTTTTTCCTTTATTGCAAATGCCAAAAATTTTTCTGTTCTTGCAAAAATGGAAAATGAAATTTTTAACTTTCAGAATAATTGTAATTAAATCTATAGCGCCAGGTTTGTTTTAAATAAATTTTTTCCTTCATTGCAAATGCCAAAAATTTTTCTGTTTTTGCAAAAATGAAAAATAAAATTTTTCACTCTCAAAATAATTGTTATTAAATCTATAGCGCCAGGTTTGTTTTAAATAAAAAAATTCCCTTATTTACAAATGCCAAAAATTTAGTTCTCAATATTTTTAGCTTGATTTTATGTTGCAATCTCTGTGAAAATAAAATAATTACAATTTTTAGTAGAAATAATTGAATTTTTTCACTATTTTACAATTCATGGTTATAAGAAACAAACAATATTGAAAATGATTATTGAGATTTGAGCTTCACTAGGCAAAGAAAAAGGAGAAGAAAAAATGAAAAAGAAATGTAAGTGAGAATAAGCGTCACTCAATGAGTACGAAAAGGAAGTGGGAGGAAGGGAAGAAGGTGAGGGGGGAGACGCTTCTGAATATCGCTGATAGAGCTGGATTCAAGCATGTACTTCATACCGAATTTCTGCGAGTAACCTCTGTCCTCTTTCGCCTTCCTTTTTTTCACTTCCCTCTCGATCGTCAAAGTCATTTTAATGCGCGACAAAAAAGAAAGAAACCCTGGCATATCTCTCATCTCGTGTCTTTTGATTCTTTTGCTTTTGAAGCCGCCAGTTTAATGTGTAATTTTGTAAGTTAATTTTCTTTTATATATTTGAAAACTAATGCATAATCATTGTAAATATATATTTATATTTTTTCATTACGTATTTTTTTCCATTTTGTCATAGAATATTTTCCTCTCATAGAATGGTCAAGTTTGGTTGGTTTGTTTGTGTCTGATTGGTCGATATTTAACTTGGAGGAAGGGGAACGTAAGCGCCGGAGTGGGGGCAATGGGAGTGAGAGAGAAAGACCGGAGTTTCCTTCTCGCACTCACGGTCCCCCCACTCTGACGCTGGACTCCAATTCTCAGAAGTAACACTACAAGCTAGTAACAAACCGGCAGTGTAAACGCGCTCAGTGTTTTAATATTTTTTTTAATTTTTGTTTAAAGTACATATCTTTGATAACAAAACATATATTGGTAACACATTTATTTTCATAATAAATTTTTATTTAACTTTTATATTTTTTTTAATTGTGCAGTGCAAACAAGAAAGAGTGAGTTTTTTTTAAAAATTATTTTATTTTTCTATGGCAAACATATTTTAGTCAAAAATTCTAAAAAGAATTAGTTATTAACTTTCTCTTATATCGTTTTCATTAATATAATATAATTTTCTTTAACAAAAGGATAAAATTCGAAATGTGAATTTGAGGAGAAAAATGAATATAATGCTTCCTCGACTTTAAAAAAGTTTTTTGAAAAGATCCATTGTTGACACTGCATTAGATGCTTGAATCTTTAGCTCCCTGGAGTTTCCCCTCAATAATGGGATTATCGATATTAGAGAGCCGAATTGGGTTATTAAAATCCCACACATAAACTCCAAATCAAAGCTCAAGGAATTGAAAGGAACATCATTTGGGCGTGGGATTTATGGTGAATTGCTTACAAATTTCATTGTTTTATTGTAATAATTTTAACAAAATTAATTTTTTATTTTATTTAAAAAAAATTTTTTTTTAACTTCTTTATTTTTAATTGCAACATTAGTTTTTTTTAAAAAGTAGTAAAAAGAGGAATTACAGTAAAAATTCTTTTTCTAAAAATAAATTACAATTGCACATAAGGTGTATCGGGAGAATAAAAAAAATTCTCTTCATTTGTAATGCCAAATGCATTCGCTAAAAACATTTCGAGCAGAAAAATACTTTTTACACTTCTTTTCTTTAACTGATATTTATATATATTTGAATCTTGCGGATGAAAAGAGATTTCTTCGGAAAGTTCTTTTTTCAAACAAGTAGTGTTTCGCAAAAGTTGTAATATTTATTTTCCCAGTGAGATTTTTCACTTTTCCTAAAATTCAAAATTATTTAAAGTTGGAAGGAAAATAAAAAAAAAAATTTATTTAAAAATAACCTGGCGCTAAATGTTTATTACAATCATTTCGAGCATTAAAAATTTAATTTTTTATTTTGAGAAAGAAACAAAAAAAAATTATTTAAAACAAACCTGGCGCAAATGTAAAGTTTAATAAACACTTTCTAAAAATATGTTTTTATTAAAAAAAAAATTAACGACATTAAAAATAAAGACAAGTAAAAATAATTTTTGCAGACGAAAACTGAAATGTAAAAATATATCACATTGAAAAATCGATAAATTAAATATATATCTGAAAAGTAAAAAAAAAGAAAAGTTTTAAATCGAAGGAAAATGATATATGGGAGGGTGTTTGAAAATAGAGGAGGGGGTGAGGTAGGGGTTGTTTGGGAGCAAGGGGGTAGCAGCAGCAGCTATCACTCGTCAGCTGTCCTCGTAGAAATCTACCACCAGTGCGCGTCGTGGCATCGCCACGTGCTTTTCGTGGTGACATTGGTACCCACGCGACACTTTAGTGCAAAAATTTCGTAAAAAAAAGAAATTTTTTTTTTAAATATAAATTCATAATTTCAATGAAAAAATAAAATTAATTTTTACGAAGGAAAAATGAATATTTTTTTTCAAATTACACTCTTTTTTATTATTTTTTTTGTTTAATCTCTTATCTTCGGCAGAAGATTATTATAGAATAAATTCAGAATCAGGTTTTCAAAAATTGAGTAACATAATAAATGTTAAAAAAAAATTTTTTATTAAAAAAATGGTATGGAGAAAAAATTAGTTTTGTTTTTAATTTTTTTAATCTCTTCCTCTTTCGCAGAAGATTATTATAAAATAAATTTAGAATCAGGTTGTTAGAAATTTGGTAAATAAATGACAAAAAAATGTTATTAAAAAAATTGTATGGAGAAAAAATTATTTTTGATTTTAATTTGTTAATTTGATTTTGCGGAATTTTGGAACTTAGAAATTTATCCACATTTTTTAATTTCGAGAACAATTTTATTTTAATAGAACCTTTCTGTTGTACAAAATTATTGTTATATATTTTATTTTTTTTATTTACTTAATTTTTCATTTTTCTGCTTTATTAATTTTTTTCATAGTTAATTATTTACACTTGTCATTTTGTCTCATGTTCTTAAATAATTTGGTTTGGAATTTTTTTATTCAATAGTTAACTAAATAGAAATTTAAATTCAAACTCCTAACTTCTATTTAGTAATTTTTTTTCGTTTTTATTTTTTTATCCACCGTGATTTATTGATTTTAATTTTTTTTATTACCGAAACAAAAATTAATTATAATTTTTAGAACAATTTTATTTAGAAATATGAATATTTTAAGTCTAAAAATTTTCTTACTCTGTTTAAAATGTAATAAATAGTTTAAATATTAAAAAAATATAATTGGCAGAAAGTAAAAAACAATTTCAGTGTTTATTTGCAAAAAAAATTTTTTTGCCATTCCATTCACTTATTACGCTCAAAATAATAAACAAAAATTATAAATAAAACTGATAATTAAAAATTAAATATAGAAAAAATATTCTAAATAAAAATATATAAAAAAATTATATTAAAAAATTAAAAAATATTTTAGAATATTTTATGAATAAGAAAATCAAAGTGTTGTATATTAAAAAAATAAAATTCGTAAAAAAGTGACCTGTGATTTAAAAAAAAATATATTTCGCACCACAGAACTAAAGTGATATTTATATTGTTTTTAGAAAAAAAGAGACAAAAATAGTGCAAAGTGACAAAAGTTTTTTTCCTTTTAAATATAACGACTTCTACCGCAAACAATAAGAATGATGTTCCTTTATATAAAATATGACAAAAGTGAACAAGCGGAAATGTGATTCCGTTTACTTCTTCCACAAATGTCTGACAATTTAATGAAAATATTTTTTCCGCTTGTCACAAAAATATATTATTTGGAAAAAAATATGTATTCCTGACCTCGAAATTAAAAACCAAAAATAAGAAAATATTTTCAAATTTTTAATATAAATAAATAATTAAAAAACAAAATGAAAGTGAAAATTTTCGGAACTCCAAATCTAGACACAGGACATTATCTACAAAACGTAAGAAATAATTTTATGAATTAATTTATTAAAAAAAAAAAATATTTTTAATTTAGAACTCTAAATTTCAAAAAGAAATAATTTTAGTTTAGAATTTTCTATTTCAAAAAAATAATTATTTATATTTTAATAATAATATAAAATAATAAATTATGTATAAAATTACAAATATTAAAATATTATTTTAATATTTTATTAAAATAGTATTTTAATAAAAAATTGGTTAATGCATAAGAAAATATTTACAATGATATTAATCGTTTCTAGTAACTGCGATAGAAGACGGAGTTGAAAATTATTAAATTTTAATTTAATACACATAACATTTTGGTTGAAATTTAAAAAATATTTTTGACAAAAGAATTCTGAGAAATTTCATCTTTTTTATAAACGTACATAACAAAAAAGTACGTATCCAAAACTTCCTTTTACTCTCGGCTTTCCTTTTTAATAAGCTCTTCATCTCATACTCTCGTATAACGCAGATTTATAATCCTCCGGACATAATCATTTACCATAAATTTTCTTTCTTAATTCAATCATATATAGATTTTATTTTCTAAAAGGAAAACTAAGTGGAGGGAATTATTTTTTACTACATTTTTAATAGCAAAGTAAATAAATATCTATATATTTATTTAAATGTAAATAAATATAAATATTAAAATTAAAAAAAAATATTTGTAACTTAATAAAAGAAATAAATTAATTAACGTTTCTATACTTTTTTTTCCTGTAGAATTGTCAACAGGAAAAAAATTGGAAAGACAAATGGAAAATAATTTTAAAAAAAAGAAAAGTAAAGTAAGTCAAGAGATTTATAAATTTATAATATTGATAATACATTTCTGAGATACAAAAAAAAAAATTACTCGCGAATATTCAGCGATCGCTAAATAGCAACAAACTTTTATTATGAAAGTTGTATTTAGTGAGGAAACTTACCCCCCATCCCTTCCTCTCACTCTATTGAAAAAAAATTCAAAGGGAAGGTCGCCCAACTGTAAAGTTAAAAGTAATAAGCTTCGTTCTGCAAGAAACGTACATATATATATATATATTTAAAATAGAAAAAAAATTTACTAATTTATGTAATTTTTTTTGTACCGCCTTTCATATATTTTTACTCAACTTGGAAACATTCGCAAATTTTTTTTTTAAATTGAAAAATTAATTTAACATATAAAAACTTAATTCTTAATTTGGAAACTAATTTGGAAATAATAATAGAAATATTAATTCAAATTCTGTTGAATTTGAATTAATATTTCTATTATTATTTTTATGGACAATTAATTAAATTTATTCTGCTGATTAATTTAATTTTAATAAAAAGTTGAACATGTGAATTGAAAAAAAAATAATTTAAGAAATAATATTGAGTGTTTAAATGAAGTGGGCGTGTCTGGACGCTGCTATTCTATTGGCCGCTCTTCAAGGTCATCCGAAGTTGATTGGCTGTCCTCGCTTGACCTTGAAGAGTAGCCAATAGAAGGTGAGGGAGAAGGGAGAGGGCGGGTCCCTTGATAGCGTCTCTATTCAAGTCTTAGTTTTAAAATGACCGCTGACCAACTCTAAGCTCTTAAAATAAATTTTTAATTTATTAAAACGTAAAGAAATGCTCTCATAAAACACGTAACGAAATTGTAATTAAAAAGAAAAAATATCTAATTAATACTATTATTTAAATATTAAAAAAAAGTTTATATAAAACAAACCTGGCGCTAATATAATGTTTAATAAACATTTCCTAAAAAAAATAATATATTTCTATTATCTTTATATTCTATATCTATTTATTTCTTTCTAAATTAAAAATCTAGAAAAGTGGAAATAATTCTTGCAGACGAAAACTAAAATGTAGAAATATATTAAAATATCGATAAATTTTTATATTAAAATTTTTTTTTAAAAAGTATTTTTATATTAAAAAAAAATTTACGTATTTTAATGAATTACGAATTTTTTTTCTTTGCATACAATTGAGAGAAAGCGTTTTGCAAAATCATGTCTATTACTTATATCTGACACCTCAACATAAACTGACATTTTCCGGCAAATAAACTTTGAAGAGAGCGCAGAAGGCGAATGGCAAGATTTACAAGCAGGCAGTCGAGTTTGAATTTCTCTTATGCTTTTGAAATCAACACGAAAGCTGCTTGGCTGCCGCGCACTTTAACGAACATTTGCCACCATTTTCTTCTTTGTTTGGGAACGATGAAGAAAGATGAGTACTATATAGAGTGAGGTGGGAGGGAAGTTAGAAGAGTATGGGGGGGCGAAGAAAGAGAGAGAGAGAATGAGGCGCAAAATTAAACTCAGTAAATAGGATTAATTATCTTGACAAGATTCCATCACTGAGACCATTTCTTGTCCTGAATATTTCCTTTAAAATCCGATTTATCACATTTCACTTTAAAAGTACTTTACTCGAAAGTTAGAAGTATATACAAGAAAATTACATTCAATATTATTAACTTAAATTGATAAAGAAAAATAAATTGAATAAAAAATACAAACAAACAAAAAATGAGGAAGAGAAAAAAAGGGGAAAAAAATATTTTTCTTTACTAAAATCATAATTTGACATTGATCGATATTCAACGATATGAATATTTTACTAATATACGAAAAATGTCAGTCATATTTGGAAACAAAATTTTTTATTTTTTCGAAGGAATATATTTTAAAGACATTTTTAAGTAAAATTAAATTTTAATGAGACATTTTGACGATAAAAGCGTTTTTCTTTTTTGCGTTTTATTTCCATTCTTTTAAATATTAATAAATTTTTGTAAAAATTCCCAAATTCGACAATTTAAAAAGAAATTCAAATTAAAAATTTTTTTTGCTAAATTTCCAGAAATATCTTAGAATTTTTTATAGAGAATCTCAAAAGAATCACAATTTTTAAAATCTTTTTACGATTTTGAGCGTGCAAACAAATTTTTTTGTATGTTATCTTTGATATTCGTTAAGAGTGTAACAAAAAAAGTTGCAAAAAAATATAAATTTTTGAATTATTTTTTCGATTTTGAGCGTGAAAATACAATTTTTTATATTTTATCTTTCATATTCGTTGTTCATGTAAAATAAATAAATAGAAACTATAGTTTTTTTTATAATTTCACTCAAAAAGATTGCAATTTTTATGTAAAATCTCCAAAAAATTAAAATTTTTGAAGTATTTCACGATTTTGAATGTAAAAATAAAGCTTTTATAATTTTTTCTTTCTAGATATAGCATTCAAGTACTAAAAGAAATAAAATTTACAAATTTTCTTTGTAATTACTTTGCTAAAATCTTATATTTCTTGAAAAAATCGCAAAAAAATCATAAATTTCCAAACCTTTTTACGATTTTGAACGGAAAAACAAAATTTTTCATATTTTTTTCTTCGATATTCGTAAGTAATGCAACAAAATAAATTGAAACTACAATTTTGTTAGGAATTATTTTAAAATTTTGCAAATTTTTTTGTAAAATCGCAAAAAAATTCAAATTTTTGAAGTTTATTACGATTTTAAGTGGGAAAATAAATTTGTATAATTGTTTCTTTCTACATATGTTATAACAGTACCAAAATATATAAAATCCACAAGATTTCTTTGTAACTACTTTATAAAAAACTTAAATTTTTCGTAAAATTAGCAAAAAAAAATCATAAATTTCAAAACATTTTTACGATTATGAGCGGAAAAACAAAATTTTTCATATTTTTTTATTGATATTCGTTATTAATGTAACAAAATAAATTAAAACTACAATTTTGTTAAGAACTTTAATAAGAAATTGCATATTTCTTTGCAAAATCGCAAAAAAAATTAATATTTTTTTTTTTTTTTTTTTACGATTTTGAGTGTGAAAATAAATTTTTTATAATTGTTTCTTTCTAGATATGTCAGTAATGTACCAAAATAAATAAAATCAACAAGTTTTCTTTGTACCTACTTTATTAAAATCTTAATTTTTTTTGCAAAATTTGCCAAAAAATTAAAATTTTTAAACCATTTTTACGATTTTAATGAAGAAAATAAAATTTTTAATATTTTTTCTTTAATATTCGTTATCGAAGTAACAAAATACTTCAAAACTATTAATTTTGTTTGTAACTTTATCCTTAAAATTGTATATTTATTGGGAAAATTGCAAAAAAATCACATATTTCTAAATTTTTTTACGATTTTGAGCGTAAAAAAGAAACCTTTCTATATTTTATTCTTTGATATTCGTTATCAATATGATAAAATAAATAGAAACTAAAATTTTATTTTTTACGTTCTTTAAAAAAATTAACCCTCACAGCACCGGGATATTCAGGATATCCTAGAGACGTCCTGGGGATATCGATTTGTTTTCGGAAGTTTGGATATCCCTGGATTATCCTCTGGATATCCATGGACGTCCCTAGGATATCCCAGAGATATCCAAACTTCCGAAAACAAATCGATATCCCCAGGACGTCTCTGGGATATCCTGAATATCCCGGTGCTGTGAGGGAAAGATTTTTTTAAAAAATCGGAAAAAATAAAAAATTTTGTTACATTCTGATGATTTTGAGCGTTGAAATATAATTATTCTCATTTTTTTCTTGAAGATATATTATCAAAGTAACAAAATAAATAAAATCTACATGCGTTATTTGAATTATCTTTGATAAAATCTCATATTTGTTGGAAAAATCTCAAAAAAACATAATTTTTGAATTATTTTTACAATTTTGAGCGTAAAAATAAATTTTTTTTCTTATTTTCTCTTTGACATTCGTTATTAGTGTTACAAAATAAATAATATTGATAACTTTTATTCGTAACTCTTGTAAAAATTGCAAATTTTTTGTCAAAATCGCAAAAAATTATAGTTTTTGAAATATTTTTACAATTTTTGAGAGTACAAATAATTTTTTTCGTATTTTTTCTTTAAGATTTGTTATTAATTTCATAAAAGAAATACAGTCAATAATTTTCTTCTGTAACTTCTTTATCAAAATCGTATATTTTCTGAAAAATCAAAAATATTTTCTACTTTATTTTTTACAAAAAACTCTTTAAAAATTATATTGTTTATTCATCATTTTATCATTTTTAAAAAATTTCTCTAAATAACAAAAAAGAAGCTTTTACTAAAATAATTTTCCATCGAAAGAATTTTTAAGTACGCTAAAAAAAGTGTATTTACTATTTTCTTTAATAAACGCAAATTTACAGTAAGGAATTTTTTAATAAATCTGGTAAAAATTATTTTTTAATTCCATTTAATATCATTTTATTAAAAATTAATTGAATGGATGATGAAAACATTTGCCAAGTTTGAAATTAATGATGCGAATACACGATTTCCCTCAGCTCGATTAAAAATTGTGGAAAAAAAAATTTACCCTTCTCTCTTTCTCTCTTTTTTCTTTTTCTCTTTCTTTTGCTCTCGTTACACTTATATTATCGTTTCACGCGACAACCTTTAATGAGAGAAAAGAGCTTTTTACTTTCCTAATGGATTAGCTGTAAAAATTCTGTTAACGACCTAATATCTATATAATGCTGACTTTATTTACTAGAAAAACGTTTTCTTCTCAGATTTCGACCTCTTTTTTTTTATTTAAAAATAGAGGGGAAAAAAGCAGTTCGTCTCGAGAATATCATTCAAATGTGAATTTAAATTTATTATTATACTTCTTTCCAGACCGCGATAAATGAAATTTTTAAAACAAATTTCAAATTCAAGGAGTTCTTATTAACTTTAGTATTTTTACTTTTTTATAATGAAATCACAGATTTTATAACTGATTTTTTAAAAATTATTACGTCTTCTTTTGACTTGATAATAATTAATACTGTTAATTATCTTTAAAAAATTATCTCGTTTGGTTAAAAAAAAAAAAAAAAAAAAATTGTAAATAGATGTAATTTTTTTCAAATATTATTTCAAAAATCGTTTTGTTGATGCCGCAACATAGCGAGTGATGAATATTGTATTTTCAAAAAAAAAAAAAAAAAATCTTATGGCGCTCAAAAAAAACAACAAAGAAAATTCTTTCACGATCATCGACTTTCTTTCACATGAAAGAAAATTCGAAATATGTCACCAGAATGTATGCTCTTGACACATTTACATAAACTGTCGAGGCCAACTTGATGTCAGCAAAAAAAAATAATAATAAAAATAAAAAATGCGAAAAAAAACTTAAAAGTAAACATCAAAATCCTGAGCCAAAGTGTCTATAACTATTTTTTTAAATTCTTAGATGTTCAGAAATAGAAAAAACAGAACAAAAATCTTAAATCTAAATCAGCAATTTCCATCAGAAGATAAAAAAAAGCATAATAAATAATTAATTAATTAATAATTTTTAATCTAAACTTAATCAAATAATTAATAATGTACTTTAATTTATTTATTTATTAACGGGATGAATCGTTAATAAATAATTAATTACAAAATAATTTGTAATTAATTATGTAATATATTATATAAAAAAAAGTTCATTTAAAAAATTAATTTAAAAAATTTTTGAAACATTTAATTCTCAAATTTCGAACTTTTGTTTTTCGATATTTCCAATCTTGTTTATTTTTTATTAATTTATTTTCTTTTTGCATTCATTTTTATCCTTCTTTTTAAAAAATAACATTTTACATTGAAAAACAATGTTAAATTAATTTTTCCTGATTGTAAAATTACATAATTTATTTTCGAGAATTTAATTAGGTAAAAAGAGATTATAGTACTTAATTGATCGTTAATTTTGTAATTGAAAAAGCTTCTTTTATTTCGAATTGAAAAGGACATATAAAATTTCTCCTTTGAAGAATACAATTTTTTTTTTTTTTTTTTTTTTCTTTTTTTTTGAAATCTTTGAAAGAAAAGTTTCTAAAAGTAGAGCGGTGAAAAGTAAGTGAGAAAGAGTGAGAAAATGGGAAAAAAAAAGAAAAAAAGAAAAGAAGAGAGGAAAAAAAAGAGGGAAAAAAATTTTTTCCTGATAGAAAATGCAATTTTTTGAGCAAAAAGTTAAAGATCTGCAACGGGACCTTTTTCCACTGTATATACATACACGGACGGTGGCGGTAGTCTTTTTCGTACCTATATAGTAACGTAGTGCGCCACTGGCTAAACCGATAACACCAAAAAGCTTTCCCTATTCGCGTCGTTCGACCGAGCGAGAAATCGGAAGCTGGAATAAATTTTACCTCTATATGATATACACGACAAGTTTTTCTTCTCTATTTCGAGTAAAAAAAATCAAAAAAAAGAAAAAAATTTTTTTGTTTCGCCTCATGCGATAAAATAATAACATAACATTCAAAATCAAAAGTCGTAAAATATTTTTTTATTTCCACAAAGATAAATAAATTCAGTTTCAGGAAAATAATTCTAAATTATTTAGTTTCAAACATTTAGTTTAGAAAAATTATTATTATTACTATTATTATTTTTAATATAAATAATAATTTTGTTTATTTAGTTAATTTATGTTAATTTTTTCATTTACGTACTTAATTTGTTTATTTTGTTAATTAAAAATTATTTTGTTTATTTAATTTATTTAAATTAATTTATTTAAATTATTTATATATTTAGTTAACTAACTGTATCCGTAAATAAATACATTTATTAATAACAATCTACCTGTTTATTCATTCAACAAATTAATATAAATTAACTAAATAACGAAATTCACTCAAATTAAACTAATTTGTTTATTTGGTTAATTTAAATTCATTTGTTTGTTTAGTTAATTTTTTCACTTATGAACTTAAAGTTAATTTGTTTATTTAATTTATTTAAACAAATTGTTCGGTTCATTTGAAATATTTATTTACACTAGTTACTTATAACTGTATTCGTAAATAAATAAAAAAAAATAAATAAATTTGTTTATTTAGTTAATTTATTTCGTTCATTTAAATTAAATTGTTGCTTCGTTAATTTAAATCTATTTGTTAATTTAATTAATTTTTTCATTTGTATCCTTCTAACTAATTAGTTCATTCTGTTAATTGAAAGTTGTTTTGTTTATTTATTCAATTCAAAATTAATTTGTTTATTTAGTTTATTTAAATTAATTTGTTTAATTAGTTAATTTTATTCGTTTATTAATTAAATTGAAATAAATTAATTAGTTAATTACTTAGTTAATTATTTAAACTAATTTAATTATTTAATTACACTCGATTCTTGTTATAACGAATCTCGTTACAACGTTCTCTCGTTATAACGAACATTAAAACTCTCGATACAACGACAAAAAAAACACGAACGAATTTAAGAATTTAATTTAACCAAAATTTTGGTTAACTCAAAAAAAACGACAAATTTAATCGACTCTTAAATTTATTTAACCTAAAGAATCTAGTGATCCGATTATTATTAAAAATACTTACTTTTTCTTTAAACTGATTTCATAATTCAAAAACTTTTAATATAAATAAACATACTTTACGAAAAATTTAGCACGTATTTGACGTTTGAATAGAACGTGAAGTAGGATTCTCTCCTTTCGTCGTAATATCGAGATTTTGAAGTCCCGAGATCGTCGTTATAACGAGAATCGAGTGTATTAATTAATTAATTAATTAATTAATTAAATAATTAATTAATTAATTAACCAATCATGCCAAGAGGTTAAAATCAGATTTGTTTAAATTATTATTATTGAAAAATAATAATAATTTTATTAATAATAAAAAACAGATGTGTTTGAATAATTTTTATTAAAAATAATGTAGATAAACGTCAAAAAATAGCGAAAAAAAAACTAAAATAAAAAAATATAAACTTTAAAATTTACAATGTTTATAATGAAAAAAGAGAAATTTTTTTCTTCTTGAATTTTGAATTCGAAAATAATGTAAAATTGTTTCTCTTTTTTCTTGAATTACAAAACGCAAAGTCACATAAAAATTTACTGGACTTGAATTTTTTTTTTTCATTTCATATTTTTTTTTTAAATATTAAAGACTACTTTCGCTTCCGAAATTTTTGGTATCACAGTTATCAGCATCACGTCCAGAATGATCATTGTCATTGGCATCGTCATCGCACTCCATTGCATTCTGATTATCCGAGTCCTCAATTTGAGTGTCATTTCTCGTTTCGCTTCGATGTCGTGATTGTGAACGTCTTTTTGTTTTACTATCGGTCACTTCTTTTCTCTGGTCGTGCCTCGAATTCGATCTTCTCGATCCTGAAATTAGAGAAAAATATTTTCATTTTAATTTAAAAAATTGTTTTATTCATTTATTTTTATTTATTTCCTTGAATTATTTATTTATTATTTAGAAAATACATTTATCCTATTTTTTCATTTTTTTACTATTTTAATTATTTATTTCCATGCTCAACTATTTCAATTTTGTATTTTATTGTTTAAACAATTTAAATAATTTATTTAATTAAATTGTCTAAATTATATATTTATTGTTTAAATAATTTAAATTGTTCATTTGTTTAAATTATTTAAATTAAATTCTTTTAATTGTTTAAACAATTTGCATGATTTATTTATAAAAATAATTTTTAATGTTTATTATATTATGTTTAAATAATTTAAATTATTAATTTATGTAAATTGTTTAAACTATTTTAATTATTCATTTGTTTAAATTGTCTAAATTGTATATTTTATTGTTTAAATAATATAAATTATTTGTTTAAATTGTCTAAATCATATATTTTATTGTTTAAACAATTTAAATTGTTCATTTGCTTAAATTGTTTTAATTTTATTGTATTGTTTTAATTGTTTAAACAATTTGAATTATTTATTTATTTAATTAACTTTAGTAAATTATTTTGTTCATTAATTAATTTTAATTATTTATTTTACTGTTTAATTTCTTTAATTAACCATTAATTGATTAATTATTTATATACTTAACTTTTTAACTATTTATCTAATTTATTTATTAAATAATTAATTCATTATTTATCCAATTTGTTTATTAAGTATTTAAATTAATTTATTTAATTGTCAATTAGTGAAATATATTTTTTATTAATTTACTAATTAACAAAATATTTAATTAGCTCGTGAATTGATTAAATAATTAATTTATTAATTAGAGTGGAATTTTTTTTTACCATTTTCAGGCTTCGATTTTCGATTTCGATTACGACTCTCGTGTTCGGTGGCCGAAATTTCGGAATATTTGTCCGTCATTCGTTTGTGAAGTCGATCATCGTCACGAACTTTGGATTGTTTTAGAGATGATTTTTTATTATCGGACATTAATTCCGGATAATCCTCAATAGTCGCCCTCTTTCTTCCTCGTCTGCTACTTGCTTTTCCCCTTCTGCGATTTTCCTTTCTGCTTCGACTTCCTTTTCTCTTTTTGCTCCGACTACAACCACATGGCCTTAAATTTTATTTAAAAAATAAATAAATAAACAAATATTATTCAATTTTATTTTAAAAAACATTATTAAATAAACAAATATTATTAAATTTTATTTAAAAAATAAATAAACAAATATTATTCAATTTTATTTTAAAAACATTAATAAATAAATAAATATTACTAGCAAAAAGTCTAAAACATAAAAATAGAGAAAAACAATTATTAAAATTTATTAAAAAAATAATTAAACAAATATTATTAATTTTTGTTTTCAAACACAATAATAAATAAAAAAAAATGTCTTAAAATATAAAAATAGAGAAAAAGAATTATTTTCGAAAAGACAAGATTTAAAAAACATTGATTAAAATTTTTAAAAAAAATTTCTAGTGCGGTCTTTTTAAATTTTTTTTTTTTTTTTAATTTTAAAATTGAAAAAAAATAGAAAAAATTTATTTTAAAAAAATTTAAATGTAAATTAATTGAAATTATGAAAAAAAAATTGTTATTACTGTTTTTTATGTAAATTGTTTCTTGAATTCTAAAATATAAAGAAAAAAAATTTCGAAAAGAAAAAATTAAAAAAATTGATTGAAATTGAAAAAAAAAATTTTTTAGTTGAGTATTTTTGAAATTTTTTTTGTTTTAATTACTTTCCGCGGTCGTGAATGGAACCAAGGGGATCCACGGAATTTTTCTTAATCTCATCATTAACAGGCATTTCGTTGACTTTACAATTTTCATCGAGTCGTCTTTTTGAAGAATGCGTGATTTTTGATAATGAAATTATATTTTTATAACGACCATTTCGATGACGTAATATCCCCGCAGTCACTGCGTGTTTCAATGCTCGTTGCACCTGAAAAGCAAATAAATAAAAAGAACAATAATTATTGTCAAGAAAAAGAAATTGAAAATTTTTATTTACTCTTTTTCTTTATTTTTAATATTTCAATGTTTAATGTTTTTTTTATTGTTAGTATTTAATTTTCCGTTATTTTCAAAAAATATTATTTTGTGTTATTTTAAATATTTAACTTTTTATTTTTTAAAAAAATTTTTTTATTTATAATTTGCAAAACAAACAATTTTTTTATATTCAATATTTAGTTTTTCGTTACTTTTAATATTTAATTGTATTATTTTTTGAATATTTAATGTTTGGTTATTTTTAATATTTATTTTCTGGTTATTTTAAAATCTAACTTTTTGTTATTACATTGTTATTAAAAATGTTATTTATAAAAATATTTAAAAATGTTTACAAAAATATTTAAAAACATTGTTTATAAAAATATTAAAAATGTTATTTATAAAAATATTTAAAAATGTTGTTTACAAATTATTAAATTAATTAAATAAATGAATTAATACTAAATTAATTAATTAAATTAATCAAAGTCAAAAAATGAAGTATTTTCTTCATTTTACAAATTTTTGAAAAAAAAATTCCTTTAATTTTTTTTTTTTTTTGAGGGAAATTAACAAACCTGCATTGTTAGGTTTCTGTTGGGACCATTCGAGCCTTTCTTCACGAACTGAAGAATATCGCGAACTGACGAACCTTTCGTCTCGCCAAGATGAGCAACTGCATCCAAAACTCTCGCCATCAATTTCGGATTTGAAGGTCTAACCATTTTAACGCCGCTTTTTGTGAAGTTTCAGAATCTGAAAAAAAATTATTAAAATTTAATTATTGCCTTTTTAATTTAATTAAATTAATTAATTAAATTTATTTAAAATCTTATTTAAGAAAATATTTAAAAGAGTAAAATTTGTCAAAGACAAGAATAAAAAAAAATTTTCATAAATTTTAAATATTTTTAAACTTTTAAAATAATTAAAATTATCATGATAGAAAAATTTTCAAAATATATTAAAATTTTTGCAAAATTCTCTAAAAGTAAATCTTGAAGAAAATAAAAACAACGTGTCAATGTAAATCATCAATAGTCGATGTATTTTTTTTCCAAAATTGAAAAAAAAAATTTTTTCCATAAAATGCATAAGAGATCATAAATTCACGCGACTCGAGATTCTTCAAAACGATATGAATATAAAGGAAAAACATTTCACAATATAAAAAAACCCACGATGTAATTCTCATGAAAATCAGAAAAATGTCACTTATTTTATTTTTTTCCACAACAGGATCGTAAAAAAAAACAATTTTTATTTTTCTTCTTCACAAGATAACGCCGGACAAAAATAGAATTCTTTTTCTAAAAATTTTACTCAAAATTTAATTCAAATATATTCACCTTAAAATTTAATTTAATTATTCAATTTAATTATTTTATTTAAATTATCATTGATAAAATTCAAATTTTAATTCAATAGGTAAAAAAAGTAACCAAACGAAAAGTTGTCAAACAATTTATGTTTTATTTTTGTAAAGGAAAAACTGTTCTCTTTGTAAATTATATATTTTAAAAGTACCTTTTTTTTGCTAAATTGATTGGACGCGATGGAAATAAACTGCTCAGGAACAGAAAAACTCTTGTAAAAAACGTGAGAATTGTAAAATACGAAAAATTTTTTTTTTTGATCTCAAATCACGAACGAACTTAAAAAAACTGTGAAAAAACAATTTGTTTGCGAGTCGTTGCCTAGCAAAAATGATTTTCAATTGTTTTCACGATTTTAACGAATTTCATCTTCTATTGTTTAAATAAATTTTCCCTTATTTAATTAATTGAATTAATTATTTGATTTAATTAAGTAAAATTTATTATTATAAATAAAATAAATATTATCAATATTAATTATTAATTAATAAATATTATTATTTATATTATTATTAATTTTCATTATTTATTTTAATTAAACAATTAGTAGATATTAATTTAATAGAACAATTATTTTTATTTTTTAATAGTAATTTTTTATTATTATTTTTCAAATTATTAATATTTTACTGAAATATTTATTGATATTAACATTTTTGAAATTCACTATATTATTGAATGGACTTTCTCATCGAAATATTTCCAATTTGTATAATATTAGATATATATAATATTTATCAGAATTTTGCCAAAATTGGAAAACTAATCCCACGTACAATGGTTCTCAAATACTTTTCAAAACTAGTTCTCCCAAGAATTTCCCAAGCGGAAGCGTAAATAAGAGATTATTAAAGTTACGCGACTCAACTTTAAAAGTAAAAAATTCCATTTTAATTTATAAGTGAATAAAAAAATATAATTCTCTCTTTTTTCGAAAAACGCAAATTGATTATTCAATTGACTTAATTTTTAACTGCCGACGGTTTACACAATTTTACAATACAATAATATTTTGTTTTAATAACAAGTTATGCAACCAAAGAAAATTTTCTTTTTATATTATTATTTAAAATTAGGCCAAATTTTTTATTCTGATCCAACATTTTTTTTACTGCTGTTGAACAAGAAAGAAAATTTTGAAAAAAGTTGAAAAGAAAGTTAATTGTTTCAAGAATTGAAAATAATTTAACTGATTATTAAATAATGTTAATTTATTAAGTATTAATTATGAAGCAAAATCTTCTTATGAAAAGAGTAGATATGTAAATTAGATAAAAGAAATAAATATTTTTGTTATATGAAGTAAAAAAAATAATTTAGGTTTCGATAATTTGAAAACTAGTTTAATTGAAAGTGTTAGCAGCACGGCTGACTGAGGAATGACGCTCCAGAGAGAAATTCACCTGCTTTTATACTCCCATGGGCCTAACGGGAGGGGAGCTCTTAGGCGCGCTGCGATTGGCTGCCGTCTGCGCACGCGCAGCGACTTTACATCAAACAGCCAATCGCCGCTCGAGGAAGATCACCCCCACCTATTTTACGTTTTCGCATAAAAGGAGTTCCCTTCACTTACTGCATCATTTTAAATTCATAACTTAACACAATTTTTTTAGTTTAATCCAGATTCATGGAACTTTTACTTTTGTTATTAAAAATAAATTTAAATTCTTTTAAGAGAATTTAAATTTAATTTATTTAATGTATTTACATTATTTAAATTTATTCTAATTTAACGTAACGAACGAAATTAACGAGAAGAACGAAAGGAAGATTTAAAAAATAGAAAATTTTCCACTTGTCTAATCTGAATTACAATAATAAAAAAAATGGCTCGTGAACAGTGAAAGTAATTACCAAAATCCCTTTGATGTGTCCGGGAATCCAATAGATGAATATCTCTCTGTTGACGTTGATTTGGTACCATCGTCAAGTTTGCAATCACAAATTAAATGTTTCGAGTTGGCGTGTGATTTGTCACCTTGTGTCCTTTAATACACTCTGCGAACTTGCGAAAATCATTAACTGTCTCTTCATTCTGTTTCTATATTTACGTATAAAATATATAAAAAAAAATTATTCATAAAACTACAGGTATATAAATAATTATATACTCTGATGTATATAAAAACGTATAAAATCAAAAAATACGTAATAAAAAAAATATATAAATATAGGATTAAAAAATATAAAGACGCAATAAAGTAAAAAATCTTTATTCTTTTTCGAACCCCCCGTGTCTTTTATTATAATCCAGAGTGTTGTACTTGGTCACAGCAAATTACAGCGGCAAACATTCGTAATTACCTGTTTAATTTGCACAGCGAGGGAACACAATTCCAATTCTGATTGAACGATAATCAGAGGAGTTCAATAAAATTAACGTCTGACCACTGAATCGGTGTCACTATTATCGGAATTATTTGTTTGTACTCGACGGTAATTGAGTTCCACAAAAGGAATCCGTTTGATCCATACACGATTTACTATTTATACTCATCATATAATTTTGCATTTTCTTCCTGTTCCCTCTATTACGCGTTTTCACGATGCTTTGCTTTTCAATACATACCAAAAGGGAATAGCGTTTAATTTAATTACTTTTTCATTCTAAAATGAAATTATTTTTTTAATTTTTTGCTAATTCACGGAAAATTAATTTTTAAAAAGAAATATTTGGTACTGGAATTTTTTATTTGGAACTTTTATTAACCTGATTCATTTAATTGTCGCATATTTTTAATCTTTTGTATATTAATTTTCCTTAATTTATTTTTGAATTGTTTTTTTATTAGTTGATAAATATTAATTAGTTGTAAATGTTATATAGATAGTGTTTAATTAATAATGTTAATTTATTGAGTACTAAATAGAAATAAATCCTAGTATTAATGAGAATTAGAAATCAAATAATAACAGTGAGTTTCGTATTGAAAGAATAGAAAGTCTGTTGGATTGATGGTGTCAGTAGCACGGCTAATTAAGGAATGACGCTCCGTACCATTACCATTAAAAGATATTTATTGAGATCAGTAAAATACAGAGTAAAAAATACACATGTAGATTTGTAACTTAAACTATGGCTCCTATCTTTATTGCGATTTATCCATAGATATTCTTTTATGTTATGCTTAATATTTCTCTTTTAGTAAAAATATATATATCTATGTGTTTTAGGAAAAGTTTTATAAAAACCTAATTGATCTGATTTTCTATATAACAAAATTTAACAAAAAAATATAACTATGTAGGACTTATTTATACTATTTACATTATTTACAAGCTATTGTATTAGATGGTTAGGTAATTTATATTTAATTTTGAATGGCGCTTCGTTATACTTAATTTTACATGTGTTGCTTAAAATATCTAAATTATTTAACTTATTAGTATAAAAATCTTCAGTCAAACTATATATTATTTCTTTAACAGTTTTAATTTTTAATTTTCTATGCATAAGAATGACTTTTTTGCTTCTCTCAGCATTTAATATTAATCGTAAACATTTGTTTTGTAGTTTTTGTAACTTTTCAATATAGGTTTCATAAGTACTACCCCAGATGGGAGCTGCATATAACATAATAGGTCTAATTATCGTTTTGTAAATAATCTCTTTGTTTTGAATGCTCATTTTGCTTTTTCTATTTAAAAGGCAATATAATTGTCCAATTACTTTAAAAGTTTTAATTAGGGTTTCATTAATATGCTGAGTATAATTTAACTCGTTGTCTAAAAACATACCTAAGTATTTTACTTTAGGTTTAGGTTTAATTACTTCTTTGTACATTTCAAGTTCGGGGATAAAACTATCTTTTGGTTTGTGACTGAAAATTATAAATTCTGTTTTATTTGCATTAATTTTGAGCTTCCATTTGAGATAGTACTCTTCTAAAACTAAAATATATTTTTGGAGGTTTTGTGCTAATTGTTTCTTTCTCCAAGAGGAATTATATAACGCAGTATCGTCAGCAAATATTGCTATTTTGACTTTGTCATCCTTTGGTATGTCATTAATATAATATAAGAAAAGGATTGGGCCTAATACTGATCCTTGAGGGACTCCGGCTACTACATCTTTTACGGTAGATGTCTGACAATTTATATCTACTACAAATTTTCTATCTTTAAGATAGTTTGATACAATTTTGATCAAGTAATAATTTAATTTTAAATCATGTAATTTAACTATCAGACCTTTATGCCAGACAGTGTCAAATGCTTTTTCCATATCAAGGAAAACAGCGCCGGTGCTTTTATTTAAATTAAAATTTGTCGATATATGATCTACTAATCTAGCTAGTTGTTTAACAGTACAATGTTGAGATCTAAATCCAAATTGTTCAGGAATTAGTAGCTTATGTTCGAATTCAAAATTTTTAATTCTATTTAATATTATTGTTTCAAGAAGTTTACTTAGGCTGCAAAGTAGACTGATTGGTCTATAACTTAATGCTAATTTATGATTTTTACCTTGTTTTGGTATGGGGATTATTTTTGCACATTTCCAGCTTTGAGGAAAGTAGCCCTGTTTTAAGCAAGCATTGAAGATGTAGTTCAGTTGAACTATAGCTTTCTTTGGTAGCATTTTCAATATGATATTCTGAATTTTATCATGCCCCGGGGCTTTTTTAGACTTAGTTTTTGTAATTATCTTTTTGATTTCCCTTGGTGAAGATAATGACGCTCCGGGAGAGTTGAGCTGCTTTTATACGTCACACGGGGACTAGTGTGAGACGGGAGGGGAGATCCTAGACGCGCTGCGATTGGCCGCCGCCTGCGCGCGCGCGGGGACTTTACGTCGAACGACCAATCGCCGCGTGCCTTAGTGCTCCCCTCCCGTCGTTCGGAACTGTATAAAAGAGCCCGCTCACTGACTCGCTCTGCCATTCTTCGATCGTCGTTACTGCCGAGAACTTTGTATCAAATTAATTCTCAACAATTACAATTGATTTCCCAGCACCAAAAGAGCATTTTGTTGCTAATAACAATTACAATTATTTTCTCAGCACTAAGAAAATAATTTTTAATTAATAACAATAAGAATGAATTTCTTAGCATCAAGAAAACAGTTTGTTAGTATTTTACTAGACAAATAGCATATAATAAGTAATTAACAATAATTAATATGAATTAATAGTATTTGTTATTAATTTTTTTGTACATCACTCTGCACTATATATTTTCTTAGTATCCTAAATTTAAGGCATTGAATTTTCTTAATTACAGAAAACAATTTTGAGGGGTTCAGGCAAATCGAATTGATGATCCGATCGAGTAGGGGAAGCGAGGACCCGTTGGTGTCGATCATGAAGCAACGAGTCTTGCTCGCCCTCGCCAATTTAATTACATCCTACGCCTCATTTCTGTAAGTGTACTCGAAACTTTCCTGTAACTCCAATCCTGAATGTCAAGTATGCCTCTGTGAATTTTCTCATTTCCTTCCCTCCACCCCAAAATATTTATCTCGATTATTCTCATTAATTATACAGAACACTAATTTATTTCTAATTTTGTATTTTGAATTTTCTATTTCTAATACTTTATTTCTAAATTTCAATTAATTAATATAATTATAAAATCTTATTTTTTTTTCTTTCAATTTAAACCTAATTTATATCAATTTAAAGTTTGATGATATTTCGGATTTCCCCTTGGAGTTGATTAAGAGCGGAAAAAAAGAACAATTTTCCAGTTTGTTCTTTCTTAATTATATTGTACTTCAAAAAAAAAAAAAGTTCTTTCTCTCTAAAGCACTTGGTTTTTTATTCCCACGTAATCTTCGTTTAAGAACTCTCGTCAGACTTATAATCCACTCTCGTCTCGTGATTTTCCTCCTGCCGTGAAATTGCTTTCGCGTAACTTTCCCGGAGTATCGACGCTTTTCCGAATGACGGATCTAAAAATCTCTCGCGAATCAGAATAGCAAACGTAAATCCAAATCCTCATTGGATAAATAGAATAAAAAAAAAAATATTAGGGCAAAAAATCGTTATTTACCTAAATAAGCAATTTGGTTTATCATCTAATCAAATAAAAAATAAAATTTTATCCCCTGCTAGTGTTTTTTCTTTTTAGAATTTAGAACGCTTGGAGAATTTTTATAAAATTATATTCAAAAAGGAGGAAATTAATGTTAATTTTTAATTAATAATTTAAATAAATTTAACTTTCTTCTTATTGAATAAAAATGTTATTTTATTAAAATTTTCTGCTCATCAGCATTTTTGAAACTAAATTTTCGGTCGTCCCCTTACTTTAGAAAAAGTTTGAAAAGATTTTCTCTTTACATTTAGTTAGTTTCACATTACTTTTCCAGTCTTCTGTAGACTTCCGATTCGAAATCAAGAGTTTCACGAGAATTTGTTATTTACATCACTTTCTAGCTGTGTATGCAAATCAGGAACTGTGTATAAGGTTCCTGTGTACTTCAAAGGTGAAAATCTTAATTCATCTTGATTGAAAGATGATTGAAAATTGAGTTAAAAAATTTATTTAAACTGTAAAAATAAAAATTTGTACTTTTAAAAATTTTTTTAATGACGAATTTCTTATTCATTTTTTTTTTTAACTGAAACGTCTTTATTACTTCTTATTATTTATTCATTACTTTCCAGTGAATAAAATTTACTTTTCGATCTTTATTTTACAATATTTATATCAGCAAAAAAATTAAAATAATTTTAGTAAATATATTATAAAATAAAATTCCTTCTCTGTTCGACTAGAAATTTACTTCCATTTTCACTCTCAAAACTGAAATAAATGTCAGTGAAAAAATTGAATTTTCCCTTTAAAAGCCTTTCAAAATTGAAAGCTCGTAAGTTAAACTTCTTTGCAAAGAGAGCTTTTCAATTCAAGGCGTAGAATTTAAAATTGCTTTAAGGGATTCATAGCATAGTGGTACTTTTGCTTTCTTAAATTTTGAAGTCTAGGATTTTGACGGAACAAATTATTATTTTTGGAAAAAAAAATTCTACTGTATGATTCATACTGTTTAGTGAATTTAGTTTGAATTACAGGGAATAAAACGATCGTTTTCAACCCTTGGGAATATTTTAAGAAACTAAAACAGCAAAATTCGATTTTGTTCAAGGGCTGCAACTGGACCGAGAGCATCGACTCGACAAAGAACACAAAGCAACAATCATGGTAACATTAGTGAACTTTTGGATAATTTATTACGTGGATACGATAATAGTGTGAGGCCAGATTTTGGAGGTCCACCAGCGACGGTCGAAGTCGACATTATGGTCCGGAGCATGGGTCCCATTTCGGAAGTTGATATGGTAATTCTCAAATTTCTAATTATTTATTGTCTGAGAATATTTAGAAAAATCCGTATAAGTAGATTTAGTCTTAAAATATTCTAAATTTTTGTTACTAAAATATTTAATTTTGAAAAAAGAATTAAGGACTTAGATTTAGAAATAGAATTAAAGAAAAAAGTTCATTATTTCAAGAACCGGAGTTTCTTTAAGTAGAAAATTTTGGTAACGCGTTAGTCTGAAGATTGACGCTCTGCGGAGAGATCAGCTGCTTTTATACTCCACGCGGGGACTAATGGGAGACGGGGAGGGGAGCTCTTAGGCGCGCCGCGATTGGCCGTTCGCTGCGCACGCGCGGGCCCTTCACTTACAACGGCCAATCACTGCGCGAGACTGGTAACCCCTTCCACTTTTCCGCTTTCGTATAAAAGGACTTCGCTCGCTGTTTAGAGCGTCATTCTTTGAACGCTCGCCCTACCGACAACTTCTTCTCAAAGAGCAGTTATTATTAATTCAGAATACAAGAATTTTAATTACCAATAGTCGCTTTAAAAAATAATTACAATTCTTTTTTAATTTCAATCCCATTCAACGGTATTTGTAAATAAAAAAAAATTACCCGATAGTAATTCAATTAACGTTCAGAAATCGATTTCCTTGTATTCAATAAAAATATATTTCTCCGCAAAACTAAAAAGAAGAAAATTTAATACAATTGAAAATAAAGAAATACAATTTAACAAAAAATAAATTTTTGAAATTCGAAAAGAAAATAAAAAGGCAGTAAATTTAATTGACTATTTGCCGAATATATAACAATGTCGAGCAATAAGAAACGATGTGTAGCAAAATTCTTGTTTTTGGAAATAGGAAAAAGGTACTTGAGATGTAGTAATTCTCGGCGGTATTTTATTGAATGGTCATTGTGGTCGAGAAGCTTTTCAATCGTTGCAAATCTACTTCACATGAGCGAAGTGCCTCTCAATAGGTCATCGTGATTAGGATTTATTTGAAAAATTTCAATTCCTTTATGTACATATTGATTTTTTCCGCGGAAAGAAAGAAAAGAGATTTTTCAATTCTTTCGAGAATAATAATATAGTTAAATTTTTAACAAGAAGCAAGAAAAAATTAATTCCGATCGTTCTAAAAGTAGCCTTTTTCAATTTTTATTTTCAACAAATTTAAAAAATTCTTTTTTAACAAATTTTGTATAATTAAATTTTGTTTTAAATTGACACCAAATAATTTGACAATATCTCAAATTCTTTCTCTAATTATTGAAGTCGAAATGTACGATTTGAATTTTGAGAAAAAATACATTGTTAGTAAATTTTAATTGAAAAAAAGTATGTCATTGTTTTTTTTCAAAAATTTGCTGTTGAGAAATTTTATCACTTTTTGTCAATTTTTGCGAAATTGTTCGTACTCTGTTAGTGAGAGTAGAGTTTAAGTTTTTCCCACAAAATAAAAATGTGAAAAAAAATTGTGGTTTTTTTTTTTAATGAAAAAGTCTGGAGAATATTTCCTGCTCTGTAAAACAGTTTATGACGAAAAAATCGAAGTTTTTAAAGCGGAATAAAATTCAATCTATTAAATGTGACTATTATTTACTGAATTGTTTTTTATTTTTTTTATTTATTTCTTATACCTACTGTTATTTTTTATTTTCTTCTTCCTTTTCTTATTTTTATTCTTTCCCATTTTATTGATTTTACTTCTTTGTGTTAATTTTTATTTCTTTCTTTCTGTTTAATTTCAACAAATTTTGAATTTCGCGCCAAAAAAATGTGACGCCTGCCGATAGATGGCAAGGGAATTAATTTCTCACAAGTGCAATCATTTTTTTGTTTTTTTTCCTCTAGAATAATTGTAGTGAACTGAAAAATTAAAAAGTTACATTTTTATATTTAATATTTTCATATTTTGTAACATTTTACGTTGTAAGTGAATTCAAGTGTATATTTCTAGGGATTATTTAGAGAAAAAAAAATATTTTTTCTTTCTTCTTTCTGAAAAAAACAAAAGTACTTTTTCTTAATCTAGACCTATTCAATGGATTGTTACTTCCGGCAATCGTGGGTCGATCGACGTTTGGCATTTCAAGGAAACAAAGAACATCTGGCACTGAGTATTTCCATGCTTCAACGAATATGGAAGCCAGACACGTATTTTTACAATGGAAAACATAGTTACCTTCACACCATCACTAGTCCCAATAAATTTGTCCGACTTTATAAAGATGGTCGAGTTCTCTACAGTTCCAGGTAATGTTTAAAAAATTATTTTATAAAAAAAAAAATAAAAAAATAGAAGAAAAAATAGAAATTTAAAAAATTTCTATTTCTTCTTCTATTTTTTTCCTAATTATCATTTTTTACGAAAGAAAATTATCCAATTAATTAGAAATATAAAAAAATTTACTATCAAGATTAAATTCAATTTTAAAATAATTAAAATTAAAATAAAATTGCAAAAATTGGAATATTTTTCGAATTTTTCTTTTTTTGGTTGCAATTTAACACCAAGGGGAAAAACAATTAGTAACTTTCAATAATTTTCCTTAATTGACGAAGCGTAAAATTAGTGTAAAAAATTTATTTTCTATTTCCCAATCGGCAATAAAATTTGATTATGAATATTGTAAACGAGAATTGCACGAATCAACGAACCGAGTCCAATCAAAGGATCCGACAACTCAAAGCAGAGATTACTCTGAGCTTTTAATATTTTCACAAAAAAAAAAATAATTTCTATTATTAAAAAAGTTATTTCACCAATTTACCCTTTTTTAAAAAACAATTTTCGAAAAATTTCAAAAATTAAATTCCCTTTTCACAATAAAAATCTATCTAACTTTTAAAAAAATAAAATAAACGAAACGAAATTTTCAAGTGAAATATAATAAAATCAATTTGATATTTTATTATTCGAATAGAATCTAGAAAAAAAAATAATTGATTGAAATACTGGATTTAAATATAAATTCAATATATGTAGGTGAAAGGGAGAAAAAAGGAATTCGATATATTTATATAAAATTGAAGAGAGTTTACGGAGATATAAATGTAAATTTGATTGAAATTCAAACTAGTAACAAATTTCGTATATATAATGAAATTGTAATCAGTGGATTATTTTATCTTCTGATTAGGTTTCAAGCTTTTATAGCGTTCATCCGCAAATCCTGTTTCAGCTTTTCAGCAAGAGGATGAAAGTGTCCTTATTGGTTTTCACAGCGAGTAATTGCTGTTGAGACAGTTTACCGAGGTTTCCTACGAGCTTCCTAATAAAGTATATAGAGCAAACATTCCACAGACGTGATCCTCTAATCGTGTCTTTTCACAATATTTTCTTTCTCCTCCTCTTCTTTTTTCCTCTTCTTCTTCTTAATTTCATTATTGTTATCCATTATTTACAAGAGAGACGAAAAATATTTTTTGTGGACGAAAGCCAAAAAGAAAGAAACATTCATTAAATTAAGAAAAAAAGTAACAATTATAATTTACAGAAAAAAATTAACAAAAAAGTACCAAGAGTTTAACGAAAAAAAATTGTGCAAAAGAATTAACAAAATTAACAAATAAAAATAATTAATGAAAAACAAAATAAGAGGAGAAAATTATACGTTAGGCCGGGGCCTAGATACGGTCCTGAAGACAAATGCGTTCGTACCGCGCACGCGTCGCCCCTCCAATAGGCAACAGCTGGTCCCGTGACCCCCACCACGTTACCTGTAGCGTATATAAGCAGGCGACTAGCAAATCAACGCCATTTGCTAGGAAACCCTCACCAAGCGCAACTGACTATGCTCTTAGAAGTTATAATTCATTCTTAATTATTGTTTATCTATAATAATTAATAATTTTACATAAATAAATACTTACTTAAATAATTAAATTATATGAATAATTATATTAAATTAAATTAATATCCATTAAATAATTAATAATTCAATTATAAGTACCTTAATGATTTATTTGTTCCATTTTTAACGGGCTTAAAGGCATAAGGCTTATTAAATGTATTAATAATTATTAAAATATTTTAATCAAAAGAAAGTTTACTAAAAAAAATTCCGCAAAATTCTTTTTTATTTTTTTTTTCCTTCATTGCTTTTTAAATTTTAATAAACAATGGAAAAAGTTTACATAAATTATTTAAAAAAAAATTTGAAAACAATTTTTTCTTTATCTTCGCTTTATTTTTTCATCCGTTGACTTTTTGACGCACGCGAACAATTAATCAAAACATTTCTATTATTTTCTGATAAATAGATTCAGTTTAGAGAGGATTCTCGAAGAGGAATTTGGCTATTTCTTGGAAAATGACTCTCCTCCCTTCGCCCTCCCACCAACTCAAACCCGAAATATGCCGGTGATTTATCAAAGTTAATCCTTTTCACTGAACGAAATATATCAGAGAGTATGGAGAGAAATTCATTTTGTAAGCCTTTTCTGATTTTAGATGTTGAGGCTCATGACTGTTGTGATAGGGTCAAAAATTACCTTCCAAATATTTTCTTTAGACGAGCGGATCATCTTATATTATGGGAAAAAAGTTTTTTTTCGTCAGAAATGTTTTTTTCTTCAAATTTTTGTTTTAGTATTTTTTTAAGTATAATAATTTTAATAATAGTTATTATTATTCTTATAATATTTATTATATTAAATAAATAATATTTATTATAATTTCAATAGTAATTAATATTATAATTTATAAATGTCCCCCCCCCCCCTCTTGTAGCAGAAATACCTCATTTTCGAGTTTATGATTTTGTAGATTGCAATTTTTATTGTAATAAATTTTTTACTTTTAACACGAAAGGGCCCTGTCCCATTATAATTAAAAAAAAAAAATTTTATGAAGAGAAAAAATAGAATATTATTTCTAAAAGTTAGAAGAAATTCTTAAATTAAATAAAAATAGAAATTGTTTTTTTTAAACAGTAGATATTTTAGAAAATAAATTGCATTGAAATATTTAATAATATTGCCAGCGTTGTTGCCGGCGAAGGCAATAGTTGGAGCAAGAGAGAGGGAAAATTAGTCTGACCTTGTCTCCCTTTCGTGCCCTGCCTTGGTAATCGTAAGCCACACCTCCCTCCCCTTCTCGAACCGGCCAATCAGAAGTGGCGTCGCGCGAACTATAAGAACGAGCGGCGCGACGCGAGCGAAGCAGTTTCGCTCGAGCAGTCGAACCTTGCAGTATATAATTGTAAAAATAATTTCCTAATGTCAACTTTAATATTCCATTTTGTACACTATTTTAACCGCGAGAGATAGTTTCTGGTAAGAAATTAAATAATTACATAATGTTACATTATTATTTTATTATTTGTGTTAATATTTAATACAATTTATATAATTTTTGAGTAAATATCGCCAACATCAGAACTCAGTCGATAAATACCGTTCAATTTTGGCGGGAAGTCCAGACACCCTTATTTTAATTCATACATGTTTTTGAATGAAAATTTTTTTATTCATTTCTTTTTTTTTAAACATATAGCGGTTATATTTTTGTCGAGTGAAAATGAATTGTACTGCGAGAAGAGAAAGAATGAAAGGGTGGGGGGGGGATTACATATATATTTACCAAGAATTGCGTAAACGTGAAATTCTCCTAATACCCTTAAAACGTGGAGTCAATTTTTCCGGTGGAAAGTGAAACGTGTCTCGATTCACGGAAACAGGACATGACGTGAATATCAAATGGGATATTTTTCAATGGACTTATTTCAGTGTTCTATAACGTAATACGAGAGGTAAAAAGGAGGAAAAAAAACATCACTCTATTGAATGATAAATAAATATACTAATTTAATAATTATTATTAATGCAATTCTCTTTTTTTTATTTATTTGATTTCTTAAAGACGTTAAGAAATGAAATCGTTAATTAAATTTCAACTGAGGGAGTTGACCACGGTAAGCGTGGCGCGACCCAGAGCGCAAGCGCCGAGAGTGGGGGGGGGCAATGAGAGTGAGAAAGAAGTCGCGATCCTTCTCTCTCGCTCTCATTGCCCCCACTCCGGTGCTTACGCTCCATTTCTCTTCTCTTCATTCTCTAACTTAAGGATTTCTCTCTAGAATATTGCAAAAAATTCTGAAATTTACACACAAATGTACCTACATACTTACATACAAACATACATTTAAAGTACATTTGAACGAACATTTTTCAAAGGAAATTCCAATCCATTTTTAAAGAAAATCGATTCCCTCAAGAATAGTTATATATAGTTGAAGATTTGTCCTTAATGCAATATCACTTTCTTGTCTGTGAAAGGGGACACACTTTTTTATATATACTTCTCAACAAAATCCCGTATAAATTGTAGGTACCATTTCTTGAGATGACAGTTTTTTTTTACTTTCTTCAAAAATATATGTATGTATAAGTGCAATTTGGAAAATTGAAAACTTGTCTTTAAGAATAATTTTTGAGAGCAAATGAAAATTGTGGAAACATCTTGAAAGTTAGTCAGAGCGTTATGAAGGCACGTATGTGTGTACACATAACGCTCTAGTTGATATCCTTTTCGTTACTGGTGTAGGATCGAAAGCTGAGGGAGAGTGAGAGAGAAAAAGAGAGAGAGAGAGAGGGATGGATAGAGATTTGTCAATCCTGCGAATTCATGTGCTCTCATATATCATTTCTCGCGACGATATGTGGCAAGGTGCCACATCTCACCTGGAAATAACAAGATTTTCTTCATCTTTCCGACACTTCTACCCCCATAATTCTGATTTACTTTAGTGCATATATGTATTCTTATCTCTTTTCCCTTCTTGAGAGAACAATCTTTTGGTTTTCAATTTTTTTTTCTTTTTGAATTTCGCGGGTAAAGTAATTCTACTTTACCGACAGTTTTACACTTATCATAGGGAATTTGCTAATTCAAAATGTCGGATCCAATATGGCGGACTTCTTTTGAAAATTCTTTTCTAGGAATTCTTGGGGTCGCTGATTATGAATTTGAGGTCAGATTTTGAAAAATTTTGAAAAATAAGGAAAAAAATTTCCACCCTTGAGAAAGAATGATCTGCAAGATATCTTTCTCTCTGTTCAGCTTTAAAAATCTATTTTTTTGCCTCTCATGAAATGTAATCGTGACTGAAAAAATCGTAAATCACACATTTTCTCTTTCTCTCTGGTGCAATTTACACCATCCAGAGTTTCCGGTTTCCGGTCGCAATTAAACGAACTCTGAACATCCGTTTGAAAACGATTCAAATTTTCAACCTTTAAAGATGACAATTTATTCCCCACTCTGGAAATCGATTCGAAATTAAAACTTTTAATTATTTTATTCCTTCTCTATGGGATTTTTTTATTTTATTAATTTATTTAATTTATTATTTTAAATTTTAATTATTTATTTAATTATTTGATTAATTTTTTATTTTACAATAATTTGCCTCCAGTAGAAAAATGTCAATTTAGGGATTAGATAAAAACGTGCTTCGTAATAAATAAATTTTCCAAAATGCTAATTACAAAAAAGTAATAAAGTGCAAGTGTGTAAAGAAGAATTTTCATTTTAGAAAATTTCCTCTAGACAGATTTCTCGCCGAAGCCTTGTTTTGATATATAGATATTAATCCCGCGCAAAGTTTGCGATTCTAATGGACATGAAATATTACAAACAGGTATTAGTTTTCCACAAGTCTTGTTGTCTTGACTCTTCTGCATTTCGTTTTCAAGTTTCGGTTTGTCTTGAAAGCTAATTTTGTTCCGAAAGTTAAGCGTAAGCATTTCAAGTCTGCAAAGACACTTCCTGTCATTGCGGATTACACTGTTTTTGTCCTCTCTTCGTTTTCTCACACTTTCTATCATACATACGTATGTATATATACATAGTTTCACGAAAACTTAACGATTTACTTTAAAACTTGGTCCAATTTAATCAGCGTGCCATGTGGGGATTAAAGTGTATAACAACATTCGTCAATAAAACGGATTTAACAATTTTCCTCTATTTGTAATTCAAATTTTCCCTCGTTTTTTGAAATTTGAAACTAGATGGCGGTGGCGGTGAGAGTAACTTCCGGTTAGCGACTATAAGAGACGCAGCAGACGCTGACACTCTCAAGTATTTTCTTTCTTTTTTCCCTTCTCCAAAAAAAGCTAGAGATTTTAGTAAAATTATTGTTTTAAAGTTTCAGTAATTTCTTTGAAAAGTTTGTAAAAACTACAATTTTAATTTTGTGAATTTGTCTTTTCTGTAGACAAGTCTAGTTGAAAATAGTAAATAACCTCAAAATTTTTGCATGAATCCCTTTAAATTTTCTCATTCTATATGTACGTTTATAACAAAACCACTCGACAAGGGCTCTCTCGCTCGAAACTGAAAATTGCTACAGTCCACACCATTTACAACCCACGAGTCGACCCTCTAACGATCCTCTATACATTTCAACTGAACATGGGTACTTTTAGTAATAGACAAATTTAAATTCCTTTCGAAGTAGAAATTTTTTTTGTCATTCTTTTATATTCATCATTTTCCTCTCCTTTCCCTCCTTCATAAATTTATTCCAACCAAGGTGGTTTCTTTAGAAAATTAAATCGTAAAATGAAATATCGTCGACCAGACAACGTTCCATCTTCGTTTTCGTAAGTATTTCTTAAAATCGTCAGAATTTAGGTTAGGTAAATAACTCAATACTAAATTTATTAAATTAATAATTAAAAATATTTAAAATAAAAAAGTTTATAAATATTTTCATTTGTTATAAAAAAAGAAAGTTTCAAAATAGAATATTTAATTTAATTAATAAATAAATGTATTTAAAATAAATTTAATTTTTTTACTTATTATAGAAAAAGATAGAATTAGTTTTCAAACTAGTAGGATTTTTAATTTCAATAATAAATAATTGTATTCAAAATAAAAAAGTCAATAAATATGTTTAAAAATATAAACTTAAATTTATATATCAAAATTTTATTTTTTTAAATGCATCGTCCAGAATGGAAATAAAAATAAAAAATATTTTAATAAATCCGAGTTATTTTAAAACAAAAATTTCTTAAATTTGAAAAAGAGACAAATCCATAAGGGAAGAATATTAAAAAATTAGAAAACGAATTTGAGTAATGGAATAATTTAAATTTAAAGTATCTTCGAATGTAATTGTTGAATTAACTTGTCGAGTTGTATGAGAGAAAGGTGTAAGTGAGAAAGACATAATTGCGATGGTTTCGAAACGGGAAATGTAATCCCCGTGTCTATTACTTTAATGAGAACTACACGATCGAATCTATATCAAAAGGGGGTTTAGAGGGTGGATAAATCTGATCGAATTATATATATAGTATTCAACATTGCTGAAGATTGCAAACTGTGTGAACAGTCAGTTAAACTTTAGACCTTTCGATCTATGCGAGCAGTCTGATTCAAATTGGAAATTGCGTTCTGATAGTTTCAACCCCATATACATACAATATTGCAACTAATGACAAACTATTCCATAATTGCCTATGTATCTCGAGTATGTTGATGAATACGAAATTATTAATTTTGCGTTTTTTTTCCAGACTCACCATTAAAGCCGGTTGTCCAATGAATTTAGAAGATTTTCCCATGGACACTCAACGATGTCCTTTAAAATTCGGCAGTTGTAAGTATATAATCTAATTATTCTCATTCTCTATTTTTCTCTTCTGCAAATTTTCAACAATTCCACCCATATTTCTATTTTTAAATCCTTTTTTAATTTACATTATTACCGCGTTTAATGTCTCTTTTTTAAAGTCCTTGTCAGTACTTGAAAAATGTCTTTTAAGAATAATGCATCGAATTGATTGGGGGGAAGGTCGACTCGAGACACTTCACTATAGACGTCAACTTATAAAAATCTGAGAGAAAAAAAGAACTAAAACTTACAGAACTCTTTTCTATTATCGAAGAAGTCTTAATTATTCCTCCAGATTTAAAATCTTGTTAAATTCCATTCTCTTTTATAGTATTTATAGCTAAATTCGTGAAACTAATCAAAAATTAGAAAAAGCTTTAAAATAGTTAATTTTAACATTCCAGTTGGTTATACAACGCGAGATGTAATCTACCGATGGAATACTGCGAGACAAGTTGCAATTTCAAAAGATATGAAACTTTCTCAATTTGACTTAGTGGCAAATCCAACGGCAAATCAATCAACTGAACCTTCATTGGCCCAAAGTAAGTGAACTAGGAATATTTTAATGTAAAATAAAAATGCTGAATTGTTAGCAGTTTTTGTCAATATTGGAAGAGAAATCAATAATAGTATTTTAATATTCACATCTGATATTCCGTCAATTGTAACTTAAATACATTAATAAAATATGCTCACTTTCAAGTACCGATTGAATTATAATTTATTCATTATTATGAATTTTGTAAAGCGACTTTGTTCGCAAAAGGATCTGCACAGAGATCAATAATTAAATTAACAATCGATATATAGGGAAAATTTCAATAAGACAATGCGCGCTAAACTTGGTGACATGGGCAATTATTCATGAAGACAATGATAATTATGACGGAATTTAATTAAATATTGGATTTCAGATTTAACGTAATTTGTGATACTGGATATTTTTAAAACAAGGTTTTCATTTTTCTCACTAATAATTTCTGATTTTAATTTTTTCTTTTTCTGCTTGTAATCTAAACTTGATTAGATTTGCATTTAATAGTTTGGGAACTATTTCGAGTTGTTAATTTAGAAAAATTGGAATGAAAAGTATATTCGCTAATACTAAATTGCATTAGGGACTTTTTGATTCAACGGTGAAATATTTCCCTCGTTGACTGTATTTTTGTTTACGATTTAGTTCTCTAAAGCATAACACCTTTCTTACCCACGTGAAAATATTCTCGGAAAATTAACCTGAAGTTAGCGTCAACAATTTTTTTTTCGCGAAATCAAACTTTTTTAAAATCTTTGAGTTAATAAAGTTTCTTGTAGTTACGTGGACATTTTTTTCAATCGCCAAGGTGAATAAAAAATTGTAAATTAGTGACGTTTTGAATCTAACAGTTTTCGACGCTAACTTCAAAGGACATGGAAATTTTCTGAAATGACTCCAGAGAATTTGTCTATAACCGGAAATTTATCGGTAATAATATAATGAGAAATTTAGGACTATGGAAATTTCTTCGGGAGTCATTTCACATTTTCCGAGAATATGTTCATTTAGATAGGATTTTATTTTATACTTACGTTTTCTTTAAAACTTTTCCTTGATGTAAATCTTTCTGTTTAATTTTTAAACAGGAAATTCCATCGACTTGAAATAATTTTAAATTATCTGAAAGAAAGAAGAATATTGAATAATTAATAATACTAAATTTATAATTAAGATTTTTTTGAGGGGGGGGGGAATTGAAAGAGGTCACTGTAAACATATATTTGGTGTTAGCTAGAGGTTAAGTTGAGCCTACTCACCAACCGGATATTAGATCCTGGGAATCCTGGAGAACTCTCCTTCCTTTACATTATAACATCGATGACTGCTGCTGCTACTACTACTACCCAATGTGTATATGCCATCTTGAGCAAGCAATCGTTGTTATCCCTCTCACCCTTTCAGGGATTTGTGCCACCTAATCATCTTGTTTCTCCTAAGCATTTTCGTCATGCGTGCTAAAAAGCTCGTCGACGTGGAAAATCGTGCATGTTGAATGATGTTGAATTTCCTACTTCTCCCTGATACAAATTTAGAGACAATCTCCTCAACAAATTGAATTAATTTCAATTTGAAACAGAAAATCAAGTTTGGATTGGCTTTTCCAATTTTCCTTTTGTTTTATAATTTTAATTTTTCTTTTCCAAAAAGCTAGAAAAAAAGTAATCGAAAAAAATTATTTTTAGGTTATGTCAAGAGCGTGTCAATTTTTTATTTACTATTTTTTTACTATTTGTGATGATAATAATAATAAAAAAACTAAAAACTGAATATTTTTGTGAAATTTTGAGGTTATGTCAAGAGCGTGTCACTTTTTTATTTACTATATTTTCTACTGTTTGTAATAATAATAATAACAAAAACTAACTATTTTTGTGAAATTTCGAGGTTAGGTCAAGAGAATAAAGACTGAATTTACTCCGCCGTTTGGTAGTGAACGTTGAAATATAATTAAAAGGAAAGTTTCACCTGTTGTAGAAGAATATTCGATGTTGCTGGTGTCCTTTCATCTGCAGAGGCACATGGGAAACTTTCTGATACAAGTATATGGACCTTGTGTTCTACTAGTTGTTCTTTCGTGGGTCTCCTTTTGGCTCAACAGAGAAGCAACTGCTGATCGAGTTTCCCTCGGTAAGTTCTTTTCTTCGCCAAGAAAAAGCTTTTAAACACAACTTTGCAACTCTGTAGCTATACATAGGTACTTTATACTCAATCATATTTTTATCCGCACTCTAACATTCTATAGACAAAAAATTAAATTTAGTAATTTATTTATTGGTAATTTTCTACTTTACCAACAAAAATCTTTATCGGTAATTTTCTGCTCTATCAACCAAAATCTCTATCGTTAATTTTTAATTGAAAAGTAATTTTTATCTATTTTTCTTTATTTTCCCCTTTTTTGCAGGTATCACGACAGTTTTGACAATGACATTTTTGGGTCTCGAGGCGAGAACGGATCTGCCAAAAGTCCCATATCCAACTGCTCTGGATTTTTTCGTCTTTCTCTCGTTCGCCTTCATTTTTGCGACGATAATTCAATTTGCAGTGGTTCACTACTTCACCAAATATGGATCGGGGGAATGCTACTTTAGTTCCGATATCAGTGAATCCGACAATTCGAGTGACGAGGAAACTGTCTGTCGACCTCGCAAAAAGGAATCGGTAAAAAAAATTGAAAAAAAACCATGTTAGGGCAGTGGCCGCGGTCGCTAAGGCGCTTGTTGCGGAAACGAGTCGTCAGTGGTTCGAGTCCATCCAGATTTTATAGAGATTTTTATTTCCATATTCTTTGACCTTTCTCTTCAATTTATTCAATAAATGGAAAATTTTCAATTAGAATCTAAATTAAACGAAAATTAAAAATAATTAATTACGTAATTAAATTAATTAATTTCAATTAATAAATTAAAATTAACAAAAAATAACAAATATAAAAATACAATTATTAACAAATATTGAAAAATAATAAAAATGAAATTAATTGAGAATGATTTATTTCTAGAGTCGAAGAAAATCATCGGGCAATTCGTCGCAGCCAAATAAAAGCAGTGGCGGCGGCGGCAGTGGCAATAATAGAAATTTCCCGATGAGCGACGACGGTGTCATTGAAGTAATTCAACTTTCGGCACTTCCGGAACCGGACAGAAATGATAATGGACAATGGCAATTGTCGTGTGTTCCACGACAGCCACCACCACCAAAACCGCGTGTTCCTTCACGAAGACGTCATAGACGTGTTCCTAGATATAATTCTGTCTCAAAAATCGATCGCGCGAGTCGTGTCGTTTTTCCCCTATTCTTCCTCACCATTAACGTCTTCTACTGGTACGCGTATTTGTCAAGAAGTGAGAGGATCAGTTACTACCATCCAAGTTCCTCGTAAGAAAAATAAATTATTTTTTTTTAATTATTCTTATTATAAAATCCAAAGTGACCGAAAAATTTGAAAAAACTTATTTTTTTATTTTCATAGATATTTTTTAACTCTATAAAGGAACTAATAAGGGGCTAATAATTATTTTCTTCTCTTTTTTTTGGAGAAATTATGTGATATTAAAAAATATTTATTTATTTATTTTATATTAATATTAAAAATTGAATATTGCACTGGAAAAAAATTTAATATTACATTTTTAATATTACATATTATTAATATTAAAAAACGGTTTAATATTAAAATTTCTCGACACTTGTCACTAAATATGAGTACGAATAGAAAAATTCAAAATGGCGCATACAATATGGCGGAAATTTTTATTTTTGAATAACTTAACATTGAATTGACAAGATCACTGACCGTGACAATTAAAATTTAAAGAAAAACTAATAAAATTACAATTTTCCAAAAAAAATAGTTCATTAAAGGGTTAAAAATTAGAAAAAAAATTTTTTTCAAGTTTATTTTTATATTTCTATTTATTTTATTTGTCTGTAGGCAAATTATATTTATTAATTTATTACATAAATATTTTGTTTATTTTTATAAAAATTATATTTATTTTGTTTATTTATGCAAAAAATTATTTTTTTTAGAGATAAATTCATATTTCAAAAGAAAAAGTTCCGAATTTTAAATATTGTTTTTAAATATGAATTTATTTGTTATTTTTATTGATTATGAATTTGAATTATGAATTATAATGCATAATTTATAATTCATAATTCATTTTGAATTAATTATGAATTTTGTTATTTTTATTGATTTTATTGAAATTGTTATTATTTGTTGATGATAAAACTAATACTTTTATAAATTTTTTAAATTATTTTTTTAAATAATTGCAGTTTTTTAAATTTTTTGTATTTTTATTTTCTTTATAAATATGAATTTAAACGAAAAATATTTTTTTTTATTTAAACTCATATTTAGAAAAAAAAGTTCCGGATTTTTGTCCGAAGATTTTTTAATTTTTTTTTTTTAGTAATTATTAATTATAATATTAATGCCAAAGATTTTTATTATTGATTATTATTATTATTATTATTATTATTATTATTATTATTATTATTATTATTATTATTATTATTAACTGTCATTGTTACTGATTATTTTTATTGTTGTTTATTATTATCTTTATTATCATATAAGAATAATATATAATAATTGTCATTATAATATAATAATTATAATTATAATAGCTATTATTATAAGTAATTGTTTTTATTATTGATTATTATTGTTTATTATTTTAATCGCTGATTATAATTATTATCGTTGATTATTTTAATTGTCGATTAATTTATATGTCGATTACTTATTTTATCATTTTAATTATAAAAGTCGATTTTTTTATTATTGTTGATTATTGTCATTGTTGATTATCATAATTGTTGGTTGTTATCATTTAATTTGAAAAAGAATATTTTTTAATAATATTAATTAATTATTCATTTTAATCACTATTTGTTATAAAAGAAAAAAAATTGTACAAATAATGTCGATTTTCTAGGATTTTTCTGGTCTCTTTGCATTTTCTTTACAATTAAAATTCGCTTTCTAGTTAGCCTTGAAAAAAAATTTTTTTATTTATCAGTAGCCGACCAATTTTTGCAAAATCTTGTACATAGATTAAATATATATACATATATTATGTATGTGTGTCACTTTTTTACGGAAAAATATAAGAATTATTTTCAAAACCAAAATAAACGCGATAGAAAATTAATATTGTATTTAAAAAAAGGAGCCACGCACCAAAAATGCGGTTAAAAATCAATTAATTGAACATTTATTATTTTATTAATTCGTAATGGTAATTAATTGTTAATTAATATATTATTGTTAATTAATTACTTATTAATTAACTGTTAATTAATAAAATATTCTTCATTAACCACTTATTAATTATTAATTAACTGTTAGTTAATAAAATATGCTTTATTAATTACTCATTAATTATTTATTGATTAATAAATTAATAGGTAATTAATTATTAATTAATGAATAAATTGTGTACGAATTTATTACCAATAAATTAAGTAATTAATTAATTGTTAACTAATTTATTATTAATAAACTTAGTAAATAATTAATTTGTTAATTTAACGTTTCCCCTCTTAAATATAAAGATTGATAAAAGTTTATAATAAATTTATTTTTATAATTTTCACGAAAAATTTTCAATAATTAATCGCGCTCACTTGTCATATGAACTTTAAAGAAATTAACAAACAAAATTATACAGTGAGTACAAAAAAAAATTGCGTATAACAAAGAGAATTATTCTGCTCAGGGTTTAAGAGAGCATTATAGTAAAAACAAATATTAAAAAAATAATAAATATATAATAAAAGATCCCTCTTTTTATTTTATATTTATTATTATAGTTATCACGCTAAAAAAAAAGTTTTACTTTCAGCCTCTTTTTGAGGCTGAATTTAAGATGTAAACGGAGTCAGCCCCGTTAAACAAGGACAGACTTATGTGAAATACATGGGCTGAATTTAAGGTGTAAACGGAGTCAGACTTTTTTTTCCTGTATACAATTTGAACAAAAAAAAAGTGAAGAAAAAATAAATATTTTTTGTTATAAATAAATATATAAATATATTTATTAATTATCAAATTGCAATTATTTATTGCTTGATAATAATTTTATGCGTTGTAAAAAATTAATTTCTATATAAATTATTATAAAATAATTATATAAAAATTTATATAAATATATATATATATATACAGTACCGTCCGAAATTGTCAGTCCACCCATTTTTAAAGGAATGAAAAAAATTTGTTAACATAAAATTCATGAAAACTAAATTTTTTTTTGGTTTATATTTTAAAAGACGATCAAATTTTGAAGAGAATAAGACCTTACAGAAGTCATTTGGCCAAAATTTGTAGAAGATATTCTTAAAAATCGTCATTTTCAATGTTTCACAAAAATTTGAATAACTTCTAAAATAATGAACGCTTTTTAATAATCTTAGGCTTATTTTAAAGGTCATTTTCTACGGAATAAGAATTACTTATAGGCATTTACCTGTAATTTTTTACTTGGAATAAGCATGCCGTCAAAGTTGGACAAAAAAATTCAAAAAATTTGAAACAATATTATTAAAAGAAAAATAATTTTTGAAATTCAAACATATTTTTTTATTAAATTTTCTTGAAGAATCTACACCATATCATGTTTTATATATGTTCTAGAATAGTTTTTAGTACAAAAAATTTATTTCAAATTTTTCTAATTTTTTTGTCCAACTTTGACGTCATGCTTATTCCAAGAAAAAAATTACAGGTTAATGCCTATAAGTAATTCTTATTCTGTAGAAAATGACCTTTAAAATAAGCCTAAGATTATTAAAAAGCGTTCATTATTTTAGAAGTTATTTAAATTTTTGTAAAACATTGAAAATGACGATTTTTTAAGAATATCTTGAAAAAATATTTGCCAAATGACTTCTGTGAGGTCTTATTCTTTTCAAAATTTTATCGTCTTTCAAAATATAAACCAAAAAAATTTGAGTTTTTATACATTTTATGTTAAAAAATTTTTTTCATTCCTTCAAAAATGTGTGGACTGACAATTTTGGCCGGTACTGTATATATATATATATATATATATATATATATATGTAAATTATGTAAATAGAATTTTACATGGAAAAGAAATAAAACCGTTTTTCTCTCTATATAATTGAAAACTATAATTATTAATTCGAAGTTAATTACAATAAATATATATTTGAAAATTGAAATTTCGGAAATCGAAAATCGAAATAATTGTTGAAATGAGAAAAAGATGATAAAAAATATATATATAAAAAAAAGTGGAAAAAGTTTGTTCTTAACTTTTTGATTAGTTTACATTTCCTTATCCATTGAAGATAAGATTTTATGAAAATAAGTCAAAATAGTATTTCTATGAAGTCATGTCAGTATTTTCTTTTTTCTTTAAAGATATATATTAATGACTCATTTCTTATTGTAACCATTTTTTTATTTTCATATTTTTTATATTTTATTATATTTATCGAAGAATTAATTTTTTTCTATCAAACTGATTTTTATAAATCAGATTTTTTCATTTTTTTTTTTAATTTTATTTTTTTCAATTTTCATTTATTTTTATTCAACTTTTATTTATTTTTAGAAAAAATATGTCTTTTTTACTTAACTTTTCTTTTTTTCATTTATTTTTAATTTCACTTTTCTATAGAAAATATATTTGTAGAAAATTTGTTTATAGAAAATAAAAAATTTGATTAAATTATATTTTTTCAATTCCTCTTTTTCGAATTTGTAAAAAAATAATTTCTGGAGGGAATGAAAAAATTTGATCCTTTCTTAATCAAAAAATGTCACATTTATATTTGCACAATTATTTTCATATTACATTTTCTTTCATTCAAACAATATTATATACACAGTTTTGTCAGAAAAATCGTAAACTATTTATAAATGGAAATAAAGTCTTTCAAATTAACAAACTAACGGGGGAAAAAAATCATATATAAAATACTGCGCACTGAGGGAAAAAAAAGTTTATCACAAAAATTCAATGGCCTTCTTTTTTATTCACATTAAAATTGAATAAAAAATAATTATCTCACTTATTTTATGTATACACAATAGAAATCGGAGATTAAAATTAACCTTATATTATAAATATAATTCTATTTCAGACTTGCGAGATGAGGAAAAATTATATTTTATTTCACATTTGGCTATTTAATTGTAATCCTATATTTATAAATGAAAATTCAATTATCCTATTATTTGATAAACTAACGAGTAAATTATATTTTTAATTTCAGGGAGAGCGTGAAATTTATCATTTTTCAGTCTCGGAAAGAAAAAAGTAAATTCACTTTTGTTCAGAAAAAACGAGAATTATCGAAGTAAAAAAATCTATTTAAAAAAAATATTAGATTTAATTTAGATTTGAATTTTAAAAATAAATTTATTTCATTGAAATTTCAATTTAAAAACAGTATTTCATTGAAATATCAATTCAAAGACAGTATTTATTTGCTTTCAAATTTAATTTATTAAAAAATATTAAATTTTTATTTTAATTGTCAATTATTTATTAATCAAAATAATAATTATTAATTTAAATTATTGAATTTAAAAAAAATCTATTTAAAAAAAATGTATTTAATTGAAATTTCAATTTAAAAACAGTATTTATTTACTTTCAAATTTAAATTATTAAAAAAAAAATATTAAATTTAAATTTGAAGAAAAAAAATACAGAAATTAGAGAGTTTTTACTTAAAAAAGCGAAAAAAAAATCACAAGAATTATCGATATTAAAAAATAAAACATGCAAAATGTTTATTGAAAGAGAAAATATTTTTTCTTCTCTATAAAAAACAAAAAATTTGATAAATTCAAATAAAAGAGAAAACAAGAGAAAAAGAAAAAAGAGAAAAATTTTTCACAAAAAAGTAAATTTCTTTCATTCGCTCTAAAATTTATCTCTTCAGAAAAATATTTCTAATCGCTGTATTTTTATCTCAAAAAGCTTAGGCCAACGATCGTACAACTATTATTTAAAATACTTCTTTATCAATATTAACAAATAATTATTTTTCTCAAATTGTAATCATTTCATCGTCTATTTGAACAATTAGTCCAAAAAGAAGTTATTCTCGAGAAAAAAATTCCAAAGGGAAAAAGATTTGATAATATTTCTCATTTGAAGAGAATTTACTTTCAAGATTTTGTTTTGTTTCAAAAATAGAATCATTGTTATTATAATAATTATAATAATTATTTTTTTATTCTTATTATTTATTTCAACATAAAATTATTATTATAATAATATTTATAATATTTATAATAATTATTATAATAAGAATTATAATAATTATAATATTTATTATAATAATTATTTTTTTATTCTTATTATTTATTTATTTCAACATAAAAAACTGTTTTGCCATTTTCATCTGTTTTTGAAATTTTTTTTCCTCGAGAATTTTCTTTTTGTCTTATTTTATAAAACTTTTGTCCCATAAATTTTTGTAAGTCTTGTATAAAAATTCTTTTCAAATATTTCATTAACATTGTACTTTTATTATTCTATAGGCACATTAAAAAGTCATTTAGTTTCTTTGAGATGACAATTAGTAATCCCCTGACCAACGAGAATGCGTTGATTGTCTTTGAATGAAAAATTAAAATTCTTCGGCGCCTCAAATAATAAGACAATTGTTGATCCCATTCGAAATTCACCGAACAATTCACCTTTTTTCATTTCTAAATTCTTAAATAAAACTTCTTCGTACTTTTTCCCTCTCGGCCATTTTCTCCTGTTTGTTATTAAATTCTCGTCACTAAACACACGAATAGATCCAACATTTGTTGCACCAACCACAGCATAGGCCATAAAACCACCTTCCCATTCGCCAACATAAACGGCCCGTTCATTTAGAGAAAATAAATTTGGCACCCAACTCGATACTTTTGGATTGACACTCAATAATTTCCCCTGAAAATGTTTCCGATAACGAATCGTCCAATTTGTCGCACTATGAAAACGATGATAATCACCAGGTGCGAGATAAATTGATAATTGATACAATTGATTATTCGGATTCTTCAAAAGCGAGGAAACGTATTTTGTCTTCGCCTCCTCACTGTCAATTTCCCATTCATCGTATTTATCACCCAAAAAATGTCGTAGATCATAAGTAACACCTTTTACCTGTTCAACGTAACAATTCGTCACCGGACCAATGTGAAGAATTTTTCCATCAGCCGGTGAAACAATTCTATTTTGTCCAATTGGTCTCACATCCTTTCTCAGGGGGCGAACGAAAAAATCGACTAACGAGGGAAAACTCGCGAGTTCCTTGTCAATTTCATCTAAATTTGCACTAAATGTACGCGCGTAAAATTTATACAAAGTCGGACGCAGACTGTGTGGTAATTCGACACTTGCCAACCAACCCCAAATTCGGCTCGTAACACGCAATGGTAAATGACAATAACAACCGACAACAATATCGCGTGTCACTGTTTTCTCTTCATTCTCCTTCGTCTTCGATTGCTGCCATATGTAAAATGATAGAAATGAAACACCAAAACCGAACGGAAAGTACCATTGCCATGGTTTTAGCCATGAGATCACGTTTCGTTTTGTTGGCGAAGATTCACTTGAGGTTGTTATGTGTTTTCTATTCGAAAATAATGTTGATTTAGATAAATGAACAATGCGTAGGGAATTGCACTTTTTTAAAGTTAACACTGTACGTTGATAGAATCTCATTGTAGGCATCTTGTCATTAGAGGCATCACACAATAAATAGTATTTTTTGTCTGGTGACTCTGTTTTCGATCTTCGCTTTGTTTCACTTTGTTTTGATTTTGAGGTTATGTTCACTCAGTGCGCGTGCGCGTAGCGAGTTTGATATCGCGGACAACTGGAGTCAAATTGACAACAGTGAAACTTAACATTTGTCATTTTTCAATTAACAAATCAAATTAATATTTACATTTCGAATAAGATAAATTCTACCTACATGATTAGAACAACTGTATAAACCGTATAAACTAACGAAAATAGCAAAAATTATGAGAATTTTCCACTTCACATTTTGAAAATAGTACTTGTTTTGACTTCGTCATTACTCGAACGTTCAGCTACTCAATTCACAGTTTAGGAAAACTTTTTCCACTTTTTCCTCCTTTTAAACTCTTTAGCAAAAACTTATCACGAAAATAGAATCAAGCGAGTAATTTTTTACTTTCCCCTTCGAATTTTTATACACAAAAAAATAAAAAATTGACAGTTAACCTCTTTTTGAAAAAAGTTGTCCAATTGACTAGTTTTCGCGCGCATGCGCAACACACTCGAACTTTAAATGTCAGTGACACTCCGACAAAAGTTTGAAACTTTTCGCTTATTTCCAGTTTTTTATTATTAATAAAGTAAATAAAGAAGAAAATTATTATTAATAATAAAGTAAAGAAGACAAAAAGTTAACAATTAATATCGGGAGTGAAAAAAGAACGAAAGTTTGACATTATTTATTGCAGTGTACGTATAACAATCGACGACATTCTTCTCTTTTTTTTCTCTATACAAAATAAAAACTTGTTTCTTTTCTTTAAAAAAAAACTATATATAATACTTTGAGGTCTTTGGCGCGAGATATTTCTGTTTGTGTTCGAATAATTTTTTAATTGTCTTATACGCATTTTTATGTATATAAATATATATTATCGTGTATGTGTGTATAATTTATTAATCATTAATATTCAATTAACCTAAAAATTCAATTAGTTGTTGTTGTTGTTGTTGTTGTTGTTTTTTCTTCATATAATAATATACATATGGCAAAGTTGTCGTCAATCGGACAAAAGTTTTGTTATATCCGATAGTTTATCAGTGTAATAGTCGGGAACAATTAAACCTTTTGATTCGGCGTCCGGTTGAATTAATTCATTAACATTTTCTTGATTAGTGACACCTGTCATTACAAGTAGTGTTTGAAATCCGCAACGTTTTCCCAAAAGAATATCGGTACTGCAACTGTAAATCAAGAAAAAGACACAAGGTAAAAATATAATTATCTATATAAAAATTAATTAATTAGTGTGTAAGTTATTTGGAAAAATTGTGTTTTTTGTAAATATTTTCAATATTTGCACATAACCTAAAAATTATGATTAAATATTTTTATTATTATTATAATTTTCAAATTCTTCGTTAGAATTCAATTATTTGCATAAATAATGAAATTCTAGGAAGAAATTCAATTTTTTTGATAAAATTCTTCGCAAAAATTCCATTATTTTTGTAAATAATTAACATTCTTCGAAGAAATTCAATTATTTTTAATTTGTTTGATAAATTTCTTCACAAAAATTAAATTATTTTGTATAAATAATAAAATCCTTCGAAGAAATTCAATTATTTTCATAAATAATAAAATTTTTCGAAGAAATTCAATTATTTTTTAGATAGTAAAATTCTTCGGAAAAATTTAACTATTTTCAATTATTTTGGTAAAATTCTTCCAAAGAATTCAATTATTTTTATAAATAATAAAATTCTTCGAAGAAATTCAATAATTTTTAATTTGTTTGATAAATTTCTTCACAGCAATTCAATTATTTTTTATAAATAATAAAATCCTTCGAAGAAATACAATTATTTTCAAAAATAATAAAAGTTTTCGTAGAAATTTAACTATTTTCAATTTTTTTGATAAAATTCTTCGTAAGAATTCAATTATTTTTATAAATAATAAAATTCTTCGAAGAAATTCAATTATTTTCAATTTTTTTGATAAATTTCCTAGCAAGAATTCAATTACTTTCATAAATAATGAAATTCTTTGAAAAAATTCAATTATTTTCATAAATAATAAAATTTTTCGAAGAAATTCAATTATTTTTATAGATTGTAAAATTCTTCGGAAAAATTTTCAATTTTCAATTTTTTCGATAAAATTCTTCGCAAGAATTCGATTTCTTTTTATAAATAATAAAATTCTTCGAAAAAATTCTATTATTTTTTATTTTTTTGATAAAATTCTTTGTAAACATTCAATTATTTTCATAAATAATAAAATTGTTCGAAGAAATTCAATTATTTTTTATTTTTTTGATAAAATTTTTTATAAACATTGAATTATTTTCAAAAATAGTAAAATTCGTTGAAGAAATTCAATTATTTTTATAAATAATAAAAGTTTTCGAAGAAAATTAATTATTTTTATAGATAATAAAGCTTTTCGGAGAAATTTAATTATTTTCAATTTTTTTGATAAAATTCTTCACAAGAATTCAATTATTTTTGTAAATAATTAACATTCTTCGAAGAAATTCAATTATTTTCAATTTTTTTTTATAAAATTCTCTGCGAGAATTCAAAGATTTTCATTAAATAATTTTAATTACTTGTCGCCAATCATGAGGGTTCGTTTTGGATCCAAATTGAAATTTTTTATTAAATATTCACTAATGCAGGATTCAGGTTTTCCCAAAATTTTTGCTTTCCTACTGGCTGCGATTTCGACAATGGAAATAAAACATCCGGTTCCTGTATTTAAAAAGAAAAACAGTTATTAGAAAAATTCTTTTATTAAAAAAAGAATTAAAAAAGAAAAACAAAAAAAGTGTTTTTAATTTAGTTTGCAATAAAACACTTTTTTCTGTTTTTTTTTTCTTTATTTTTTACTTTTTGTTCATTTTTTTTTATTTACCTGGAAAGGTATTGTTATTCGGCGATGGCCTACTAATATCAGGATTCATTCCCAAGAATTGTACATTAGGATTTTGTAAATAAGTTGCGGCCTGCACTAATTTTGAATAACTGAAAGTATCATCAAATCCAACTGCAACTGCTCCCACTTCCGGGTCAGGTTTAAAATTCGTAATTATCTCAAAAGCTGTTCCTTGAAGGGAGTCTGGCTAAAAAGTAGTGGAAAAAATAAGTTTCAATTAATATTGTTTCTAAAAATATTTACCGTTTAGGTATTTAATTTAATTTTTAGAATTCATAAAATATTTTTTTCTCTATTATTATTTATTCAATTCTCACAATTAGGTATTTAACTGCATTAAATTAATAGGAAAAATTTCGAAATAAAAACAAATAAACAAGATAGTAAGAACAATATAAATCATAGTAAAATTAATAATTATAGATAAAAAAAAGTCATAATTTGTTCTGTTTACTACTTAAATAAATAAATAAATAATGAAAACAAAAAAGAAAATAATAATAATAGTGGCGATAATAAAAAAATACTAAGAATAATAATGCCAATAATTATGATAATAAAAATAATAGCAATAATAATAATGATTATAAAAATAATAATAATAATAATTGACCAATAATTTCAACTTTATTATTAGTAATAATATTAATAATAATTTCAAATTTACACTTACTCCATATCCACAATGTCGAATTCCAACAGCTTCTAATTCTTTAGCCATTCCGGAATTGCCGATTAAATAAACTTTCTTGTCAAATCCCTGTTGCTTTAAATATATTGCTGCCAAAAATGACGTGCACACCATTTCGTCCTGCAGAGAAAATATTCTTTTTTTAGTTAAAATTAAAATTAGCTTTTCTATCGAAATTATAAAATAAGCTTTTTTCTAATTAAAAATTTAATTATATTTTTTTATTAAAATTATTTTCATTAATTAAAATTAAAATTAGTTTTTTTATTGAAAGTAAAATAGCTTTTTTTATTTTAATTAAAATTGGCTTTTTTTATTGATATTAAAATTAATGTAGGAAATTATTTGCTGATTAAGATTTCCTTAATTGATATTAAAATTAATGTAGGAAATTATTTGCTGATTAAGATTTCCTTAATTGATATTAAAATTAGTTTTCTTTATTGAAATTAAAATTAGCCTTTTCTCTAATTAAAAATGAAATTTACTAATTTTATGGAAATAAAATAATTTTTATCAATTTTATTTTAATGAATTTTTTTTATTAAAAATTGTTTCTGATTAAAATTAATATTTTTTTTGTATTTAAATTTAAAGAATTTTTTTTAAATTTTTGGTAAAAAAGAGAAGAAACTTACTATTGTTGCAGAATAATTTAATCCTTTACATTTATCGACAAGGTCAGCTCTCGTTTTTCCATTATTATTCGTCACATAGAAAAACTTCTTTCCATTTCCTTTCAAGTGGTTAACAGCCTGAGGCGATCCTTCAATAACTTTTGTTTCCTCCCAAAGAACACCTATAATTAAATTTAGTTTTTAAAAAAAATTTATTGCAATAATATTTTAAATCAATAATTTTTTTACATTTTTAGAAAAATTTAACTTCAAATTTATTTTTAGTAAAATTTAACTACAAATTTGTTTTTAGTAAAATTTAACTACAAATTTATTTTTAGTAAAATTTAACCACAAATTTATTTTTATTCTTATTAAAATTGTATCGCAAAATACTTTTTGAAAAATAATTTTGCAAATTTTATTTTCAATTTATTATTGTATAGAAATAATTTTAATATTTATACATAAATAATTGAACAAAAAAACTCGGACAAATTAGAAATATTTTTTTAGAGAAACATTAAAAATTTACAATTAATTTTTATAAACAATAAAATGAAAATTAAAAAAATAGAAAAGCGTGAGAATAATTAATACGAACCATCGCAATCTGACAAAACGACGTCAAAAGAATTAAAGAAACTTTTAAATTCCCCCTTGGTCAGTGATGTCAATCGTTTAGCTGCCATTGTGTGACTACCTGTGAATATTTCAATTTTCAAAACACGCGAGTATAATTCCGTATTAAAGTTTACACACTCAAAGCGCGCGAGAGAGAAATAAAGAGAGTGAGAGAAAAACTAAAGTGTGATTTGGCCGATTGCCAATTATTCTTTGACAGAACGACCTTCCTTATGCAATATTATGTAACTCTATAACAAAAATTTATCACACTTATTATACACTAGGACCAACTTGAATGAAACTCTAGCGAATAAATCTCTCACATTGAAATTAATTTCATTTTCTATTGCAATACATATTTGCCTTATCAATTTTCGTTCGCTTTGGAATGACAAAAAAAAAGAATGAAACTATAAATACATATTATACATAAGAGTCAATAGTGATAAATATTTTTCCGTAACAACCGGAAAAAAAAATTACAATAATAAATTCAACACGTGCGCGTTAAGAGAGACGAGAAAGAGTGATAGAGAGAGATAGTTTAGCGTAAAACACGTGAAATCCTCGCTCTAAAAATTCCACTTGAAATAGATTTTTGATTTTGAAATTTTTCAAGAAAAAGTTTCAAACAATTTTCTTATCATATTTTCCGACAACTTTTATGCTTGACAGAAAACATAAAATTTTTCCGCTTGCCAAGAATGCGATACATGATTTTTGTTTCTCTTTTTATTGGAAATTGTTTTTTTGTTAGTTGAATTCGTCGTTGAAAATTGAAAATCGGATTTTAATTTTTATTTAGTTGTTAAGTAAAATAACTTAATAGCTATTAAATAAAATAACTTAATAATTATTAAATAAAATAATTTAGAACTTATTAAACAATAATAATAAATTAAAAGTTATTAAATAAAATAATGTAATACTTATTAAACAATAATAACGTAATACTTAATAAAAACTATAAATAATTACGTAAACTGAAAATTTATCGTTTTTTAAATTTATTACAAAACGACGTTTTTGTAAAATTACAATATTTTTTAATTTATTACATTTTTTTGTCATTATTTTTTTTTTTATTGAAAAAGCGTTAAATTGCAATATTTTCAAAAAAATCTGTAAATATTTCTATTTATTGATTTTTTGTTGGTAATTTTTTTTTACTCCTTTTTCGTATTTTTTCATTTTCATTTTTTTTTCGACTTTTTATATTTTTATTTTATTATTGATATATTTGTTTATAAATAATGAAACTAGCATTAAATACTTTTTTGTCATATAAAAAAAAAAGATTTTTTTTATTGTACTGACGGAAAATGTTTAATTATTTCTTTTCAAAAATATTTGATTTTTTTAAATTTCCTCTAAAAATTTGAATAATTTCTCGATATTTTATGTTGTTTTTTCTTTTAATCGACACCGATTTTTATATTTAAAATATTTTTTTTATATTTTAAATCCTTTTTTATGTTTTAAATTCTTTTTTATATTTTAAATTCTGTTTTTAAATTCAAAATTCTTTTTTATACTTTAAATCACCTTTTTTATATTTTTTTTCATTCATTTGACTTATTCCTTTTTCTTTTTGTTTTCAATTTTTCACGATTAACAAAATATTTTCCACTCGTTTCAAAATATGTATGTTTTTCTTATTTATTTTGCTCTTTTATATTTTTATTAATTTTCAAATGCAAAATATCTCATTTTTCATTTTTGTTTTGTATTTATTCAAAATCGTATTTTTGACACTTTGTAAATTCTATTTAGAATGTTTTTTTATTTATTTTGTTTCAATTTTTCTTATTTTTCCATTTTTTTTTATTCTTTATATTTTAAAACCGCATTTTAATTGATTTTGTTATATTCAAATTTTATTTATTTATTTTATTAACTTTTGTAAAAATTTCTATTTTTCTAACAATTTGTATATACATAATTTTTTTTAAATCTTTCATTTTTATTTAATTTTTTATTCTTGTATTGTTTAATTTATTTTTTTATATTTCCCTTAATATTTTTCCGTCTCAATTTATTTTATTTTTATCAATCTCTTTATTTTCTATTCTTTCTATTTTTTTGTGTCTTTTTTATCTTTTTCGTATTTTTTCATCTTTTTTGTGTTTTTTTTTCTTCTTTTTCGAATTTCTTCATATTTTTCGGTATTTTTTTTACCTCTTCTTCGATTTTTTTCACCTTTCTTCTATTTCTTTGCTTTTTACGTATTTTTTCACCCTTTTTGTATTTTTTTTACCTTTTTTTGTATTTTTTCACCTCTTTTTGTATTTTTTGCATCTCTTTTTGTATTTTTTCACCTTTCTTCTATTTTGTCGCTTTTCTTGTATTTTTTCAACTTTTTTATATTTTTAATACCATTTTTTTCTTTTTTCTCCACTTTTTTTTCTTTTTTGCTCTATAATCAATTCTCTTCGCTATTTCTTTTTCCTCTTACGTTTATATACACAATTTCCGTCAAGTACGCAAAAAAATGGCAGTGATTAAAAAACAATCAATCATTAAATGCAACAAGGTCAACATGAAAAATTCTCAAAATAATCTTATAATAATTTTCTAAAATTCGAAATAAAATTCCAAACGGTAAAAAAAAACTCTAAAACCAAAATTAATCGTTATTTTCCATTAACTCAAAGAAATAAATTCAATTACCCAAAAGAAATCAATTCAATTATTTAAAAAAATCAATTCAATTAACTAAAAGAAATCAGTTCATTTAACTAAAAGAAAACAATTCAATTAACTAAACGAAATCAATATTCAATTAACTAAAAAAATTCGTTCAATCAACTAAAAAAAATTAGTTCAATCAACTTAAAAAAAATCAATTCATTTCTTTTTTCTTTGTAAAAAAAAAATTATTCACTTTTCGTTAATTTATATTTTTCCAGCATTGGTAAAAGATCGCCCAATTGATCGGTGTAAAAATTTGGAATCCATTCTCTCTCCTCATTGGAATCGGATTTTTGCCATTTCTCCAATTCGCCCAATGACGTGACGCCGGTGAGTACAAGCAATGTTTTAAAACCACAACGTTTGCCCAATAAAATATCTGTATTTGCCCGATCGCCAATCATTATCGTACGCTCGGGATTTATTTTATAATCCTCCTGAATTACTCTACTAATATAAGGCTCGGGTTTTCCCAAAACTGTCGCTTTTCTCCCCGAGCAAGTTTCAATTGCCCTCACAATCGCTCCGGTCCCTAGAATAGAAAACAAAAGAAAAATTCGCAAATTAGAAAAAAAATATTAATTAAAATATATAAATAAAATATTAATTTTTATCTAAAAAATTAAAATTTGAGGAATTTAGTATTTCTTTCTTATTATTTTCTTTTTTTGGTATTTTTATTTTATTTTTTTCTATTTCTTTTTTTATTGGCATTTTTTTCGTTATTTCTTTTTTTGTTTACCTACTTATTGCGGATGAAAAATACAAATATTTTACCGGGAATAACAATCCTGTCGGATGGAAAATTTTCATCAGTATTTGTGGCGATAAAGTGAATTTTTTCATTTCTCAAATAAGTCGCTGCTTTCGCCATTTTTGGATAACTTATGTGCTCGTCAAATCCAACAATAACCGCATCGACATCAGGCTCGGTTTTAATATTTGGAATATCCGATAAACAATTCAATGAATCTGAACCCCATCCAAAACTTTCGATACCAAAGCTCTTCAATTCTTTTCCAATTGCTGGAAAAATAAAAAGAAAAAAGAAAACGTTTTCGTTTTTTTGCAAAAATCAAAAAAAGAAAATTAAAAAATTTACCTTCACTTCCAACAACGTAAACTTTATTATTCTTACAAATCTCAAGATCCTTGAGATATCGAGCGACCAATAATGTTGGACAAAGAATATTTTCCTCTTTTGTGATAAAATTCATATTCTCACATTTTTCCGCAAATTCTTTTCTCGTCTTTGTACTATTATTTGTTACGTAAAAAACTTGTTTTCCAATATTTTGAAATGTGTTCATTACTTCTGAGGCGTTAGGGAATTTTGTCAAATGTCTCCAAAGAACTCCTTTTTTTTTAAGGTACAAAAAACACAAAATTTCAGTTTTTATCCAAAAAATGTATTTTTCTTTCAATTTTTGTTATTTATATAAAAATAGACATTTTTCTTTTAATTTCGAAAAAAATTGTTTACTTTTAATTTCTTAACGATTAATTATTGAAAAAACTATGAATTAATTAATAATCGTAAAAATTAATTAATTAATAAAAATTCATAATTGTAAAAATTAATTAATTAATCAAAACTCATAATCGTAAAAATTATTTAATCAAAATTGTTTTATTTTCTTAACGATTAATTATTGAATTGATTAATTATTAATCTTAAAAATTAATTATGTAATCAAAATTCATAATCTAGAAATTAATTAATAATCAATAAACATTTATACGATTAAAGAAATTAATTGAAAAAATTTGAAAAACGTATAAAGAAATTAATATTTTTTTGAGAGAAAAAAAATTACCATCGCAGTCTGTCAAGACGGTGTCAAAAGAATCGAGAAATTCATTGACTTCCGGTGAACTCAGGGATTTTAGATAAATTGCACACATTTTTCTTGTGTTGAATTTTCACAGAACACTGAATCAAAAGAATACGAAAATCATTTATTTAAAAAATGATAAGAACCATTTAATCATTCAGTTATCAATTGTCCTATAAGATTGCTCCTATTGTCGCATAATATTTATTTTTTCCACTCAAACAAACAAAAAATTCTATCCAAATTTCTATTTATTACTTTTTTTTGGTAAAGATTTTGTTAATGATTTTTTTCCACTTCTTAAAAACGAAATTAAACAAATTTAAAATAAACTATTTGAATTTTATATTAAATATTATATTTTAAATAATATATTAAATAATATCTTAAATAAAAATATATCGTAGAAAAATAAATCAAAACTAAGAGAAATAAAATTACAATAATTTAAATAAATCGTATTTCAATATTTATTTAAAGAAAATTATTGGTATTGCAATATTAATTTATTTATTTGCAATTCTTAAAATTGAAATATTTAAAAGAAATTATTAAAATTAGTGTATTTATGTAAATATTTAATATTTACCAATTTCTTTCAATTTATAAAGTGTATAAAGTGTAAAACGTGTCAAAAAACTTTTAAATGGAAAGAAATAGATTAAATGACAATTATTTGTTTAGTAAGTGAAATAATCGAACCGCAAGTCTGGCTTTTCTGGAAGAATTGCTTAACTCTTATCATCACAAGTAATCAGCTTATAATTGAATAAACATGTGTCAATATCACGCAACAATAATAAAATTACTAACGAGAAACTTCCTTTCAATTTAAATGTAAAAAATGCACGCGCTCTCTCATTAGTAACCTAACCTCAATTAAATTAAATGTAATACATAATTTTCTCCTATTGACAAAACTGAAACTTGAGAAAAAACGATAAAACACCTACTGATGAATCAAAATTGCATGACAAGATGCATGACAATTTAATTATATCAATTACACGAATGACAAGAATCACAAGCACGCATTACTACAATTTACAATAAGAGACAAGAAATAATGACAAGATTCATGACCTTGAAGGTTAGCTCTGAACAAAAAATTAAAGTTCAAGGAAAGTTTGCGCAGTTTATGGAAAAGCAAACAATGCTAAATACTGACAAAACATTTACTTTTCATTCATCACTCACCTGTATAAGATAAATATTTTATTATCAAATTTATATACACCACACGCGTATCAGTAATTGCGGTAATTGCATAGAAATCGGAATTCGGAAAAAATTAACTGAGAACTCTGTTTTACCGATCGGGAGTTGTCAAAAATAGTTGTAGTTGGCGCTGCGATCGTTAGTGTTCAATCAGCTGTGAGACCAAACAAAACGTCAAAAACGTTTTTTGTTGATTTGTATATAATTTCGGGTGTTATTTATTATTTTTCATTGACGGTGGTTAATTTAAACAACACAGCAAAATGTCGTATATGTTAACGCATCTTCACAATGGCTGGCAGGTGGATCAGGCTATTTTGTCAGAAGAGGATCGAGTAGTCGTGAGTTTTCAAAACATAACCTATAAAATTTATTTTTGACAAATTGGTATTTGTTTACGTATTTCTGAATTAAAACTCAATTTATAATTGAAAAAAATCGTGTAGTATCTTTTTCGTTTTAATTGTACAAATTGTATCGAAATTATTTCGTGGATACGAATTTTTCAAAACTAAACTTTGAACAGAGTTGCCACAGATGAGGGAAGTCAGGGAAAAGTAAGGGATTTTTATTAAAAGTACTGGAAAAAATTAAATTTTAAAAATTTATTATTATTATTTATTATTTTAGAATTTAATTTTTAAAAATTACAATTTTTAATGAATTTAATTAGAAATTTTAAGAACAGCTGATTACAAGAAATTCAATTATTTTCAAAATTTTGTTTAAAAATCTCGTCAAAATTTCAATTATTTTTATAAATACGGAAATAAAATTCTTCTTCAAAATTCAATTATTTTCAAAACTTTTAATAAAATTCTTGGCAAAATTTCAATTATTTTCAAAACATTTCCTCATTTCAATTATTTTTACTACTATTTTAATAAAATTTTCCAAAATAATTCAATTATTATTTAACGTGATTTAAACAAAATTTTAATAAAAATTCCACAGGAATTCAATTACAAATTTTTTATAAATTTCTTCGCATCAATTCAATTATTTTTATTTATTTAATGAAGTTTCTCAAAAGAATTCAAATATATTCAGAGAATTAAAAAAAAAAAAGTTGTGAGAAATTCGATTATTTTGAAAAATTTAAATAAAATTCTATTAAATTCTATTAAAAAATTCTATTATTTAAAAAAATGTTGACAAAATTCTTTACAAGATTCAGTTAATAAAATTGCAATTTTAATCAAATTTTCCTATACAATTCAATTATTTTCATAAATAATACATTTTTTTATGGAAATTTAATTATTTAAAAAAAATTTGAATAAAATTCTTCGCAAGAAATCAATTATTTTCATAAATAAATGAATAAATTCTTAGCAAAAGTTCAATTATTATTTTTGAGTATTTTAACAAAGTTCTTGACAAATATTCAATTATTTTCATAAATAATAACATTCTTTTGAAGAAATTTGATAATATTTAAAAATTTGTATAAAATTCTTCTGAGAAATACAATTAATTGCAAAAATTGTAATTAAATTTTTTGAAAAAAATAAATTATTTTAATAAATAATAAAATCCTTTAAAATAATGTATTTATTTTCGTAAATAATAATATTTTTCTCCGGAATTCAATTATTTTCACAAATAAAATTCTTCACAGAAATTAAATTCTACAAACAAATTTTGAATAAAATTCGTTGCAAGAATTCAATTATTTTTTATACAATTTTAAATAAAATGATAGAAAATTGCATTTATTCGATAATTTTTTTAGTTTTTGAAATTCGCCGAAAGAATTCAATTATTTTTAAAATTTTCGATAACATTTTTCATAAAGATTCAATTTTAAAAAATATTTAATTATTTAATTTTGTTTTTAATTGAATGAATTCTTGAAAAGTTTTTAAAAAATAAGATTTTTTCTGTTTAAAAAATAAATTTTACTTAAATCTTAAAATTATAATTGAATATCAAAATAAATATACCAAGAATTTTTTAGAAATAATTTAAATTTTGCCATGAATTTTACTATTTATAAAAATAATTGAATTCTTTTGAAAAATTTTATTACGAATAAAAAAAAAATTTAATTCTTTCGTGAAATTTTATCGAAAATAATCGAATTTTCGCATAAAAATGCACTATTTATAAAAATAATTGAATTGTTTCAAAGGATTTATTAAAATTTTATAAGATAATTGAATTTTTGCAAAGATTTCACTATTTAAGGGCATTTGAACCATTATGACGTCATAGGTTCTGCAAAGCATGTGTTTTAAGGCCGTGACGTCATCATGGTTCAAATGCCCTTAAAAGAATAATTGAATTCTTGAGAAAAATTTAATTATAAAATATTTTTAAAATTGTATCGTTGCTAAGAATTACAATATTTTTGATAATAATTGAATTATTTTTCTTGAAAATAATTGAATTTATGTGAAGAATTTAATTACATAAAATTCTTGAAAATAATTGAATCCTTGCTAAGAATTTTTTTATTTACAAAAATAATTGAATTTATATGAAGAATTTAATTAAAATTCTTGAAAATAATTGAATCCTTGTTAAGAATTTAATTATTTTTGAAAATAATTGAATTCTTGGGAAGAATTTTTTTATTTCCAAAAATAATTGAATTTTTGCGAAGATTTTATTAAAATTCTTGAAAATAATTGAATCGTTGCTAAGAATTTAATTATTTTTTTAAATAATAATATTCTCATAAATTATCGAATTTCAGAAGGTTTGAATTTGAAAATCTTAATTCTTATAGAAAAATAATAATGATTTAATACTTATGTAAAGAATAATTTATTGATGTTTTCGAATAATTTTACTTTTGAAGAAATTTGTAAATAAATGTAATGGAACATTTTTTTGAGTATCTAATAATTTTTAAAGTGAATCAGAATATTCTTTAGGGAAAAAGTGAAAATTTTGTCTGGAAATCAGGGAAAAACAAAATTAAATTTTTGTGGCAACTCTGTTAAAATAAACTTTGTTTAGAGCGTTTAGAGATACAAATATTAATTATAATTTTTCGAAATATTTACCTGTCAGAGTTGAAAATGATTATTAAACTTTACAAATTTGCCAATCTACTCGAAATAAAAGAGAAAAATTCTTTAGAATGAAAATATATTATTTTAATAGGTAATTCGCTTCGGTCACGATTGGGACCCAATGTGCATGAAAATGGACGAAGTACTTTACAATATTGCCGAGAAGGTGCAAAATTTCGCCGTCACGTATCTAGTCGACATAACGGAAGTACCGGATTTCAATAAAATGTACGAATTGTACGATCCCTGTACAGTGATGTTTTTCTTTCGCAACAAACACATTATGATTGATCTTGGCACAGGTAATAATAATAAAATCAATTGGGTACTCGAGGATAAACAGGAAATGATCGATATTATGGAGACAGTTTATCGTGGTGCAAGGAAAGGTCGTGGTTTAGTTGTTTCACCAAAAGATTATTCTACAAAATATCGATATTAATTTATTTTTCTCTTTGTTTTAATTACATTAATAATTAATTTCATATTAAAAATATTTTTGTTTTAATAAAGAAAATAATTAATAATTATGCGACATTTTTTTATAATACTCAGTAAACATACTATGAATTAGAATAAAATATGCAATTCTACATTATAAAAATAATTCAATTAAAGAAGAATGTAATCGTTTTGGCAAAAGAAATCGAGAGATTTGTCATGATTTTTATAAAATGAATTAATTTTTATAAAATTTATTCTATATATACAAATACTTCTTTTTGATGTGTTACTTGTCAAAAAAATACGATTCTTTTTCTTTTTGTACAAAAATTTTCTACACGAAGATTATTTACAATTTTTATTATTAATTAATTAATATTAAACAGCCTTTTTTTCCCGTAATTGTGTCACAATCACAATTTGTTTCTTTTGATCTATCTTGGAATTTTTCCCGAAAAAGAAAGAAAAGAAAGAGGAAAATATTGCTTTGGCTAATTTTTTTTTCTTCCCCTTTTTTTGAGAATAAGAGAGACAGTCGTGCGATGATTATTAACATAATAATCACATATTTATTATGCTGATAACGAGTTCAGCTCGAGACCTTATCACAATAATATCCTTTTTCTAAATTGGTGTAAATTTTCACTTTTATCAGAGAGATGTGTCTTTTTCCAAATTTTCTGAAAAAAAAATTATCACATTCATTAATAATAGAATTATTTATCGTTAATTTATGAAGTAAATATTATTTATAATTAATATAATATTAATATTTGATTATAAATTAATTAAATTACCTTCTTCTTTGGTTTCGGAATAATTTGTCCTGCACATAAAAACGTCATTAACATCGAGCAATTGATCCGATTTTGATCGAAATAGGGGACGAACGTTTTCGTAAATTGATTTCCGCGATCCTTGAGTATCGCTTGCAGTTAAACTTGCATTGCTCGAGCCGAACGAGGAATTTTTTATCGATTCATAAGTCACATAGCCCTGGCTGCATGTTTTAACTGAAAATTTAAGTAAATACATTTTTAATTCAATTTATTATTATTATATGCAAATTACAAAAATTTTTACTTTGAAATATAAATTTTTGAATAATTTCATAATCAAGAATTTAATTATTTTCATAAATAGTAAAATTTTCCGCAGAAAAAAATAACTCACCCACTCGAGTGTCTAGAATTTTTGGATCTAAAGCAGTCAACGATTTACTGCACCTGAGACCTGAAAATATTTTTGAATCTTTAATAATAATAAATAATTTTTTATATTTAATAATAATTTTAATTTTACAAAAAGTTAATTTTAATTTCGAAACTAAAAAATAATTTATTTCAATTTTTTAATTGATGAGTCGAATGAGAAAAGAAGTAAATAAATATTAGTCAGTAATTATTAATTACCTTCAATAAAAGTACCATTTCTTGTTGGAGTTTCGAGAGTTGAAGATGGAGATGATTGATACATTGGCTCCATTGAATCAGCCGAAAGTGAGATGCTGCCTTTCCTCCCTGAGAAAAAAAAATAACAAAATTTCTCTCTTAAATTTTGCCAATAATTAACGAATTTTTCCCGTCATTTTTTTCTTAGAGAGGAAATTAAATAAAACAAAAACTTACAATCTAAACTGCTGACTAATCCTAGACTCGAATTTGCCGAATCTTTCTTTTTCTTGCTATTCTTGTGTAGATCCATTGGCGGTGGTTTATCTAAAAAAAGAAAATGAATTAATTTCAATAAATTCGACTATTAATTAATAGTTATGAATTTGATTGTAACTGAGAAATTAATTGAATAATTTGTAAATTTATCTCTTTAAATAAATAAATTAGTTGAAGAATTTAGAAATTAGTTTAAAAATCTATAAATTAGTTGAAAGACCTAGAAATTAGTTTAAAAATCTCAAAATTAGATGCAAAACTAATAAATAAATTGAATAATCTATAAGTTAGTTGAAAAATTTAGAATTTGAAATTTAGAAATTGAAAAATTTGATTGAAATGTTTAAATTAATAAAAAAAAAAATTATCACTCAATTAAATTAGTCATTGGAGGAAAATTTACTTACAATTCTTAAGAATATACGGATTTTTAAGTACTTGTCGCACGCAATTGTAAATATAAGCGTATTGACTCTGAAAAATACAAAACGAATTAATTTTTTTATTCACATAACTTTTCTCGTTTATAGAGAATAATAAGGTTTTTTGTTTTCACAAAATTTACAAAAAGTTTTCTCACCTCTCTTTGAACCATATTCAATCTATGTCTTCGCAATCGATAAACAGTTCCGAAAACGTCCAATTTTCTATTTTCTCTCATACTTTGCAATAACATATCAATTGTTATCAATGTTCCCGTCCTTCCAATTCCGGCACTGAAAAAACAAAAACATTTTTCTTTTAAATTAAAATTTACTAAAATAAAATAATTTATATGTTAAACAATCTTAAAGAATAATTTACCTATCAAAAATAACAATTTATTTAAAAATTAAACAAAAAATAAAATTCGTATTAAGGATATAATCAATGAGATATAAATATATTGTGAGAATTGATTAGAGCAATTTTTAATTATCACTGCTGGTAAATTAATGATAATAATTAGACGTAAATTACCTGCAGTGAATTACAACGAGTCCCTTGTTGGCCGTAATGTGCCGACGCATTATTTGACAAAAATTAATCATTGGATCAAAGTCCTCAGGTACATCGTGATCTGGCCAATCTTTAAAATGCAGATGCATTATATTTCTCTTTTTTTCGTCCTGCAATTAATTTATTTCTCTAATTAATGTATTTACTAAAATTAAATTATTAAAATAATTCTCTTGAAATGAAATAAACTTACCTTTTGCAAAACCAGAGTTCTTTGGGTGCAAGTGCGATAATCTAATTCGCTTGTGCAACGAATTGACATTTTTTCATACGTAAACGTTTCTCTAATTGTAGGAAAATATTGATGGCATTTTTCCTGTAAAAAATAAGATTTTTAAACAATTAAATATTTACATTATTAATATTAATCATTAATATAATTTAATTCTATTACAATTATAATTATATTTATTATAATTAGGTATATTGTAATTATTACATTAGATTAATTAGAAATTTTTTGGCGATGAAGTATTTTTTTTTATCAGATATTATATATAGAAAAGTATTTTATCAATCATCTGCAAAAAAATGATAATTTAATATGACTTTCTTTTTTTTTCTTGGAATTAAAATTACTCACTTTTCCTTTCTCAAAAAGTTGAGTCAACATTATGATTATCTTCACATCATATTGATCAATCATTCGCCAAAAATCGTATGTCGTCTCTTCCTTTGGGCCTTGACACGCAATATATTCATCCTCACCGGAATATCCCTTGAAAAATTTAGAATTTATTTATTTATAATAAATAATTAAAATAATAATAATAATAAATTTAAAAAATTCTTTGGATTCAATCAATAATTTTAATGTAATTTAATAGGAAAATTATTAATTGCAATTAATAATAAACACGATTATTTTATAAACTTAAAAGAAATTCTTCATAAAATTCAATAAAATTCTTCGCAAAAATTCAATTACTTTCATAAATAATTAAATTCTTTATTCAATTACTTTTAAAAAGTTTAAAAAAAATTCTTCACAAGAATTCAATTATTTTCAAAAATAATGAAATTCTTAGCAATAATTCAATTATTTTCATAAATAATAAAATTTTTCACAAAAATTCAATTATTTCCAAAAATAATGCAATTCTTATCAAGAATTCAATTATTTTAAAGAATTTTAACAAAATTCTTCACAAAAATTCAATTATATTTAAAATTTTCCGCAGAGATTCAATTATTTAAAGTAATTTTGATAAAATCCTTGAAATTAATTCAATTATTTTTAATTTTTTTTTGTTAAATAAAATTTGCAAGAATTCAATTATTTTCGATACATTAATTTTAAAATTGAAAACATTTAGAAAGAAAAATTATTAAAAAAGCTAAGAAACTAAATTTTTAAAATAATAATTTATGCTTTATTTTTAAATAAAAAAAATTGTTCGCAATGTTTTTTTTACTTACAGTAATGAATGAAGCGTTAATGTAGTCAGTGTTTGGATCATTATCGATCACGTCTAATTTCACTCGGGAAAAATCATCTGCGAATGAAAACAATCATTTTAATTCTTGTAATTCGATTTCCAATGAACTTGAATTATAAAACATAAAAACAAAATAAGTGAAACTAAAAAAATATTCTAATAATTTTTATTTTTAAAAATAAGTTTTGAAATAAAAAAAGGAATAAATAAAATAAAATTGTAATAAATAAAGTATAGAAATCAAAGAAATAAAAAATGGAGTAAATAAAATTTATAAATCAAAGAAATACAAAAAATTGTCAAATAAATAAAACACTAATTTTTAAATTAAAAAATTAAAGAAAAAATGGAGTAAATAAAATAAAATGGAAACTTACATGGTAAAATGTCGGAATAACGATTTTTCTTTCGATTTGCCTGAAGACAAGCGGCATTCGTTGGCATTTGAAGGTCCAAACTGAGAGTTTGCAATAACTGGAATTCACAGCTGAGTTTTCCAGGATTGTCAGCAAGTTGCTGACAATGACTGATGAATTTTCGCCTCGTAAATGGCGTTGGAACCGGCGATCCCGGCAAATCCGAATGCAAAAATCGTCGAAGAACACTGAAAATAATATTTTTCAAAATTAGATAATAAAATAAAATTACAAAATGAATAAATAATAAAAAAATAAAATGAATAAAGAAATAAAATAAATAAATAATAAAGAAATAATTAAATTCAATATTTAAATTAAAAATTAAATTTAAACAAAAAAGAATTGAAACTTGAAAAAAATGGCAATTCAAACAGAAAAATTCATTTCCGATGAGAATTAAAAGAATTTTTTTTATTTTATACACTGACAAAAAAATACGATTTTTTAGTTTGGAAAAATAATTCAAAATTTGCAAGGAAGAAAATACAAAAACTGAAAAAATAAATTCTAAGAAAGTAATAAAACTAAAGCGTAGAAAAATGGAGAAAACCGCAAAAAAATATAAAAGCGGAGAAAATTAAACGAAAATACATCAAAGGAGAGAAACGAAAAATTAAAAAATTTACCACAACCAAAACGAAGTGATAAAACGCAAAAAGAAATAAAAGACGGAAAAAAAATTTTTAAATTGTAGAAAAAATTGAGAGAACAAAAAATGAAAAGTTTATTGTAACCGAAATAATAATTCGAATTTATCGAAAAGAAAACGAAAGAATAGAAATAAACAAGAACAAATATAAATAACAAAACAAGAATAGAATCAAAATGTGAATGAAATCCAAATTTACACACTTCGTAAAAAAATTAGCGAATGACATTTGATTCCGGAAATGAGGAGAATTCATTTCTCATCAAAAAAAAAACTTTTTTCACTCAAACAAAAAAAAAATATATTTCTTTTTTGCACTAAAAAAATATTTCCCCTTTTTCACTTTTTTCCACAAAAAGATTAAAAAAAAAACGAAATATTTAATATATTAAAAAACAAAATAGCGTCATTTTGTCAAAAACTCGCCACTAGATATAAAACAAAATTTATTCTCAATTCACCTTCTTCCCGTGTGTTTAAAAATATCCATGCTTAAAAATAACGTCTCTTTATAAATTTTGAAACTTGAACGATTTCCGCGGCGGAGAGTGCGATTGCGAAATTGTGGTGTGCGTGTGTTATAAAATAAGAGAGGCGAGCACAGGGGAGAAAAGAGAAAAAGAGAGCAAATAAAAAAGAGCCCATGCGAAACCAACAGTTTGTCGTCAACTAAACGCATACATTAAATGCGTATGACACTTAATGCATTATATGATGGCCTTGTCTTACAAGTCTATAGTATTCTTCTCTCTGAGTCACCAGGACAAATATTGATTATTTCCTATAAGTGTATATAGAAGGCACACTTACACCTGATTTTATACTGAGAGATCTTTACCTGAGATTCGTCATGAAATCTCGCTCTCGTATCTTCATTCAGTGCACGGAGCATTTTTATGTCAAGCAGAAAAAAAAATTTACTTTTGAAAATAGAATTTTTTCTTTTATTCTTTTCCCAGCTTTTCTCGACTATTGAATATTAATTATTGAATTGTTGAATATTAATTACTAAAACTATTGAATATTAATTATTAAATAAATGAATATTAATTATTAAACAACTGAATAATGATTATTAAACAATTGAATATTAATTATTAAACTGTTTAATAATTACTAAGCAATTGAATATCTATATTAACAATAATTAATAATCCGAAATAATTGAATTTTTATACAGAAATTTATCCAAATTTTTCAAAATAATTAAATTCCTTGCGAGTTTTATAAAAATTTTGGAAAATAATTGAATTTCTGCGAAAAGAATTTTTATTCCAATTTTTTTTTAAATAATTGAATTCTTTAGAGAATTTTTATTGCAATTTTTTTTAAATAATTAAATTCCTTCGAGAAATGTTATTAACTATGAAAGTAATTCAATTCTTAAATAAAATTTTATTTAAATTTTTGAAAATACTTAATTGAATTTCTGTGAAGAATGTCATTTAACATTTTTTTAAATAATTCAAATCTTTAGAGAATTTTTGTTGGAATTTTTTTTTTTTAATAAAGAATTTAATCATAATTGTTCAAAACAAATTAAAAAAAAAAAATTTCAAAGTAATTGATTAAATTTTTTCTTGTAAAAAATTTTATTGACATTTTTCAAAATGCTAAAATTCTTGCTAAGAATTTCATTATTTTTAAAAATAATTAAATTTTTGTGAATAATTTTACTATTTTATAAAATAATTGAATTTTTGTTAAGAATTTTATTAAAATTTTCAAAAATAATTGATTTTTTTTGTGGAATTTAATTGAAATTGAAAACTTTTCAGTTCTCATAAATGTTCTTTATTTGTAAAATGAATTAAAAATTTTATTTTATAGTCAAACAAAGAAAAATCGAAATAATTAGGGAAAGGAAAGAAAAAAAATGTTTTTTCAATTGCAGCAAAAATGAAGATAGAGAGAAAAAATATTATATAAAAAAGTTGAAAATAATTCTTTTTTTTTTTGAAAATTTTTGATTATAATATATACTTACGCGTGTGGAGAACATTTTCTAACTAACAACATCATTGTCGTTAAAATTCCAAGTACCATGATTCCAATCACAATTCCTATTATTATCGGGATATTTATTTCAGCATCTGTAATTTTAAAAAAATATTAACTCAACTACAAAGAAGGAAAAATGGATTTTTTTCCACAATTTATTATTTTTATTTATTGTTATTATTAGTTATTGTTAGTAAATTAGTAATTATTTTTCATTATTATTTTAACTAATTCGTTATTCTTATTATTATTATTAATATAATTTTTTATTTTTTTATTATTGTTTTTTATTATTTTTTGTTATTACTTTTGTTGTTGTTATTATTATTATCAATAAAGAAATAAAAAGGAGAATTGATTGTGTTAAAAATTTTGCAAAAAAATTACTAATAATAATATCTTAATTATAAAATCGAAACTCACTGGTTTTGACAATAAAAACGTCAGAATCAGAATAGCCGCCTTCAGTGAATGCTCTCATTCGAACGTCATAAAAAGTTCCTGGCTTCAGGGGACCATTGCAATAAAGTCTTCGGTTCGTGTTAATTGAAAGTTCTTGACAATCCGTGTCCTGTCCCAAAACAAATTTCACAGCCTTTATGTGGCCATAATCAACCACATAATTCGCTAAGAACAGAAAAAAGTCAATGTTTTATATTGAAATAAAAATTATTTAATTCAAGTAAATATTTATTTAAGATAATAAACTATTTTTCTCGAATAATCGACTATTTGAATCAAATCAAATTTTTTTTCCGTGCATTTATCGTGTGTAATAAATAAATAAATAAATAAATTCTTCCCTAATAGAAAAAAATTGACTGAAAGAACGAAAATTAAAAAATTAATAAAAAAATAAATAATAAAAATAAAAAAAAGTAAAATAAATACAAATAAATTTGAACAAATAAATTAAAAAAAGAAACGACTTACGAAACGGATTCCACTCTGGACTCGTGGCCTGATATGGAATCGAGAAGTCCTTGAGCATCGACTCCTGCCAACATGATGAATTCGGCCATTCATTACCCTTCAATTCATATCTTGTTCTTGTCCCTTTATTATTTCCCCTCGTTGACACCATCACCGCATAATATTTAATATCGCCATTAGTCATTGGAAACAGTGGCAGTAAAACTGTAGCCGAAGTTGTTGTTTTTATTGCTTTTTGAGGGTCGATCGTCAACATTTTCACGTATTCAACATCCGGTTGAACTGGAACTGAAGAAAAGAAAATAAAAAAAAAAAATGCTTTTTTCAAATTTCTTACGAAAAATTCAATATTACATTTAATTAAATATTAAAGAACTAAATTTCAGAATTACAGAAATTTAATAAATATAAATGGAAATTAATTAAATTTTGAGAAATGTAAATGAATTGTGTAAAATTAAAAAAAAATACTAACTTCCAGCGGGATAATTAGTGTAATAAGTAGTTCCAGCTCCCAATTCAGTGACATTTTTCACTTTTGTCGTCAATATAAAAGTATAATAATAAGATGGTCTCAATTCCTCGAGATCGACCATAAAAATATCGTCCTTGTGGACATCCTTGCCGCTTTCGAGTATTTTCGTGAAATTGTGCACCGTTTCATTTCTCACGCCGTGCACAGAAATATTAAAAAATTCAATTACTCCATTCAATTCGCAAGGAAGGCCCCATTGTAAAATTGTACTCAATACATTCGCATCATTTTTACTCCCCTCGTGCTTGTAGGTGAAATTCGTCACTTTCGATGGAACTAAAATGCAAAATGCAAAATGTAAAATTATTTTTTATTTATATAAATTCAAAAACATGAAAAATCAAATAATTATTAAGAAGACGATTTAGATAAACGATCACTCCAAGTCAATGTAATTATAAACAGTGAAAAATAATTAATTCAAATTAATTAAATAAATATTTAAAATATTTAAATTTATTTATTTAATTCAAATTTATTTTGTTCGAATGTATTTTTGAATTTTGAAATAAGAAATTTTTGCAGATACATTTTTTTAATTTAATAAAAGGGCGAAAATTTTCTCTCACCTCCAGCGTCACTCATGAACGAAATTGATTCACTGTAATTTCCATAACCAGCTCTTGTTTTCGCTCGTATTCTCACTTCGTATTGCGAATAGGGCGATCCTTTTTGATGGGTATAATTCAATAATGCACTGTCCAATATTGTTGAATTGTGTTTTAAAGTATTGCATTTATCGGGAACGGGAAACGCCGGTTCCCATGTAAAATCAATTTCGTAATTTTGTATCGTACCCGGAATAATATCTGGTTTTATCCACTCGAAAGAATATTCCAAATCGCTCACATCTGTTAAATTCATTTGCGGTGCAGATGGAACTAGAAAAAGAAAACAAAATCGTTTAAATAAAATTAAAATAACTCAATAAAATAAAATTTTAAAAATGAACAAACCAGCAAATTTTTGAATAATTTCATTAATCAAAATTAAAAAAATTCACTTATTAAGTACATAATTAATTATTATTGTTTGTTATTATATCAAAAATTTTAATAGAATTCAATTATTTTTAAAAATTTTAATAAAATTCTTCACAACAATTCAATTATTTTAATAAATAATAAAATTCTTTGCAAAAATTAAATTATTTTATTAAATTAGATTGAAATTTTACCATCTTCCTCGGTCATGACGTTGACGGGTAAACTGCTATTACTTTCCCCCGCGACATTAATTGTTGTCGCTTTACAATCATAATTTGTGAATGGACTCAAATTTTCGACTTTAATATTAACCAATTTTCGCTTAAGTTGATCGATTTCTATTACTGATGAATTGGCCGTTCCATTTTTTGGCTCATAGCCAATTCCTTTAAATTCATTCACAGTGTAATGACAATGGACAATAACCGCTTCCACTGTGCAATTATTTTCACTTTCAATTTTCCAATAAAGTGTTGCCGAATCTTTCGTGTAGGTCGGAGCTTTTACTCTTCTCGGCGGCTGAGCAACTTTAATTAAATATTTAAATTAATGCATTTCAAAAATTCACTTTTATTATTGAAAATTGAAAATTTTTATTTCGAATAAATTAAATATTGAATTAAATTAATTAAACATTTAATTAAAATAGCTAAATATTGAATATTCAATTAATTCAATTAATTAATTAAATACTGAATAAATAGAAAAGAAATAAAATAAATTCAAGTAATTAAAAATAAACAGTTTTTTTTTAGGATTGAATTTAAAAGAATAAAATTTAGAGAGAAAAAGAAATAAAAAATTACCGCTCATTAATGTTGGTGTTGTATTTTGAATAAATTCGGAGACACTCTTTACATTTTCAATGTCGACTGCACTAATTTCCAAACTGTACGATGTGCAGGGAAATAAACCGTCAATTTGTATTTCAGTTTTGGTTGTATTATTTATTTGATAAATTTCCTCCGAAATGTTTGTTTTTAATGTTATGAGATATTCTTTCACGCAACTTGCGCCAATTTCCGGTGGTGACCAAACAATTTTCAATGCTTTCTCCACTATTGGAGTGTGAGAAATATTCACAGGTTTACTTGGTTCTGAAAAAGGGCAATAAGAAAACAAAAGTTAATTACAAATTTCATAAATCAATTTCAAACATCAACTTCAATTTTTTTTAAATTTTAGATTCAAAATTGAAAAATTTAACATATTATGTTAACTAATTAATTAATTAATTCTAATTTTCTATTTTCAAAAAAATCAATTATTTTAAAAAAGTTTTAATAAAATTCTTCGCAAGAATTTAATTTTTTTCAAAAATTCAATTATTGTTAAGAATTTTAATAAAATTCGTCACAAAAATTCAAAAATTTTCAAGTATTTTAACTAAATTCTTCACCAAAATTTAATTATTTTTATAAATACTATTTTTTTTAAGAATATGGTTATTTTTAAAAAGTTTAAATAAAATTCAATTATTTTTAATAATAAGAATTCAATTATTTTTAATAATTTTAATAAAATTCTTAACAACAATTCAATTATTTTAATAATAATTTTAATAAAATTCTTAACAACAATTCAATTATTTTAATAAATAATGAAATTTTATTCTTCAAAAGAATTCAAATATTTTCATAAATAATTAAATTCTTAGCAAAAGTGCAATTATTCTCAAGCATTTTAACAAAATTTTTCACAAAGATGCAATTATTTTAATAAACAATAAAATTCTTAGCAAAAATTCAATTATTTTCAAGCATTTTAACAAAATTCTTCAAAAAAATTCAATTGTTTTTATAAATAACATTTTTTGTGAGAATTCAATTATTTTTAAAAGTTTGAATAAAATTCTTCTCAAGAATTCAATTATTTTTAAGTATTTTTACAAAATTCTTCACAAAATTTTAATTATTTTTGTAAATAATAACAAATTTTGAAAGAAATTAATAGTTTTCATAAATACATATTAAAATTTTCCGCAGAAATTCAATTATTTTTAAATAGTTTTAATAACATTCTTTGCAAGAATTCAATTATTTTCAAGAATTTTAATAAAATTCGTCACAAAAATTCAATTATTTTTATAAATAATAAAATTCTCTTAAAAAATTCAATTATTTTCATAAATAATTAAATTCTCAGCAAAAGTTAAATTATTTTTTAATATTTTAGCAAAATTCTTGACAAAAATTCAATTATTTTTATAAATAACATCATTCTTTGAAGGAATTTGATAATATTTAAAAATTGTAATATAATTCTTTTGAGAAATTAAATTAATTGCAAAAATTGTAATAAAATTTTCTTGAAACAAATAAATTATTCTAATAAATAATAAAATTATTTAAAGTAATTCAATTATTTTTAAATACAATTTTAATTAAATTCCTTGAATGAATTTAAATTTTAATAAAATTCTTCTTAGAATTTTAATTTCAAAAATTTATTTTTTCAATTGTCAAAAAATTTTCAAAATGATTTAATTTTAAAAGTTAAAAAATTTAGAAAGAGAAATTATCAAAACAAATTAAGAAAGAAAAAAATCAAACAAAAACAAGTAATTTCATACTGTGAACAGATTACCGGAATACAGCGATTATTAATATAGATTTTCATGACAAAATAAAATTTTCCTTGAAAAATTTATTCTTTTAATAAATAAATAAATTTAATTAAAAATTTTCTTTTCACTTACTGACTAATTGTGTAATTACTGTGGCATTTGTGCCGTTTGACGATTCAGAATATCCGAGGGCTTTCACGACAATTGTGTGCTTAACACATGGAAGGAGATTGGTTGCATTGAAATAATTTTTTTTCGTTGTCTCATTGTAAACAATTTCCTCATTAACAATTGAGGAATTAAATACAGTAACTAAATATCCAATCACACATTCATTATTTCCAAGCGGAGTCCATGAAATATCGATGGAATTTATCTTAACAATGGTCATTAAATCCTTTACCTTATTGAGTCCTGTGGATTAAAAAAATAACAATTTTCATTAAAATTACATTTTTTTTATACCTATCAAGATTATTTCACAAAAACATTTTTTTCTTAAAACAATTAAACTTAAAACAAAACTAAATTCACATTAGTAGCTTTCGGAAAAAATTAACATTCTTAAAAATTAAAAACCTATTAAACTAATTTCATCCAATTCTCAAGTTTTCTTAATTCTTTTTTAATTATCAGCAATCAACAATTATTCAAATATTTAACAAAATATCTTCTTAAATTAAATTTTTTTTTAATTTAACATATCGATTAATTTAAAAACTAAAATAAGGAAATAAAATTTTTATTTCGCATTTTTGGTAAAGGAAAAACTTCGAAATTGAAAAAATGTTTACTTTTGAATATTTTTTGTTGTCTAATATTTATATTGAGAGGAAATGAAAAATTTTTAAACTTACTCGATGATTTAGTTTGTGCGGTGACATTTTGTCCCGGTGATGATGAACCATTATGACCTTCTGATTTAACAGTAAAATTATATTTCGTACAAGGCATAAGATCTTTGGCCTCAAAAAAATTATTTCCCGTTGTTTTCTTTGAAATTAATTTATTTTCACTGTCAAAAGTTTCTACTAAAAATTGTGCAACACATTTACTATTTTTTGGCAAATCCCACCAAAGTTTTGCCGAAGTTTCACTCGTTTCCACATGTAAATTTGTCACCTCGCCTGGAACTGTGGAGAGAAAAAAAAATGAGAAAAAAGTAAAAACAGTAATAAAAAAATAATTAAAAAACAGAGAAAGAGAAAAATAAAGAAATTAAAAACTAATGAAAAGAAAGAGAAACAGAAAAATAAAGAAAATAAAAAATAATTAAAAGAAAGAGTAATAAGGAAAATAACTTACCAACTGATTTCGTAGATTGTTCAATGCGATTTTTATCCGACGAACCAACATCTTCTAAACCACGAGCAGCGACACTTATTAGATATTTTGTACACGGTTCAAGATTTGAAGCTTTATAAAATCTTTCCTTATTTCGTATTCCAATTTTTTCAGATCCTTCATCATCGACTACTTTCACATCATAATTATCCACACATTGACTATTTTTTAATGGCAATTTCCATGAAATATTCAAAGACGTTTCATCGGCTTCCACACTTAATTCCTCCACTCTTCCAGGAACTAAAATAAAAGCACAAGAATAAAAATAATTTAAAAAAATCAAAAAGAAATAATTAAAATCTTTAATAATATATTACATTAATTAATAATAATATAAATATTTTTAATATTTCCCCTTGTGGAAAATTTTGCAATTTTTGTTTTTTTTTATCTTAAGTCAGATATTCAATATCATTAATAATTGTTTTTCTGATACTAATATTGGGAATAACTGAATATTTATCAGATATTAAAATTATCAGAGAGAGAGAAAGAGAAAAACAATTTTCTTCCCAGAAATTTTTTCTTTTCTTTATTTATTTACTTCTTGATTATTTAAAGTGCAATTAATTAAAGTGAATTGTATTGTGATAAAAATAATCAAAATCTATTGTGTTGTATATTAATTTAATTATAAAATTATTATTAGTATTTTATAATTATTAAATACAAAAAAAATTAAATTATTGAATTATTAGGATTTAATAATTAATTATTAAATTACTATTTAATTAAATTAGGTAATTAAATTTAATTACTAAATATTTGATTATTTAATAATTTTTTTTAAATGACTAATTTAATATAGTGATTAAAAAATAATTTCTACTATTTACCAGAAGCTTTTGTGGAATGTTCTAAAGTTTTTGAATCGTGTGGCTTCTCATCATTTGGATCGTGAATTTCCTTGGTAATTTTAATTGAATATATTGAACATGATTCTAATTCGGTGATATTGTAAATTGTAAGATTTGATATTACAAATTTAGAATCTTTCAAAATTCCACTATCAATTGGCTTTATTGACCATTCAATTTTGTAAGAAGGAACAAATGTTTCGCTCACTCGCCACGAAATTGTTATTGAATTTGACGTTGTATCAATCACTTTCAAATTGTCCACTGGAACAGTAAAAATAAAAAAGAATTTCAAAATTTTTCATTAATTTCAATTTTACTAAATTTTAATTATTTATTCATTTATTTTTAACAAATTAAGTTGAGAAAGCAATTAAAAAATAATTTCCCAAAATTAGAATTTTAAACGAAATTGAAATAAAATAAAATTTTTTTTGTTTAGAAAAAAAAATACAAACCATCTGGTGAAAGTGGAGCTTGTGGTTGGTTATGAGATTTAATTTCATCGTTCTCCAATTCATTCGGTTTCAATTTCCCTTCTTCTTCTTCCAATTCATCGGAAATAATATTTTCATCTAAAGCAAGTTGGGTTGTTTCCTCTTGTTTCAAAATTTCTAAACGATAAGCTAACGATTTATTATTATTATTATCATCATAATTTGTCGAATCCAATAAATTATTCTCAAATTTCGCTCCATTGACTCCATTTCCAAAGCAAAAAAATATTTGCAAAATACAAAAAACTCCCAGCAATCGTTTTCGTCGAATCATTTTTGTTTTTCGTCCCCGCTAAGTCCTGAAAAATTAAATTCATAAAATTATTTTTCTCATTAAAATATAAAATTCAGTAATTTGCTGAGAAGGAAAAAATTGCCAATTAAAACAAATTGAACGATTTTTAAGCTCCCGAATTAAGAAGTAAGAGATTTTTTTCAAAGATAATTTCTATAAGTTTCCTTTACAATAATTGAAATAATATGGATGATCAGTTATAAAAATGATCAGTTATAGACACAAGATTATTATCTGCTGACAACAAAGATATTTCAGACAAAAAAGAAAAAGAATTTAGAAGAAAAAAAAATTTATTTTACAAAAACTTATTTCTTTATGATAGTAATAAAACAAAAAATTATAACGATAAAACAGAGATAATAAGGCTAATTAAGAATTAACGAGAAAAAAAGAGGAAAAAGAAAAAATAAATTTTTATTTATTTACTTTATTCGCTTTTGTCGAATAATGTAATAATTAGATAAACACAGTATTTAACAAATGGTATTTAGTGTTTAATAATTTAGAAACAACTTTTTTTCTTGTTTAAAAAAAATAATAATTATTTATAAAACAAAAATATTCAGTATTGTATAGTTAAATTTAATTATCACTATTATCGCTTATAATATGAAAACCGATGGTCAATTTTATTACTCCAAATAGCTTTTGATAAATCTTATCAGTCTCCAATGTAAATTGCTTGTGTCAGTGTTAAACAATTTTTCCATTCTACTTCTTTTTTTATATTTTCTTACCGAGTATTTCGTACTTTTATTCGTAACGAAAAAAAAATTATCCGGAAAAATTAATCGAAAAAGCCCTATTTTCAATTCAATTATTTTTACGAATATTAATATTCTTCGAAAAACTTAAATTATTTTTAATTAATTAAATAAATTTAATTAAATTAAATTAATTAATTAATTATTTAAATTCTTCACAAAAATTCAAATATTTTCATAAATAATTAAATTCTTTAGAAGAATTCAATTCAAAATTTCAATTATTTTCAAGTATTTTACAAAATTCTTCACAAAAATTCAATTATTTTTATAAATAATAAAATTCTTCCTAAGAATTTAATTATTTCTGTAAATAATAAATTTTTTCCTAAGAATTTAGTTATTTCCAAAAATAATGAATTTCTTATAAAGAATTCAATTATTTTTAAGAATTTTAATAATATTCTTCGCAAAAATTAAAAAATATAAATTCTTCATAAAAAATTTAATTACTTTATAAACTTAAAAGAAATTCTTCTTAAAATTCAATTACTTTTAAAAAATTTTTCTTTTAAATTTCAATAAAAATCTTGCCTCGAATTAAATTATTTTCAAAAATTTTAATAACATTCTTTATAAGAATTCGATTTTTTTTTATAAATAATAATATTCTTTCAAAAAATACAATTATTTTTAGAAATAATAAAAATTCTTATCAAGAATTCAATTATTTTCAAAAACTTTAATAAAATTCTTCTCAAAAATTCAATTATTTGCAAAAAAAATACAATTTTTTGCAAAAATTCAATTATTTTCAAGTAATTTAACAAAATTCAATTATTTTTATAAATAATAAAATTCTTCTCAGGAATTTAATTATTTTTCAATTGCGTTTAATAATTTTATTAAAATTTTGCAAGATTAATTAATTATTTGCAAGAATTAAATGATTTTCAATAAATTAATTTAAGAATTAAACGAATTTAAAATGAAAATTTTTTGAAAAAACGAGAAAACAAAAAGCAACAATAAAATTATTAAAAAGGACTTTTGGATAAATTCTGATGGAAAATTTTTTTCAATTATTAATAAAAATAACAAAATATTTGGATAAAGAAAATAAATATTATAATTCTAATAATTAAAAAATAAACAATAATTATTATTATTTGTAATAATTACAATTATTAGTCACATTAAAATTTTATTTTACATCAGAATTCAGATTAAAAATAGAAAAAAAGTATAAAATAAATTAAATCACTGAAATCAATTAAATTGATAAACGATATAAAAAAAATTGTGTGAAAAAAATTTTATAATTAAAATCAGTTAAAAATGAAAAAAAATGGAATTAAGAAAGAAGAATTTGTTTAGTAAACAATAAATATTGTCGTTATTGTGATATCGTCGATTATTCTAGTAATTTTCGAAAAAAAAAATTTTTAACACCTTGAAATCTTTGTTTCTGTGATGATTAATCGTCCATTTGAAAATGATATATATACGTGTATATTATGAACGATAGTTTATCAAGTCTAATATCTATCGAGTGTTTTAAGTGATTTGTATCATTATTAATTGATTACAGTAGGAAAACTATTTACCAAAATTGGAGAAAAAAAATTCTTAATTTACCTTTTAATATTACGTTGCAGAATTTTAATCGCAAAATGAAATCGACAACAAAATTTATCAATAATATTTCTTCTTTGACATTTTTTTTTCTTCTGAAGAAATTTAATCAATTTTTTTCAAACCAAAATTTCAGTTTGTGAATATTTTTATTTTTCAGTAGAAATTGAAAATTAATTCTTTTTTTCGAATTGAAATTAAAAAAAATTAAAATTTTATTTTTTCAATGGAATGCTTTTTTTTTATCGAAATGAAAAATTAATTTTGTTTTCTTCAATTGAAATTGGAATATTTTTTAAATTCGAAATATTTTTCTATTTGATAATTATTATTGGTATTTCATTTTTTTTTTGGAAAAATATTTGAAAATAATAATTCTGTGATAAAATAATGAAAGAGAATAAATAATGTGGTAATAAAATAACAAAATAGAATAAATAAATTGAGAATAAAATAATAGAAATAAAAAATGACAAATTTAATAAAAAAAAATTAATTTAAAAAATATTTTGTTAATAAAAAAATAAATTCGAAATAAATACAAAAAATGTAAATAATAGTAAAAAGAAAATCAGGAAAAAAGGTAAAAAATTCAACTCCGAAATTAAGTAATTAATAACAAAAACACAGAAATTATTTTCCAAAAAAAAAGAATAGCAAAAATTATATTAATTACTTCTTGTTAGAAATAAAACTTACGATGGTATTTTAAGAATTATTAATCCATCTAAAGAATTTGTCTTGTAAAACGTATTCCACATATTCCTATTTTCCACACAATTGAAAATTTCTAAGTAATCGTTTTTTTTTATTTACAATTCTGTCACTACATCAACACGTTTTTCTTTTTCTTCATCCAAACGCGAGTTACGGAAAAATTAATCAACAATTTTTTTTGTTAGCTATTTTTTCTTCAAAAGAAATGGGAAAAAAGAATTTGAAACTTAAAGAAGAAAGTAAGAATTTAATGGTTAAAAAAAGTTTTTTTTTTTTTTAAAGAGTCGAAAGTATAAAGAAGTTTTTGATAAGCAGAGTGTCCAACAGTAACTGGAACTTCCTGTCTCGTTATGTCCTCCCTCCTATAGTTCACTGATATCAGCGATAACATTTGTAGAAAAAAAAAGGAAAAAAAGTCCACAGTTGCACTCTTCACAACAGTTTATTAATTATTCTTTGGATTTACTTCACTTATTCATTGAGTGTGATTTTCGAAAATTGACATATTTTTCATTTGGTTTAATTTTCTGCGTTTTGGGAATTATTTTTATTTCTCATTTTTTTTTGTACTTTTCAATTTCGATTCAGATTTATTTGCTTTTCAATTCTAATTCTTTTATATTTCAATTAAATTTTTCTTTAATTTCAATTCTATTTCATTTTAACTTTCATTCAGTTTCATTTTAATTTTAATTCGATTTCATTTCAATTTCAATTTCAATTTCAATTTCAATTTAATTTCAATTCCATTTCAATTTTAATATAATTTCCTTTCAATTTTAATTTAATTTTAAATAAATTTCAAAATTCAATTCAATTTTCAAAATAAGTTTCAATATCGAGACAATTTTTTTTAAATGTGCGAATTTTTTTTTTATTTCTTTATTCTTTTCAATTTCGATTCAACTTTACTTTCTTGGCAATAATTCAATTATTTCCAAACAAAATAAAATTCTTCAGAACAATTCAATTATTTTCTTAAATAACAAAATTCTTCTCAAAAATTCAATTATTTTGTTAAACAATAAAATTCTTATCAAGAATTCAATTATTTTTTAAGAATTTCAATAAAGTTCTTTAGAATAATTGAATTATTTTATTAAACAATAAAATTCTTATCAAGAATTCAATTATTTTTAAGAATTTAAATAAAATTCTTCAGAACAATTTAATTATTTTATTAAATAATAAAATTCTTCGCAAAAATTCAATTATTTACAAAAATAATTAAATTCTTATCAAAGATTCAATTATTTTTAAGAATTTTAATAAAATTTTTCAGAAAAGTTCATTTATTTTATTAAAAAGCCAAATTTGTTTGCAAAAACTTAATAATTTTCATTATTAACATTCCTTGGAAGATTCAATTTTACCTCCTTTTCAATTCTATATTTTTCAATTTAAATTCGATTTCTTTTCAATTTTAGTTTAATTCCATTTCAATTTTCTTTCGATTTCAATTCAATTGCAATTAAATTTCATTTCAATTTTAATGGAATTTAAATATAATTTCATTTAAGCTTTAATTTAATTTTGAAATTCAATTCAATTTTCAAAAAAATACTTTCTTTCTCCGGACAATTTTTCTATTTTTCAAAATTTATTCACTATGCAAATATTTCTTTTCTTAGAACAATTTTTTTAATTGCAAATTTTTTTATTCTTGGCATTGTAAATTAAAAAATAAATTTTTTTAATCACAAAAAAATTCAAATTCAACGAAATTCAATTCTAAAATATTATAAACGAATGAAATGTCCCAAAAAAAAAATCACAGAAAATTGCGAAGAAAATTTGTGAATAAGAAAAAGTAAATAAACAAAATAATAAACTAAATAAATAATAAATACAAAAAATACAAAAACTTAAAGTAAATTAAAAAAAATATTAAATTTATGACCAAGAAATAAAAAAGAAAGAAACTAGCAATAAGAAATGAATACAAAAAGCAAAATTAAATTTGGAAAACTATAATTTAAATTCAAGGAATAAAAAATTGAAATAAAAAAGTAAATTGAAAAGAAAAATTAAAATTATCTTTAAATAAAATATTAAATTAAAATTAAAAAATTAAAAGAAGAAGAAGAAGAAATTGAAAAGAAATAATTCGAAATTTACTTATTTCATTAAAATTATTAATTAAATTAATAATTAAATCAAATGCGACAAATACTTCAATATAAATCGAAGTGCCCAGTCAGAAGAATTTTTTTTTGTACCTGCAATCACACTTGAGAAAAATCGACGCTTGGCGTCCTCCACTTTCTATTTTCCCTCTGGACCATGAAAAAGAAAAATTTTTCCCTCCACTCGTATTTCACTTGTTCTATCCCTTTGAGTCACAATTTTTTTTCTTCTTCAATTTTCACATCCTCCTGCAGAAAGAAAAGAACTATTTTTAAAATTCACAAATTATCGTCAATAATTACCGAAGAAAAAAATTATTTTCACTGAAAAAAATAAAATAAAAAGAGAGGAAGAAAAAATTTTTTTTTTGGAAAAATTAAAGTGTACCGTAGCTTGGACGATCTTGAACTGTGCGGAGGCGCGCAGGGAGAAATACAACACAGCACAAGGCCATGTGTTTTCTTCAAAAGGAAAAGAAGATATCTGTGGGACTACCCCCACAAAGAAGACTCGGAAATAGAATGCTTAACGGTGCGCCATTTGGGACCCTTCGCACACTTGTAGAGACCTCCGAACACTTGTGTACAGACACTCGAATACATGTTAGTTTATAAGGTTCTCTTTCAAATATTTCTCTCTCCCTCTTTTTCTCTCTGGACCCTTTGGGCCTGCGACGGTCCCCAAACTATCGTGAGAGAGAGATGATGATGAGGAGGCGGTGGAGGGGAATCCATAGGGGCTCAAAAACAAGAGATCGTATTCATGGACACCTGCTTGTACGCTTTCATCCCTCCTATTACTTTCAAAAACTATTTATTATTATATTTATATCCTTTTATATTAAGTGCGGCTTTTCTGGTGGGGGAAATAAATATCACCACTCGACGATGTTAATCTGGAAAAAAAGAGGAGAAAAAAAATTACCACTCGGCAATTTTCACCGAAAAAAAGAACAAAAATTAATTAATTTCAAATTTAAATGATAAACAATAAATTAATTGAAAGAAAAGAAAAAAATTCACCCTACGATATCGTCGAGTGAATTTTTTTCTTTTTTTCAGCTTTTAAAAATTAATTCCTATTTTTTTCTTTTCCTCTGGACAAAAAAGGAGAACAAAAATTAATTAATCTCGAATAAACAAAAAATTAATAATTTGTCAAAAAAAATTACCACTCGACAATTTTTTAATAGCAAATTTTTTTTTGTGCATTTCACTCGTTTTCAGTATTTTAGAATTGAATTTTGTTAAATTTGAATTTTTTTGTGATTAAAAAAATGTTTTTTTTTAATTTACAATACCAAGAAGCAAGAATAAAAAAATTTGCAATTAAAAAAATTATTATAAGGAAAAAAATATTTGCACACTGAATAAATTTTGAAAAATAAAAAAATTTCTTACAGTGTAAAAAACTTGTTCCGATAAAGAAAATATTTTTGATTTTTTTTATTCGATTATTTTTTATTTAGATTTCAAAATTCAATTAAAAACTAAAAGGAAATTATATTAAAATTACATTAAAATTGAAATAAAATTTAATTGCAATTTAATAAATAGAATTGAAAAGGAAGTAAAATTGAATCTTCCAAGGAATGTTATTATTTATGAAAATAATTCAATTCCTGAAATAAATTTTAGATTTAAAAAAATAATTGAATAATTGTTTTGAAAATTGAATTAAATCTGAAATGAAATTATATTGAAATTACATTAAAATTGAAATCAAATTGAATTAAAATGGAAAAGAAATAGAAATTAAATTTAAAATAAATATAATTGAAAAGGAAGTAAAATTAAATTAAAACTAAAATTATATTTAATTGAAGGCAAATTAAAATTAAATCGAAATAAAATTGAAATGAAATAGAATTGAGATTTAAAGAAAAAGGAATTATAATGGAGAAGAAATGGAATTATTTTTTGTTTGTATGATAAAATAAATGTAGTATATAAAATTCTAAATTTAGAAAAACAGTGTTTTTAAAAACCTTTCAATAGAGTCTATTTCCGAGTGTATTGAATAAATAGTAAATGAGAAGGAGCATCCTGTTCCGTTTCAACTCCGGATCTTGAAAGAAATAAAATCACATCTGGCGACAGCGTGTCTTGTTTACTTTCCCATCGACTCTTCTCTTCATTCACTTTTGGAGAACGTAACACAAAACACGCACGCAGCCCGCATCCTTTCCTCAGCTTAGAAAAAGAAAAAAAGAAGCAATATTTAGAAACAATAAACACCTCAAAAAAATATTAACAGTGAGAGAAATTTGCAAAAAAAAGGAAAAATTCACGTCTTTTGTAATTTTTAAATTTAATTCCGTTTTAATTCCGATTATTAAGTTCTTTAATTTCGAGGAAAAATTTTGGTATAGTTAATGAAATTAATTTTGAGATCTAGTAAAATCAATTCTAATAATTGAATTGAAATTTGATTATTAAAAAAAATCAATTTTGATAATTGAAATTAATTTCGATAATTAAAAATTTACTTTTAGAATTAGAAAAAAATTAAGTCACAAAAGACGGAAAATTTCATTTATCCAAATATTTTATTTCATTGACGAAAATTTCTATTTTTCTATTGTAAATTTTATTTTTACTATTCTAATCAAAAAATAAAATCTTAAAGAAAAATTTCTCGATGAAATAAATTGTCAACGTTACTTTAACCTCTGAAAGAAAATTCTCAAATTTAATTTAATTGGAAGAAAAGGAAAAATTTTCATTATTGTGGATAAAATATTAATATTGTTTCGTTTGCAAATTAATTCAGTGGAAAATTAAAAATAAAGAGAGAGAGGGTAAAATAGGAGGAAGAAAAAGGAATAATGCAATAAAAACAACAATTTTTCAAAAAACAACGTTTGCGTATTTATTTCAGAAAACGTTATTAGTGTTTTTTTTTTGTATTTTTTTCGGTTTGTTAAAAATTAACAAATAATTTAGTAAAGTCTTTGAGGTGGACCCATTGACGATTTGATGTGAAGTGATCGCACATTTTGCCAGTGTTTTTTCAACAAGGACACGAGGAAATTGATTGACAAATGAATATTGTGGACGAGCTCGTCTTGAGACATGTCCACGTGTCCAACAGCGACCGATAGACACAATACCTATTTTGAAAAGAAAAAAGAATTGTTATTTTCGATGTAATTAATTAATTAATAATTATTAAAATTGCTTTTTATAGTAAAAATTTTAATACATTTTTAATAGAAAGAAGAGAAAAATTTAAATAGAATGTTTATTAACATTTTAATATTTATAAGTTTCTAAATTTAGAAAATTGTAAATTAATATACGATTAAAATTCGTTACCTTCTTCATTTGGAATTTGATGGTGGCTTTGACTTCGTCGATTTTGCCGACCATTGACTCCTGGTGGGAGAGGAGACCAGGGAATTTACCGGCTTTGTTCAAGCCTGGACCCAAGAGACGAGGAATTTGCTTGATGAGCGATTCACTCGCCAGGAAAGCGTCGTATTTCTTTGCTGCAATTACGAACAAAATATTTAGTTTCTAAATACTGATATTTTTATTAATTATTAATAATAAATAAATATTAAGTAAATTATTTTATTAATTTTAAATATTTGTACAAATAATTCGAAATATTTATTATATTCGTACAATATTTCGAAATATTTGCTAAATTTCAATTATTTAATACTTTCGAAAATTAATTTTTCGAATTTAAAAAAATGTCTCAACACGGATTGAGGCTCAATGCGATTTAGCGCAATGTCCACACCTAGTGAAGAATTTAATCTCCTTCCACTGACGACCATCTTCGCAATTTTTATTACACAAAACTGGTGCTTTTGGGAAGGACTATTCATTTTTCCTTTAATTAACTGTGAAATTTTATTTTCAGAAATTTAATATCAATTTTGATATTTTGAAAATAAATTTTAAAAAATCAAATTTCTATTAATTTATTTAAAGAATTTTTATAATAAAATATTCTAAAAACAAATTGTAATAACAATAAAAAAAATTCGTAAAGTAAGCAAAAATATGAAATAAAAAAATTAGAAAGTACAAAAAAATTAAGATATTGAAATATTTAATTTACGTTTAACTTGAACGCTAATTTTTGTTAGTTAATTATAGGAAAACGTTACAAAATTGAAAAGAAAAAAACAAATAACATCTACAATTTCTTACCAAGCTTCTTGACAAGTTTCTTGTTCTTGTTGAGCTTCTTCAAAGCCTCAGCATCCATAAATGGAATATTATTGGCTTTAGCCTCATCGCAATGTTGCTGATCTCCCAAAATGCAAACCTGCATTTTTGGCCTCGGGATATTCTTCAACCTGTAAAGATGAATTTCAAAAATAAGACAAAAGAAAAAAAAATTTAAAAAAAATATTTATTCACCCCAAATTTTGAATGCAAAATTAATTGAAATAAAATCGCAATTTATCTACAAAAATTATTTAATTTTACAATTTAAAAACTGTAATTAATATTGTAAATATTAAAAATAAACGAAAAAAATATTTACGTGATCAATGGAAGAAAAATAAAATTTCAACCTTGTTGTGAAAATTGCCCTCAGAATTAAGTGATCAACATAGAAAAATTCTGTTAATACATGCTAATAATTAAACCATCATTGAGCGACAACACAACGCGATTTTAAAAATTGTAGAAAATATAACTTACCGCTCAGATCACGTGGAAACGTGACCTTGAGGATTTTTTTTTAAAAAAAAAAAGATTGTTCGGTATAAATACCTCCCCAATTTATTTAAGACCCTGGGTGCAGGTCCGCTGAGCTTCCTCAGCTTCCTGACATTATAGAGACACACATTTTTCGGAGTACTTTTTTTTGTAAAAAATTACAAAGTTTGAAAAAATTTTTCGTAATTAAGAAAATGAATTCAATTTCCCTGCCGAAAAATGGTTCTCAGTCAGGTGAGAACATACTTGACGGTGCCTGAGAAACGCTTGTCCTTCTGGGGATCGTAATTCTTCAAGCCAATTTGAAGTTCCACCGTTTCCAAGAATTTCCTCTTCTTGTCCTGGGAATTCTGAAGGATTCCATTTACACACTCGTAGAGAGTATCGCGCGATACTTTCGACCTGTTCGTTGAAAAATTGTTTCATTATTAAAAAAAAATAGTTACGAAAAAACTAAAAATGTTTTCATCTTTCTACATTCTAGAAACATTTATTTTCAATTTCTTTTTTCTACATTGTAATTATCACCAAAGTGAATAGAAGACCAATTTATTCTTTTTTTTCGTATTTAAACCAAAAAAGGTAATATTTGCGTTTATTTTTATAAATAGATAGAAGTAAACGCAAATATTCTCCATAAGGAAATTTCGAATGTTTCGAAGACTTCCAAAGAACACGTTTTGACTTAACCTCAAAAAAAAGTTAAGTGTACACGCACTTGGAAAATTAATAAAAAGAAGAAACCGGAGAATTAACTTTATTTATTTAATGTAGAAATTAATAATTTCGTCTATTTCTATATAAATATTTAGAAAGTTAAATAAAAGCAAATATTCGCCACGAGGGAATTTCGAAAATGCTACGCCCTAACCTCAAAAGTACAACACGCGATTGAAAGAATTGAAAAACGTATAAAAATAAATGCGCGCATTACGAAAATAGTGGTGAAATTACAATAGAGATTTTTCTAATTGAATGCAGGATTTTCGTTTTAAATAAATGGATGGAAATACGTACGACATTTTAGCGAAGAAAGCGAAGTTCCGTGAACGAGACGATCACTCCGAACGAAAACTCAAACCGGAAAGAACAGAAAGAGAAATGGCGGACTATATATACCGCCAGTGGTTCCATAGTTTGTCGCTTGTGGCACTACTGTCACCATGGCGCTAAATTCAAAATAAATTCCTATTTTCTACAACTACTTTTACATTTTCATTCCAAAATTAGTTACTACTTTAGAATTTTTTATCCTTTTTTTACCATAGAATCAATTTTTAGCTATTAAAAAAGTTTTCCTTTACTTCTCGATTCAAAAACACTTTTTATTAGAAATTAAAAAATTTATTCCACTGTTCCTTTTGTTCGGTTGTTCCTTGGTTCAATGTTCAAATTCCAGTTCCAACAGTCCGGTTGAATTGATAAAATGACAGCTGTCAAATTCCGTCTGTAAAATGTGATTATTTTATACTGTATTTAAAAATAGAAATAAAGGGGCGTCAATTTTCTTAATTGTCACAATCATGAGAAATTGTCGCTTTTAAAAGTGTAATTACTAATTCGAAAAGACTGAAATTTAAAGTCTCTGCATGTATACATGCGAGAATAATGAACTTAACCTAAAAAACAGTCGGTGTTTGTTATTCTTTCTATAACAAAATATATATTATGGACAATAATTAAAAACATTATTGTAAATATATCAAAATGAGTCCTGCATTGTTGGACAATGAAGAACGATGTTTGGGTGGAATGACATTTTTCGCTCGCAGTCATCCGATCGAACTTTGCGGCAGCAATGGACTTCCATTGACTCCAAATTCAATAACAATTTACGGGAAATCTCAATTTTTGAAGACTATTCATCATAGACATTTGTCAACTTATCTCGATATTATTCGCAGTAAACACGGTGAGTAATTTTTTTATTATTATTCTTTCATTATTTATTTCTTTATAATTATACTGATCAACAAGTTTCCCATCTTCTATTAAATATTAATTAATTGTTGTCTTTCTTTTGTTTTTTACTTTTTAGTTATTTATTTATTTTAATTGGAACTTTTTTCATTTTCTTCTCTTTTTTTCTTCGAAGCAACAATTATTTTTGAATTGAAATAATCTTTTTTCCTTGTACTTGACAATAAATTAAATTTGTTTTGAAAAGAACGAAATTTTTATTTTTCTTTCACTTTTATTTTTGCATTTTTCCGTTTTTGATTAAAACTAATTTTATTAGTTATTAATTTGTTAATTGAAATTTTTTCCGAAATAACAATTATTTTTGAATTGAAATAAACTTTTTCTCCTTGTACTTGACAATAAATTCAGTTTGTTTTAGAAAGAACGGTGGTGGTGGCAGAATGCAGTGGAAAACAATTGGGGTACATGGAAAATTTATCGTTGAACGATATTATAAAAATTGCTTATCAATGTCTTTTGGGATTGAGGCACATGAATAAATATGGATTGGTTCATCGTTATTTGAGTCCGGAGAATATTTTAATTAATAAAAATGGCGACGTGCAATTGTACAATTTTGGATTGTATTACATGACGGACGGTGGAAAAAGTGTCTCCTTTCCAATTGGGTAATTTATTTCTTTCATTTTATGTTTAAAAAAAATTAATCTACCAATTAATTAATTAATTCGTATCAATAATTAGCAATAATAAAAATTCGTAACTATTTTTTCTTTCAGTTATCCAAAGCACACTGCACCCGAAGTTTTTCTAGGATCGGGTCCAAGTGGATTGAAAGTCGACTCCTGGTCACTGGGAATAATAATAGCGGAACTTTTGCTACAGCAAACAATTTGGCCTGGAGTTAAATTGTCTCAATGTTTACGCAAAGTTCTGAGTCTCATTCACTGTAAATCGAGTATTTTCGAACGTCTGGCTCGAGAAAATAATTGCTACGATACGTATTTGGTAATTTCCTTCTTTTAAATTTTCGTACTTATTTTTTTTTATTTTTGACTTATATTTTAATAAAAATTAAATAAAATTTAATTTATTCTTATTTAATTATTTATTATTATTTATTAATTATAAATTATTTATTTTTTATTATTTTAGTTAGTTAAATAATCTTTAACGTTCGAGATTTTTTATAAATTAGTAAATTAATAAATTTTCTGTAATTTCAGTCTCTTCCAGAGAATGTGAAGGAATTTATCGATAATTGCCTACAAATTCGTCCGTCGCAACGTAAAATACCAGAGGAACTTTTGCAATTGCCATTGTTTGAGAGTCTAGTCAAGTTGGACAAAAATGTCGAGGACAGTGATGAGAATAATAGTCAGGATAAAATAATAACGAGAAAAATGGAGGAATTGTATTATTTATGGCAACTTGCCGGCGGTGATATAACAGTTGAATTGAAGAAACAGGGATTAATACGTTCCAGACCGCCGATACTTTCAATTCCAAAGTAAGAAAAAAAATTAAATTATAATAAGAATAACATGATTATCATTATTCTTTCTATTATCATCATGAATGATATTAATACTAATAAGGATAATTTGCTTTCATTTTTAGTTTAGTAATAATAGTAATACAACAATTTTTTTGTAATTTAATATTAATAGTAATGAAGATAATAATTTTTCTTTATTTTTAGTTTAGTGATACTTTTGGGCCACATGTTCGGAAGAAGGGACACAGCGGGATTATTGGATCTTCGAGTGGTAAAAGTTCCTCTCGACACTCTACGACAAAGATTGTCTCATATTCAATTTATTGCAAATTATCCAAGATTAACGAATCAGTAGGTTCATTATTTTCTTTATACTTTGAGAAAGAAAAGAAAGAAATATTTTTAAAAACTGTTTATTTTCAATTGAAAAATTGAATTGGATTTTTTTAAATAAAATTAATCTTTTTAGAATGCACGTACAAGCACAGGACGATTTGACCGATTCGGCTTCTCAACTTCCGTTAATAATTCGTGAAAGGGACACGGAATATCAATTTTACAGACTTGTTCTCTACGATAGATTACTGCAGGTAAATTTTTTTCGTTTGCATAATAATCTTTCACTTTAGGGAATTTTTTGAATTTTCATATGAAATTAGATTATAATTTTCTTTTAATTTTGAGAATTTTGAAATTTAAATTTATAGAAGTTTAAAACTTCTTTTTTAATAATTTGAAACACTTTTAATTCCCCATTGAATTTATAGATTTATCCAATAACGAGAAATGCGATAATCCGCGAGGCACACAAAGATATTCCTCCGCCTGTCAGGGGCGCAATTTGGGCGGCATTGCTCGATATTACCGGAGACATTGAAAATAAATACGAGAGAATTGATAAAGAGACTCCAACTCACACCGATAGACAGGTAAGACAAACTTTTTATAGTTTCAAAAAAACGCTTTTCTAAAAAAGGTTTAAAAAACCTTCTTTGATTTTCAATAATAAAAATTTTAAGTAATAAAATTACTTATATTTTAATTATTTCAATTTTAGATTGAAGTCGATATTCCGAGATGTCACCAGTACAGTGAATTACTGTCATCCGGCACTGGACACGAGAAATTACAAAGATTATTAAAAGCCTGGGTTCGCGATAATTCACATTATGTTTATTGGCAAGGACTCGATTCTCTCACAGCGCCATTTCTCTATTTAAATTTTAATAACGAAGGTAATACGACAAAAATCAATTTTCTTGGAAAAATAATTCGAATATTTTAATTTTAATTTATTGTTATCAATTTTTCAGCACGAGCTTTCGCCTGTCTCTCGGCCTTCATTCCAAAGTATCTTCACAAATTTTTCCTAAAAGACAATTCATTCGTAATTCAGGAATATCTCGGGAAATTTTCCCAAATCATTGCATTTCACGATCCACAATTGGCAAATCATTTGAAATCGATTAATTTTGTTCCTGAACTGTTCGCAATTCCTTGGTTCCTGACAATGTTTTCACGTGAGAAAAAGAAATTTACTTTTATATTAAATTAATTAAATTAATTTTAATATTAACTTCAATTTTAATTTTAATTTTAATTTTTATCTTAATTTCAATTTTAAATGAATTTAAATGTATTTTTCAGATGTATTTCCACTTCATAAAATTCTTCACTTGTGGGATAAACTTCTATTGGGAGATTCTTCGTTTCCCCTTCTCGTTGGACTTGCAATTTTAAAACAATTACGCGATTTTCTACTCACTTCGGGCTTCAATGAATGTATTTTATTATTCTCGGATTTGCCCGAAATTGACATTGAACAATGCGTCAAGGATTCAATGACGATGTATCAAAAAACACCGACCAGCATCACTTACAGGAAACATCAATTCGATCAGACAAAGGTTTTTAATTTCTATTTTTTTATTATAAATATCCACTTTTTTTTCTTTTATTCTTTTATTTTTTTTTTATTTATTATTAATAATTAATAAAATAATAAAATAATATTTTTTTAAATAAAAGAATGACCTTTCTTTCTATATAATAATATTTTCTCTTTTCTTTAAAGTCTGCAAATTGGATTGAACCGGAACCGGGAACGGAAAAAATGCCAAGAATCAGTGTCGAGGATTTTTTGCGATTATTAGACGAGAATCCGGAAAAATTAATAATCGTCGATATTCGCAGCAACACACAGTAGGAAAATTTGTTTATTAATTTTTTTAAAAAAAAGAAGAAATACTAATAATTTTAAAAAATTTAAATTACAAAAATTATGTTTCTTTTTTCTAGATTCGAGAGATCGTCAGTGAAAGGAAGTATTAATATTCCCTTTACGAGTGTTCAACTTTCGCAAACAAATCTCGAGACTCTAGGGCCACAGACGAAACCTTTAGCGGAAAATAAGGAACGTCTGGTTGTGATAATTAGTCCAAACGATCAAAATAATGCTCTCGTGAGTTGATTTTCTTTTCTTAATTACTAATAAGAATTTTTATTTCTTCAATTTGATTTTCTCTCTTTTACTCTTTTTTCTCTTTTATTCGTTTTTCTTTCTTCTTTTTTTTTTTATTTATTCTTTTTCTCTTTTTTTACTCTTTTTTTCTTTATTTTTCCTTTTTTATTCTTTTTCTTTAATTAAAAATAAAATTGACTTAATTTTTTCTTCTTTTCTTTTTTTGATTAAAAATAAAATTGACTGAATTTTATTTTCTTTTTCCAATTGAAAAGCGATTGTTAAGAATGAATCGTTTAAAAAAATTTTTTTTTTCTAGTTTGCAGAATTTTTAATGAGCTGCCAAGTTCCTGGAATTTGTTCTCTTCAAGGGGGAATTTACGCTCTTCGTTCAAAATCACCAAACGTTTTAATCTCAACTCGTGTTAATTAACAAAAAAAAACTCAAAAATTTTACAGAAATTTCAAAATAATTGAAATTAATTAAGTTTGTACATAAAAATATCTATTTTTTATCAGATATAACAAAATTTTGTTATTAAAAACTTTTAATTGTAAATATTGAAAAATAAACGTCCAACTTTTCACTTTGAAATTGAATTTTCAAATTTTTAAGTTAAATTAAATGTTTAGTTAGAAATTTAATTTGAAATTCCATTTAAAATTCATTTCGAGATTTAATTTAAAATTTATTTAAGAATCACAATAAAAATGTAGAAATTTACTTTAAAATTTAATTAAAAATTCCATTTAAAATTCATATCAAAATTTAATTTAAAATTTCAATAGAAATTAAAAAATTTACTTCAAAATTTAATTAAAAATTCCAATAAAAATTAAGAAATTTACTTTAAAATTGAATTAAAAATTCATTTCACAATTTAAATAAAATTGAATTATAAATCCAATTAAAAATTGAACTAAAAATGCTCTTGAAAAAGTAAATTAAAAATTTAATCTCACAAAATTCGATTAAAATATTAAATCTAATAAAATTTAATTTCAAAGAAACTTTCTTCTCATCGACTTTGAAACAAGTTTTCAAGTTTTCTCGCTGAAGGAAAAAATTCTATCGTTACCATGACGACGCAAAAGGAAAACAATGTGACCACAGTAGTTATTTTCCCCGTCAACAAGGAGCAGTCTTTATTTCAATTTTCCCTTTCTTTCTAAATGATAAACAAACTCCACGAGAAATGGAGACAAATCTCTTCTCGCCAGATTTACGAAAATGGCTAAGAAAATGTCTCAGTGAACAATTTAAGGCAACGATTGACAAACATTTGGAGAACGATGACAATTCAAAGGAAGTGGTGGAAAAATTAATTGACTCAAGGGAAATGAGAGATTTACTCCAATTGATAAAACAATCATTGAGCGATGATAAATTCCAAGAGGATTCTGAATTTCCCGATAGATCACGATCGTTGACATCGATATCGGGAATTAGCGATTTATCGGGTGACGAATGGCTATCGTTTAAAGGGAGTTCCGATCGCTATGGACAATTATTGGAGAGAATTGACGCAACGAAACCAGTTCATGTGCGATTAGCCGGCTATGAGGGTTTTTTAAAACGTGAACTCTCGGGGATATTTAGTATTCAAAATTGGGATTATTTTTTGAAAATATTACGCGACGGTATTGCTGACGATAGTCGACCGATTTTTGAAGCTTGTCTACAGTTGCACGCGAAACTTTTGAATTCACCGCAGCCGAGTGAGATTTATGGGAATTTGATGCTGGCATTCAATGAACAGTATCAATCGAAAAAAATTAATGACATCCTGCCAACGCTTATTTCGGGTGTGAATTATAAAGTTTTGGCGCACGAGAAATTAATTCGAATTATGTTTTTGATTGTTCGTCATCAGGAGGAGGTTTTGAAGGGTGTCAGAACTGTTGACAAGAGTTTGGAAGAGATGATTGAGCAATTTTTCGTTTTTATCAGTACTTATAATTGTGGAAGTCCCATTCAGGTGAATAATTTTTATTAATTTGTACTATTTATATATATTTTCGGAAAAATTTTGAAATTCAATTATTTTCATAAATATGAACATTCTTCGGAAGAATATTCAATTATTTTTATAAACAGTAAATTTTTTGCAAAAATTCAATTATTTTTATAAAAAGTAAAATTTTTTGCAAAAATTTAATTATTTTCATCAAAAATTTTCATGAAATTTCACGAAAGAATTCAATTATTTTTTTGAATAGTAAAATCACTGCAAAAATTCAATTATTTTTAATAAAAAAATCTCACAAATAATTCTAAAAAATGTTAATGAATCATTCGAAAAAATTCGATTATTTTTGTAAATAATAAAATTCTTCTTATGAATTTAATTATTTACAAACATTTTATTAAATTTCTTTGCAAGAATTCATATTATTTTCATAAATAATAATATTCTTCGGAAAAACTCAAATATTTTTATAAATAACAATATTCTTCACAATAATACAATTATTTTAGTAAATAATAATATTCTTCGGATGAATTCAATTCTTTTTTCAAATAGTAAAATTTTTTGCAAAAATTCAATTATTTTCAATAAAATTTCACGAAAGATTTGATTTTTTTTCTTAATTCGTTATGCAATTTTTCAAAAGGATTCAATTATTTACCAAAATTTTAATAAATTCATCAAAACAATTCAATTATTTTTAAAATATGTAATAAATCCTTTGAAACGATTCAATTAATTTTATAAATAGTAAAATTATTTTCAAGAATTCAATTATTTTTATAAATAATAATATTTTTCGGAAAAATTCAATCTTAATTATTTATTTAAAGGTTTATTTTTTAAACAAAAGTCAAAATTTATTTAGAATTTTAAAATAAATTAATAATAAATTAAATTATTAATAACTATAGACTAAATAATAAATAAATAAAAAAAAGACTAAAAAAATATAAATAGTAATAATTATAGAAAATAATAGAAATAATACAAAATAACAAAAAAGCGAATTGGATATATAGTCGGCAGACTTTTAGCCTTGATATTTAAAACGATAAGCCGACCTCGTTAATTTTTATCAAGATCTTGACCCTTCGTAATATTTAATTAACTTTATACCTAGCAAACACGAAAGGTGTTAAAATAATTTTATGTTAAATACTTAAATATACTTAAATAAATTTAATGCGCTCTGAACAAAAAAACTTTGGAATATTGGAATAAATGTTTGCCCTCTAACAAAGTGACCAATTTATTTTATTAATCGTTGCATTCTTTTGCAAGGAATTTTATTAAAATTTTTGAAAATAATTGAATCCTTTCGTGAAATTAAATTTTATTAAAAGTAATAGAATTCCTGTAAAGAATTTTACTAATATTTATAAAAGTAATTGAATTCTTTCAAGGAATATTATTATTTCTGTAAATACTTGAATTCTTGTTAAGAATTTTAATAAATTTTTTCAAAATAATTTAATTTTGAGAAGATTTTTACTATTTATAAAAAATAATTTAATTCTTCTAAAGAATATTAATATTTTAAAATAATTGAATTTTTCCGAAGAATTTTAATAAAATTTTTGTAAATAATTGAATTCTTGAGAAAAATATTATTTAAAAAATAATTAAATTTTTCTTAAGAATATTATTATTTATGAAAATAATAATTTTTGCGGAGAATTTTAATGAAATTTTTGTAAATAATTGAATTCCTGAGAAGAATTTTATTATTTTTAAAAATTATTTAATTTTATCGAAGAATATTATTATTTATGAAAATAATTGAATTTTATTTATTTATTTATTAATAATAAACGGGATGAATTGTATTGTTTTTAAAAATAATTGAATTCTTTCGAAGAATATTATTATTTATGAAAATAATTGAATGTTTGAGAAGAATTTTACTATTTATAAAAATAATTGAATTCTTGTGTAGAATTTTAGAACATTTTTGAAAATAAACATTAATTATTAATAATTATGTACTTAATAAGTCAATTTAAAAATTTTCTAATCTGAAATTATTCAAAAATTGTAATTTAAGTTTGAAAATAAAAAATTTGTTAATTTGCATAATAATGATAAATTAAATAGAATTTTTCTTTGCGCCAGCAAATTTGCCAGGAAATTAAATAAATAAATAAACTAAAATCAATTTTTCTAGGTGAAGACACTGAGTCCACTGAACATTCTCTCAATCCTCGAGCCCGAAGCTTCATGGAGTGGCAAATGGATCCACAGTCTAACAACCAGAAAAGCATTCTGCACAGCCCTCGGAAAATCTCCGTCCCTTCTCGGAACGATAATTCAAACCACCATCAAGGGCCTCTCAGAACCGCCATACACTGTCTCTCTATCAGTGACCGACGATCCCGACGACTTCTTCATCTCCGGCGAGACAGTCGAAACAATGACCTATCTCCACTCTCTCACTCTCCTCTCGCAAATCATCAGCTACACAACCGGTCGAACCCTCCTCACCGAGACTCAAATCGAAAATCCATTCTCCGTCACCGACTTCATGACATCCTTACTCACTTCCCTCAATATTCTCGCATCCTCAGAAATTCCGAGTGTCATCTACGAAGTCTCGCGCAGCGCCTTTCGATACATTCTCCACAAGCCGGTAATTCTCTACGACGCCAGATTCTATCATATCGCCTTCAATCCGCTAATTAATTCCGGCGACAAGAAAATTTATCCGCACACACTGGATGTGACGATGCACATGCTGGACACCGCTGACGGAATTAGTTTCATGGGGTCGGAGACTCGAATTGGCTCGGCGAATAATGAGACGACGAATTATCCGGCTATTGCTGTTTTGGAGTACACTTCGGATTTGCTGCGGCAACCACTGTCGGTGATGAACATCGAACTCGTCGCGGATCTTTTTACTTATATCGGAAGACTCCTCACTGTCTATGACGTCTACGAAATTACGCAGGAAACCCTCGAGACGAAATTCTATCCTGCAATTGCGTATTTTTATGGGAAATTAGACAAGTACGCGGTTGAGAACGAAATCAAGACGCAATTTCTCAATAGGTATTAATTAATTTAATATTAATCCTCATTATCATTATTATTTTTCCATAGGAATTAAAATTTTTCAAAAACATTCAAATTCAAACCTTTTTGAAATTCAACAACTTTTAAGAATATTATTATAAAGCATGCAAATTACTTAATTTAAGTAAATTTCCAGTTCGGCGAAAAATATGCTATTGAAGATTGTATCGATGCCACTGGGTCTTCAACTTCTTTCCGGCGAAACAATTGTCTTTGAGGAATTAATAAGAGGCTCGATTGGACCACTTCGCGCCTCTTGGAATTCCACCGATGTCGTTTCCTTCATCTCAAATAGCGCCTCCTTCTCTCTTGGTGTGAGAATTCTTTCCGAATTGGCGCCCCATGTTCTCTCAACTCTCCTCAATGATCTCTGCAAACTCCTCGAGGACACCCATTGTTTTCATGATCCATGGGAGGAACGAGATGTGGAAATATTTCTTCATTTACTGACAATATTTTCCCTAAATACCGAATGTAAGAAGAAACTAATTATAATTAAACTATAATTAGTTTTTTACTTTTTTTTGTAGTTGATTCCTTTAATTGTTGATAACTTTAATTATTATCAACGTTAATAATCAAATAATTCAAATGTTTTGGATTTCAATTTTGATTATCAATCAAATGATTGGATTCAAATGAAGGAAAATGATTTCAATTTAACGATTTTTAAAATTTGTAGGTTTCATTGCATTTATGTCAACCGACGAAACAAATTCCGACGACGATATTTGTTATCCTCTGAATTTAAGTGAACTTTATCAACATTCTGTCGATTCCGATTCGGAATATCACTATCTCAGTCTTTTATCGACTAGAGCCGTGATTTGGAATTTGGATATTTATCTCTTTTTGGAAAATTCATTAAACTTGGAGGTATTTTTTTCTAGTTATCAATTTTTCTAGTTTCTTTCTTTCCTTCTTTCGTTTTTTTTTGTTTCTTTTCTTATTTCTTTAATTACTTTTTCTAATTTCTTTTATTTCTTTCATTTCTTCTTTACTTCCCTTTTTATTTCCTTCATTTTCTTCTTTATTTTTTTAATTTCTTTTTTATTTCTTTTTTCTATTTCTTTTATTTCTTCTATTTTGTTTTATTTTGTTTTATTTTATTTCTTTCTTTTGCTTCTTTTTTTTGTTTCCTTGTTTTCGTTTTCTTATAATTTCTCAATTTTTTTCCTTTTTTGGTAAATTTTTGGTCTTCTTTTTACAGAGTCAACTTCTCAATTTGCAAAGATTTTGCATTATTGACATTGACGAGGAGAATTATGTGACGACGGACAATCATGACACTTACATTGTCGACGAGTGCAGTATAATGCGTCATCAAATTTTATCTGATTCGTATTTCGTGAGACAGAAACGTCACGAATATACCAAACAGCCGGAGGAGTGTCTTCTCTTCTCGAAATTCCCACCGCCTCAAGGACCGGAGGAGGGTTTCGCTGGTAATTCCTCGTCCGACACGGATTTGGAGTATTTTCTCGAGGCCGATGTTCCGGGCTTGCGAGACAGTGGCTGGGTTTCGCAAGCTCGTAAAGCTTTCCGATCGTCCAACGGCTCCATGAAGGTATTTTCTTCTATAAACAAAAACTTTTAGTAACGATTCTTTTTAAATGAATAGAAAAAAACGAAAAATAGATTTTTTTCTTTTTTGTCAAAACTAAAAAACCAAAAAAGGTTTTTTTCTTTTTTTCGAAACTAAAAAGACGAATAAACGAAAAAAAAGACGAAACGATAAGGAAAACAAAATAAAAAGAGTAAAAAAGATGAGAAAAAACGATAAAAGACGAAACGAAAACGAAAAAAAATTAAAAAGGCGAAAAAACGCAAAAAAAATGTAAGGCAATGAAAAAAACTAAAAAAGACGAAACGAAAACAATTTAAACAGACGAAAGGGAACAAGAAGAAACTAAAAAAGGACGAAATGAACACGAAAACATTTTTTTAGTAACTAAAGAAAATTAATTCCTTTCAGAGCGACGTGATGCTGAGTTTATTGGATCAGATGCAAAAGGCGATTCCAACAGTCGAATGGGTGGACCACTTCACGTGGGAGACGAACGACTACAACGAAAGTTACTGGCTCCAGGAAGATCTTCGAGGAATTGAGTTGGTCCTGCGTTACGCGGAATTAAACACAAAAATGATTGACAAAGAAATGTTGAGAGAGAATTTGAAAATTTTCATTCAGTCCTCTCACGATTTTATAAAGTACAAAAAACCTCTTCATTACAATGGATTCGATTGGTTCTTGTCGACTGTCTTCATTGCCTGCGACGGCGACTTGGAAAAGTATAATTTCAAATTCTCCCCAATTTACTATCTGAATGCAAAAATATTTAATTTGTTTTTGTATTTACTCCTTGAGTGCAAAAATCTTTAGTTTTTCTAGTATTTACTATTTGAGGACAAAAATAATTCACTTTTTTTAGTATTTACTGTTTTTTTTTTGTATTTACTGCAAAAATAATTGATTTTTTATAGCCTCAGATGGCCGCGAGTCTTTTCCGGAATAATGAACAAATTCTTTTTCATCCAGCAATTTATAAATTTTACTTGAAACAAAATTTGTCATTATTCTATATTTTCCTAAAGAAAAACAGAAAATCTCGAGCTGACCAATTGTCATCATAGGCGGGTCTCAGGTTGAAAACTTTGTCCACAATATTAACGATATTTTCGTTAAAATTCGGCTGTTTTACTTTCATCATTGACCTAGGAGCAGTTTTTTTGATTTACAAAAAAGAAAGAAAAAAATAAATAAAAGAAAAGAAAACGATTTTAAAAAAATACAAACAAAGTAATTAATTAATATTCCAGAAAAGGCAAATTATTTTCTTTCAAAATTTTCAGATCCAAAAACTTTGTCACGCAAATTGTCCGCTTTCCATCGGCAATATTCTTGTGGCCGGCACTTGCCGATGTTGTTGATAAAAGCAACGAGGAAGAATCGACAACTCGACTGCTACTCGCTCATCTTTTGGAATTTCTTGTCAGTAAAGAATTTCCTACTATCAAGTACGCCATGAAAGTAAGAAAAATATTATATATTATCGAAATAAATTATTAAAATATAATAAAAAAGAACCCAAAAGAACGAAAGAAAAAAACGAACTTTCAGAATAAATGCGGCGTCGATTGGTGGACAATATCCCTACGACTCTGTCATCAATCATTCTGGGGAATTCTCCCCTGGGAGGAAATAATCCACTTCTACGCAATTTCCATTCTCTATCCGCCCGATTATATAATTTACTACTGCGTTTCATTATTAAATCACTGCCAAACCGATTTCATGGAAAATGTAATGAACGGAAAAATGTGGCCCGAACATTTGGTAAGTTTTAAATATCTTTGTAAATTAAGAATAAAATACCAAAATTTCTTCTAAACTTGGAAATCTGACATTTTTTAATACTCAAGAAAAAAAATAAAGAACGTATGTACAAAAAGACATTCGCTTAGATTCTAGAAGACTACCGATGTCACAGTCAAATCGGATACATGGACAGACTGGGTAAACGCTACAGCGGTAAACTTCTACCAATACTCTCACAACGGAAATTAAATTTTCCCGAGCCGAAGTAAAAAAATTGTATTCAAACGTTTGTTAATTTCTTAAATTAATTGTTGTTTCTTCAATTCCGTTGTTTGTACAGATTCATTAAAAATAATTGAAAATACACATCTTTATATATGTAAAAGCTGAAAAAATAAAAAAAAAGAAGCGTTACTTACGCGGGTGAAAATTTATCGAAGTTTTATTCATTATTTTCTAATAAAGCACAGGTTCGGTTCTTTTAATTGGAATTAAATGCTTCGGAAAATGCCACTCTTTTTCTCCTTCCTCTTCATTTCCGCTCCTTCTCTTGAGTTCTTTTTGGTTTGCCTTTAAAAACAATGTCTCCTTTCTGTAAGAAAAAATTTCCTTTCCTTGACCCTCACAGAGGTTTTTCTATTCAATCAATTTCTTCGAGTATTTACAAGAACCAATTCTTCACTTTTTCCCAAAAATTCGTAGACTTTTTCTAATCTTCGTGCATTGTGAATAATTTTGATATTTCCGACAGTTCCTCGTATTTTGTGCCTCTCTCCAGAACCTGGGGGGGGGGGGGAATTAAAAAGTTAATTGTAAAACTTAAATTAAATTGAAAAGGTAAAAAAAAGTTGAAGGTAAAAAATTTCTTTACCTGTCGCGCTATCGACATTCGATTAAAAACGTTCCAGAGAACGATTCCAACGACAGTATCGTTCTTGAGATAGAAAATAATTCCCTTCTCGAGATCGTAATTTTTTCTCGTCGCTTCCTCTGGTTCGTCGCACTTTTCATCGTTACTTTCTGTATTGTTGAGGGGAATTTCTTTAATTGTCTCCTTCTTTAAATTCAATGGTTCACTTATTTCAATTTTTGAGCTATTGACATCAATTGACTTATTGTCATCAATTGATTTATTGTCATCGACATTCTTTTCGTCCTCATCCTTTTGCTTCTTCTCGTCCTTCTTAAGAAACACAGAGACTGTGGGCAATTTCGAGTCAACTATTCCAATCGCCTCGTAACCAATGTCCAATCCCAGATCTGACCAAAACATCGATTGGTGTTTATAGGGTTTTCTTGCGCCCGTCATATTCTCGCCGGCCAATCGTCCGGAAATAATTGCATGATCATAGTGCTCAACTCGTCTTCTTCCGAATTTAATGTCATAAAAACAGGCCGCATCGCCGGCGACCCATAAATTACTTCTCGCCTCTAATTCCGCATTCACGAGGAAACCACCGACTTCCGGTTCTGTTTCTAATTCGGAGACTGTCGCCAAATCTGTATTTGCTCTCGCGCCCACTGCGACTATCACCTGATCGGCGTCCACCTTGAAAAAAAGAAATTACAAATAAAAATTATAATTAAAAAATTACAATGAAAAATTACTAACAATTAAAAAGTAATTTACGCGCAAAAAATTAATTTAAAATTAATAAAAATTAATTTACGCGCAAAAAATTAATTTACAGTTAATAAAAATTAATTTACAGGCAAAAAAGTTTTTTTTTAAATCATTAATTTATTTTTAATGAAGTGAGAAGGAATATTTTTTAAATCTAAACACACCTTTTTATTTTCCGACGTGATGAGTGTTAATTTTCCATCGCGCATCTCAAAGTCCTGGACTTCCGTGTTGCCGATGAAATTAACGCCAATTGACTTTGCCTTATTCGTCGTCCACTCGCATAAATAATCAGGTAATACTTGAGCCATCATATTCTTTTCCTTACAAATTTGAATAACTCTCTTTTGATCGGATTCGAAATTTTGAGCCAGGGAACAAGCGAGCTCGGAACCAAGAAAACCCCCGCCAATAATAACAATATTTCTCACATTTGGATCGTGGACATTATTCTCGAGTTCAAGAAAATCGTCCAACGTTCTGTAGGGGAGAACTTTCGAGGTAACTTTCTCGTCGGCCGATTCAAATATTTCGAGATTCTTCGGTGTTGAACCTGAAAAGTTAAAAACGAAATTTTTGGTAAAAGAAAAAATTAAAATAATGAAATGAATATAAAAAGTATGAAATTTAAGAAATAGATGAATGTAAACTTTAAGATGAATAGATTTAAGAAATAGATTGATGAAAAAAGAATTAAATTTAAGGAAGAGAATGAAATGATAAAAAAAAGAATGAACAGTTAAGAAAGAGAATGAAATGATGAGAAAAGAATTAAATAAAAAGAAGAGAACGAAAAAAATAATTAGAATTTCTTACCAGTTGCCAAGAGGCACTTTTCAAATTTAATCTGATAGCCATCGTGGAGGGTTGCGATTTTATTAATTACATCAATTTTATCCACTTTCCAGCCAGTGGCAACTGAGACTCCTCCATTCTCGAATTCGGACAATTTTTCGATTGGCGTGAAAAATTCCGCTGGCTCGTAGAAAAAGCTTTTTGAATTAAAAAAATAAATAAAATTTATTATAGAAATAAAGGCTTCAAACTAATGAATTAATTAAAAAAATGTCATTAATTATCTATTTCTCTGATTTTTAGAAAAAATATTATTGTAGAATATTGTAGAAAATAGTAAAAAAGTAATCTAAAATAATAAAAATGATAGAAAAAGATAAAATTCGTAATTTTCTTTTGGCTTATTTTACCTTCGAGGAGTACCGTGCCATTGTTTAAAATTAAATTGCGTCGAACTCATTCTGTCCTTATCGTACCAAACTTCCTTCGATAATGGCGGTTTCATATACGGATTGTAACTTTCCTCCGTAATAATTAAACATTTCGCTTTGGGATCGTTCGATTTAATTGATCTAAACGCTGAAAATGACGCCGGACCACCTCCTATTAACAAATACGGCACCTCCTTTGGAATTAAACTAGATTTCTTAGGGTATTTCACTACTTTTCTTCTCTTTTTGTCCGATTCACCGTCTGGATAACAATAAAAAATACATTAAAATTTTCTCCCATTTCTTCTTTTTTTTCTTTTCAAAAAATGTTAATAAAAATTTACCCTTCCCTCCCGTTGGTGTTTTTTTCTTGTTTCCTAATTGTGAAAACTGCAAAAATTAATAAAGTTAATTATAATAAAATGACAAAATGCGTTAATAATTAAAAAAACTGTTTAATTTCATAAATAAATGACAAAAAAATTTTAAAATACATTAACAATTTTTAAAAATTGTAAAAAGAGAATAGAAAAATTGAAAATAGATATTTACCGAAAAAATGACAACTCCGGTGAGAAGAAAGGCAATGAGAAGTTCTTTCCAATATTGAAAGGGTCTTTTGCCTCCGTTATTATTTCCCGGATTCACGGGACAAGTGGCAGCTGGACATGTCGTTGGACACGATGGATCCGGACCAAGTTCACAAGCTGGTCCTGCGAATTTCTTTTTCAGTTCCGGTTTTGCCGAAGGCACGCATTCCTCTGCTTTCAAAGTGACACCCGAAAACCGATACGGTCTTCTATCTTTTGTACTATTAAATCTCGTCGAATGAATATTAACGATTCCTGTTAAGAAAATCGAGAAAATAAATAAATCAAATATTCAAAACATTAATAAATTTATTCCCAAAGCAAAAAGAGTCCCAAAACCCATGCAATTATATTCAAAATCCAAAAATAGGTTTTAATAATCCTTTCTAATTAAATTAAAACAGACAATAAAATATTGTAAATTGTTAGTTAAAAACAATGTTAGGCGGGTAAAAACAGGGTAAAATAAGGAAGTAAAGCATTGGTTTTCCATAAAACGAAAACAAAAAAAGAATAAACAAACCTATTGGAAAAGTTGCACTGTATGTATTGTAATTACACACAATGCTATTTTTTGTTCCTGTAAACAAATAAAAATACATATAGAATTAAAAAAATTTAAATTATAATTTTAATCGAATAATAACCTCGGAGCAATAAATAAAACAATTTGGAACTCTAAATTCCATAAACACGCGACAAACATAGATTTTGAGGTTATGTTACCCATGACAAATGAAAATACCCTCGAAATAAATATAAAAACAATTTCTATTTGCTCGAACACGAAAAAAATGGTATAAAATAATATATTTTACAAATGTCAATAATTATTATCGCAAATTTAACTCATTATTAAAAAAATTAAAATATATCCTCAAGACAAAAACACTTTTTTTTCTTCAATACAAAAAAGGAGTAAAATATTTCTTTTCTCTACTAAATACTTTTATTCGTGAAAATAACTCACCGACATATTTTGTTGTTCCCCGAAGATGTTTGCTGTGTACGTGCCTCGTTATTTTTGATAATTGTCCAATGACTTTGCCGCAACTCAACATTTTTGACGGGCCAACAAGGGCCTTACGCAATATGGAGGCCACACGCGTGCCGCAATTCTTGTTCCCTCAGCTCGATAATAATAACAACGATCAACGATTCTTTTATTATAATCACCACAACTCCAGATAAAAAGCGCACTCATCACAGAACACTCCATTCCCTGGATTTTTTTTTTTAATTATTCATGTTATTCATTGACTTTTTTTTTAGATCCGATTCCATGTGTTTACTTGATGCAAAAACTTTTTTTTTTATGTCACTTTTTTTTTGTTGCAAAAATTAAGTTTATAAATAAAGAAAAATATTCACTACTGTTTCAATTTGTATTAATTGACAGTGAAAATCAGAAAATTGAATTTGTAAAATAATTTTTTCCACGACGATGATGATTGCGAATTTAGGTTAGAAGCCCAACTGTCGTTTGTTTTTTTTTGCCGTTTTTACAAGCAGAAATTTTGAAAGTGGGACAAAAATATGAAGACGGAAGAAAATAAAATTTAGAAAAAATGGGTATATAAAAATAATAGAAAATTATATATTTAGATTTAGATTTTAAAAAATTAAAGTTTTTTTTTAAATAAGTCACGTGGTTTCGCGCGCTGAGTCTGCGTAGTTAGGGCGGGAAAATTTGAAATGGAAACTTGAAAAAATGAAAGTTTATTGCAATTTAATTATTGAACAATATTTGATTCTTAAATTAAATGTTATTGTACATTATCCCCAAGAGCCAGGACTGAATAAAGGTAAATAATAACCTTTGACCATTCCATTTTCATTTATCTGAAAATTAAAGAGAAAAATTTCAGAAAATTTTCAAAAAGAAGGAAAAATTTTCAAAAAGTAGGAAAAAAAATTTATAAATTAAAATTTTTTATACGTATAATCGATGAAACCTACAATTAGTAGAGCGAATATGACGGAAAGTATTCCCAACACAAGATCTTTATTGGCTTTTTTATTTTTTTTATCATAATTTTCTTGCCAGTCGTAGATAACATCAGGGCCGTAGTCCATCAAACAGGGTTCCGTGCTACAATACGGCTCATCGCAATCAGTACTCATTTTTTTGAAATATCGCAATTTTTTCGAGTGTTGCACTGTCACGAGCACATGCGTATTTAGAACTGATCGAATAAAAAAATCTTGTTAAATTAAATTCATTTTTATTAAAAAAATTCAAAAAAAAAAAATTCAAAAAAATTAATGTAAAAATTAATTTTTTATAATAGAATTTTTTTTATTAATTTTCTAAAAATTCCCTCGTATTTTTATTTTTCTTTAAAAGTATTTTTTTAAAAAAGAGGTTAAAATTATCGAGAAACTCTGAAATTTTTTTTTACCTGGATTTAAATAACGGGAAAAAAGTCCACGATTGTTCAGGAACGTAGCTGCCCTTAACATCTTTTTTTTCTCTGGTTGTAAAAAATAACTTTTTTTTTTGAAAATTCTAATTAAATTTTAATTATTTTTATTTTCTATCAAGGACAAGAGGATTTTGACAGTGATTTTCTTTTTTTTTTTACAAAGAAAACAGTTGACTGCACGAAAATAACCTTCATTTTAAATTCAAGGCAATCGGGTTTTTCGATTTTTTTTTCAACTCCGCTATATAGAAAATTCTTTCTTATTGTAAATTAACATACGACTTTGCAATTTTTCTCCAATGATGCGACAATATTAATTGTAAAAATAATAATAGTAAAAAATTAATAATAATGATTTATTTCATTTATTTAGTAATTTTTCAAAATTTCTAGGTTATGTAAAAAGAAACGATCAAAATTTCTGTATTTTTTAATAACGATAATTATAATTATACTTTCTATTTCTTATAATTGTTTTCTCTTTCACTATAAAATTAAAAATTCTAAATGAAAGTAAGGAAAGTTCAAGGTACTTCGAATGTGAATTCGCCCCTGACGAACTTCACTTTATTCGTTAAAATTGACAGTTCTGTAAACATTTTTTTTCTAGAATTGTCTAGAATTTTCTGACATTCATTATGATTTAGTCATCAAAATTTCCTTCGTTTATTATCCAAATTTTCAAGTGACATCGACGAAATTAAAGTTTGCCAATGAATTCCAGTGTTTTAAGCGACGAAACTATTTTCCTGGAGACTCCACAATAAAAGCAGGTAAATTTTCAATCAACTCTTTCTACGCAACAAGGTTACAAAATTAATTTTCCTTTTAGAAAAATTTCCTCTTCTCTCAATCTATCAAAATTGGTCATTAAAATTTGATTCTTGTTTCGTGTACTACTTTTAATTGCAAATAGAAAAAAAACCTATTGGTTTTTTCACTGGTACAAAATATCGTAAAGTGACAGGCCAGCTGACATTTTATTTTGTCAACAATGAGCAAGTTTTGTTTGTAAACAAAGGAAAAAGTGCATTATTGTTTCTTGAAAATTAATATTGAACTTTTTTTTATCTTTTAAAAATTTATTAATTAACTTTTAAAAATATAATTTTTTCTTGTAAAAATAAAACTAATTTTAACGCTTTTTTAAAAAATTAAAAATTAAATTAATAAAAATATAAAAATTAAATTATTTTTTGCAAAATTCAATGGAAAATTTTCTAAATTTTCTAAAATTCTACAAAAATTAACAAATAGGCATTAATTTGTAGAGCGAAAAAAATTTACTTTCACTGCGCGCGTATAATAAAATTGAAAGGATTGAAAGGTAAAATTGAATCGTTCCAGGAAATGAAACAAAGGAATTAAATGCAGGGAGATGCATCGAGGAAGTGCGTAGATTGAATTAAAAGGAAAAAAGGAATTCACGGCTATGCTGAATCAGAAACAGGTTGTTTTGTCCATAAAAATTGTACTCTAATTTGGTAAAAGCAACTTTGGCTAAAAAAAAGGGGAAGACAACCACGTGTTTTCACGGTCTTTTCGCAGCAATAAGCCAGTGGATATAGTTTCTTCTCACTCTTGTGGGTGTTCTTTTTATAGCTGGCGTTTGACCTCCTTCTTCTGCATCAAGAAAAAGATTAGTCAACTGGTAAATCTTCCCGAGTGCACACACAACATGCTGTTAATTAACTAATTTCCAATTTTTTTTCCATCGTTTTTTTTCCACACTTTCCTCACACGCAAAATCATGCCTGACAAGTAAATAATTAATTTACAATAATTCATAATTTTAATCATAAATTATCTCCAAAATTCATTTTTTAGAAATAAATAAAAATTAATAGAAATAAATTTAAATTCTTGACAAATTTTAATCTTAAGAAGCATTGTTTTTTAAACAACAAAAGATTTTTTAACTAAAAAAAAAATAAAATCCCCCTGACAATAATTTTAGAAATTACAATTTTCGAAAAATTTAATTTAAAATCTTTTAATTAATATTCTAATTTTCTGGCTTTTTCTAAAATAACCATAATATTTAGGTCGCGAACGATTTTGAAATAAAAACAACAAAACGAAAGAAATCATTTTAAAATTATTGATTTATTTTTATAATGCACTCGTTTCAAAATTTTTATAAATTTAAATCGTCGCTAACGATTTTGAAATAAAAACAAAAGGAAAGAAACGATTTTCATTTAAAATTAGATTTATTTTTATAATAAAATCATTTTAAGATTAAAATTATAAATTTATTTTTACAATTAAATCGTGTTCAAATTTTAATTTGTTGATTTTAATTGTAAAATTAATTCTCAATTTAATTTTCAAATTCAAATTATCGATTTTAACTATCAATTTAAATTATCGATTTTAATTATCAATTTTAATTTTAAATTAAATTGTCGATTTAATTTTAAAAACTAAATTGTCCATTTTAATTACAAAGTTAAATTGGTGATTGAATTTTAAACATAAAATTGTTGCTTTTAAGGGCAAAATTATATTTTGAATGTATTTAAAATTTATTTGTATGGATTAAGAAAATTATCAATTAAATTGAATAAATTTAAAAATATAATTCTTTTTCAGCTATCATAAAATGAACGGTGAAGATGACCAGAAGAGCAATGAGGCTGGACCCTCAGTAGAATATTCGTCGCAAGTTTCGACGGAAAGTGATGACGAGAATCTCAAAAGGTAAGGGTATTTAATTGTTTTTTTTAAATAAAATATTCTTCTTAGTTTAGAATTTAATTAATTTATTATTAAAAAATAAAAAAAATTAAATTCTAAAAACTATTTTTAATAGAAAAAAAATAATTTAAAGTAATTATTTAATTAAAAGCAAATTTTTTTAAAATCAAATATTAAAAATATTTGTTCAATATTTATTTATTCAACGAGCCGATTAAAATTATTATTTATTTATTTAGAATTAAATTAATTTTTAAAATTAATATTTATAAAATTTGTCCATTGATTCATTTTTTTAACTAAAATTTATGCTATTTTTTTAATTTATGTTTTTTGCATGTGGTGGTGAATAAATTTATTGAAATTGAAATTTAATGAATTGATTGAATTGAAATTAAATAAATTTCATTAATTCGAATAAATTTGAATTTAAAAGTGAATTTGGAATAACGAAAAAAATTGAATTCAAGGGCGAAAAATTTTATGCTGGGCATAACTGGTGCTTCACCGCCAAAATATGTTTCTCTTGAGGAAATAATGAAGGCGACGGATGGACTGAAAAATATGGCACTAGCTCATGAAATTGCTGTGGATAAAAATTTTAAACTCGAAAAATTGGGAGTCGACGAGATTGGATTACACAAGCAAGTCAAGGAAATTATACACAAAGCATTTTGGTCACTTTTGGAGGAACAACTCGCCGAGGATCCGCCAAATTATATACAAGCTTTGGTTCTATTGAAAGAAATAAAGGGGGTTTGTTACTTTTTTCTCTCTTTCTTTCTTTTTCTCTCTTTTCTTTCAATTTTTCATTATTTTCCTTTCGTTCGTTATAGATGGAAATTTTATATTACGTTTTCTCAAGACATTTTTATGTCATTTAATAATGACAAAAAAACTTTTACTTTTTTCCTTACAAAAAAAAGTAAATTAAAGTAAAATCCTTAAAGGACTGCGGAATAAATTTTAATAATAAAAAAAAATTTAATCAATAGACTCTGGACGAATTGGTGTTGCCGCATCACAAGAAGATTCGCGAAAACATTAACGAGGTGCTCGACGTCGATTTAATAAAGCAACAGGCAGAAAATGGTGTTTTGGATTTTCAACATTACGCTCATTATGTTATGAATATAATGAGTAAAATATGCGCACCGGTGAGGGATGACAGAATAAAAGAATTACGACAGTGTACCGATGTTGTGGAAACATTTCGCGGTATAATGGAAGTCCTGCAATTGATGAGACTCGATTTGGCGAATTTCACCATTACAATGATGAGGCCAAATATCGTTGCCTCGAGTATTGAATATGAGAAGACAAAATTCGCCGAATTTCTCAAAATTCAATCGGATGGATTAAGATATACGCGAGTATGGATTCTCAAGCATTTGAATGAAAAGAAAATCGAAACTGCCACCAACGATCCAAATTCTATTAAACAAATCACTCATTGTCTTTTGGCTGAGGCTTATTTGGATCTTTTGCAGTTTGATTTCACTCCGAATGCCGAGGTGACAATAATTTCTGATTTAAAATTGAAAAAAAAGTTATTACATATAAAATTAATTTTTGTTTCTTTTCAAAAATTTTACTATTACAATTAGGAAGAAATCACTTATTTTTATAAATAATAACATTCCTCTGAAGAATTCAATCATTTTTATAAATTTAGTAAATTTTTTTTTGCAAACATTCAATTATTTTCAATTCAATTTTATTAAAATTCTTCAAAATAATTCAATCACTTTCAAAATTTTCAATTAAAATTATTAATAAAAGTCAGTAAAAGAAGTTAACGATTATTAAACTTACAGACATTGATGCTGGACCAGGGACGACTTTTGGAACTGCGCGACAAGACGAATCGTATGAGTATTATTAGTTCAGTGCTTCTTTTAGTGAATAATATCGCTGGTCCTGCGATTCATGGAATTTCCAGTTTCAAAAAGCAAATCAAGGATCATCTCAATGTCATTTTGGAATCTGTACATTCCAACAAGTTAGTAATTATTAAAAATAATAATAAATAAAAAGAATTGAATAAAATTTGTAAGTACGAGTTTAAATAAAATAATTTTCCCTTTTCAGAGATTTGGAAACTGTGATGCCGAATGTTTTGTTGCAAGTGAAGGCGGATTTAAAAGCCACACTCGAGGAAATTGGCGCGCCTTCAATGCCGCCTGAAACTGAAACAATTCTCGATGGACAAATTTTGGATCTCGTGAATCCAGAACATAAAATTCGATATCTCGTCAGTAAGTGAATCTTTTTTTTCGTATTTTTATATCAAAAAACGTACATTGCAAAATTCAAGACACAATTTTGGAAATTAAAATAAAATTTTCGAATAAATTGAATTAAATATATTAAAATAAATAAATAAAAAAAATAAATAAATAAAAAATGAATTAAAATCTTTATTAGAAACTAAAAGAAAATTAAAATTAGAAAATAAGAAGAATAGAATATAAATAAGATTAGAAAGAAAGAACAATTTCAAATAAGAAAAAGATTAAAAAAGGAAATAATTTCAAATATTGAAAATTAAGAAAAAAATGTCAAAATTGTAAAAAAAATAATAAATACATTGAACTGAAAAAAATTTTGTCTCAATTTTCAGATCTCAGGATTCGGCAATTTTTGGAGAAATTAATTCTCTCGCAATCGGCAGCGCCGCAACAAATTCCACCGGGACTCTCGTCCCTTCAAGAAGAATTGGCATCAATTTCAGCACAATTTCTCATTTTAGTTTCACACAATCGTAGCGTTTTCGGTGATTATTATCAAGATATTGTCGCCGAAGCACTTCGGCAAACTGAAAACGGAAAAACACTCACCATGGATGAAACATAGAAAAAAACTAGAAAAAATTGATTAAAAAATAAATAAATATATAAAAAAAAAAAGAAATTGTTAATAAAAATTGAAGCGCTGTGTTAAAATGAATTTATCGCAAAGAGAAAAGAAAACAAAAAATTATGATAAACTATATGACGACAAAATATAAAAGAAACGAATTTTTAAATAGTTACGAAGAAAAAAAAATGTTTCTTGGAAATTTTAATCAATTTTAAAATTATTAGGTTAATTTTTACTAATTATTGTTTTCGATTAATAATTATTTCCGATGAATAATTATTTCAGATTAATAATTATTTTATATTAATAATTATTGACAAGTTTTAGCAAATACTGGAAATAATTGTTAATATTCATTCTGATTAATAATTATTTCCGATGAATTAAATTCAGACCAATAATTATTGACAACTATTAGCAAATATTGAAAATAATTCTTGACATTCGATGCTAATTATTGTCAATAATTGAAAAATTGCTAATTACCACCGACAATTGTTTGCTAATCGCAAATTATTAAACAATCTCCACAATCAATTGAAAATGCAATCGAACTAATCGAATTATACAATTTTGACGATAATTTAAAATTTGTAAAATACTTTTTATTTATTATTTTTGATGAAATTATTATATAAACGAAATTACTTGAAATATTCAGTGATTTTAATCACTCCGGTGAGATTTCTTTTTTATAGACGATAATTCTTTTATAAAATTATACCCTCGTTTTCCATTAGCTCCTATAGTTATAAATATATAATTATACCTATAGAAAAAATATTCTTGTACTAAAAAAACTGGCATTTCTTTCTAAGAAACATAATTAGAAAAAATTATAGAAATATTGTTAAATAAACAAATCTATCCAAACTGAAAATAAAGCCTAATATTATGAAAAAAATGATAAAATATATTATTTTCCTTTTTAAGTATACTTACAAAATTATTAACTGTAGACAATAAATAATTTATTTTCTCTGCAACAACGTCACTTGGGTGTCGAATAACTCAACGTGTTGTTTTTTCACAAAACTCCTGAAGCCTAAACAGAAAAAAAATTTGATTCGATTATTAACAATTATTATTTACTGTTGATAATTAAAATTTAGAGAAAAGTAAATAATAAGAGAAAATTAAATTATTCATTACCAATAAACAGGGGAAATAGTTTCTTATCCTGATAAAATAATTCCATCAATGATTTTAATAATTTTTGGAAATTTTCTTCGTTGGTGTATTCTCGAATCATTTTTCCGAATAGTTTATAATTTTCCGTGCTTAATGATTCTTTCACCTGGAATAAAATAATGCAAAGTAATTAAACAATAAAAATAAAATAAAATTGAAAAATTAATAATAATAATAAATAAAAAAAATTACCGTTTTGAGATAAAATTTTCCAATTTCCCTTTTTCGTTCCGTGGGACTTTTTTTCTCACCATTTTGACAATTATTCTCTGAACTTGAGTTATGATTTTTAGTGTCATTATTAGTTTTTATCGGCAATTTTTCCATTTGATGAAAATTATTATTCGAATTCGATGAAACTCTTGATGTTGATGGTTGTGGTTCCATTGGTTCGAAATTTTTCACCATAGTTTCGAATTTTCGTTTTTTCGTCACAATCGGTTTTTCTAAATTGGCCAGTAAATTACAAGAGACCAATGGACTGTTTATTTTACAATTATTAAAATTAATCACAGACGTCGATGATTCGGAGAAAATATTATTTGACGTCGATTTCGTGATTTTTGGTGTTTCGGTTGGTTTTATTGCATACATATCGGGAACGAATGTGTCTTCCTCTTCTTTTGCAATTGGTTTTGTTTCGATATTTCGCTTAATACCGGTAGTGATGGAATTAAAACGCGCCGGAACCGCTGGCAATGATATGTCGTCGGCTTTTATTTTCGATTTTAATTTCGGTTGTGGCAACTGAAAGGAAAAAGAGAATTTTAATTTAAAACTTTAATTTTAAATTTAAAAAATAGAAAAATAACTTTTAAATTAAAGGAAAAATAAGTATTTGACTTACGGCGCTTTCCGTATAACGATAAAACTCTTTTATTTCCTTCACCATGACGCCGAAATTAGGGAATTTTTTAATATGCGGACGAATCCAGGCGGACAATTGACTTTTAAATTGCGCACTGTCAAATCGACAGTCGCAAAAAATTATCGCTCCATAATCGTCTTTGTGTCGAATAATTCGTCCTATCGCTTGATTCACAGCTCTTGACGCCTCGAGTTGATACCATTGTTGTCCGGTTAAATTCTATATAAAAAAAAATTTATAACAAGAAACATAATTATAAAAATAAGAAAGTAAAAAAATTAAACAATAGTCAAAAATAGAATTCGATTCGTACTTCTCTGTCCTTTAATTTATTTTCCTCGAGATATTTCCTTTTCAAAATAACTCTTGGATCCATTAACGGTGGAAATGGAAGGCCAGTGATTAAAACTGCTCGTCCGTTTGCGTCCGCGAAATCGAGACCCTCACTGACTTTTCCTCTGCAAACGGCCAAAAAAATTGCCCCCCTACACGAAGGATCGCGAATTTTCTCATAGTACTCGTTCATTGTACTGACAAACGTGTCCTTTGATTGTGGCTCGACAAATATTGGCTATTGGCAAAAAAAGAAACTTAATTACAATTTAATTAATTACAATTTTCAAATATTAACCTTTTTTTCTCTCCATTCAAAAATATTCCCAAATAACAAATTCAAATTAATAAAAATAAAATGAAAGCAAACTAACATTATTTTCAATTTAATGATTAAAGAAAATATGAAAATTCTCAATTAAATGAAACCAAATTTTCAATTTAATAAAAATAAAATTTTCAATTTAATAAAAACAAAATAAAAGATTAGGACAAAAATTGAAAAATTAATAAAACAAGTATTTCGAATATTAAGAAAATTGAAAAGAAGATTTAAAAACCTTGCGTTCAGAAATTTTTGTCCAAAGTCCCAAATTTTGCCATTCCTCCTGGCATCTTTTCATAATTGGATAAGATGGAAAAAAGACGAGTAACCCATTAGGAATTAAGGCACTAAAATTGTAAACCGTCTGTCCAAGTGAAGCCAAATATTTCGGATTATTTCTGAAAAAAAACCAATTATTTATTGGTTAATAATATTAAGAATAAATAAAATATTACAACAACAATAATAATAGCAATAAAAATAAAAAAATAAAAAAGAGATAATAGGAAAAAAATAATAAAAAGAATAGTAATAAGAAAATATATGTAAAATTAATAGTAATAAAAAAAGAAAACCTCGTATTGTACGAAGAATTAAGTGGTTCCGAATCTGGACCCTGAGAAAGAATTCCAACGCACACTTGTTTTCCAGTAACAATGTGAGGATTTTCCAATTGAACTCCAATTGGAATTCCAAGTTCGGAGATAAACGGTTTTAACGGCGAAAGTGTTCCACTAGTTAAAATTACCGATCGAATACCTTGATCGACCAATTGTTGCATTCTACACAAAAAAGAAACAGAAAAATTAAAATTTAAAATATTTTTTCATACATTTACATTTCAAAAAACTCAAAGAAATTCTTGATTTTATTAAATAATAATCAAGAATTTCTTTGAGTCAATACCATTTTTAACGATTAAAAGAATTTTTTACACTCAATTATATATTTTCTTTTAATGAATTTCTTCTTCTTTTAATAAATAGAAAAGTGTAAAAATTTTTTCAAATTCTTACCCGAAACCTGGACTAAAGCACCAGTAACTAATTAATTTTCCTTCAGTTTTCGCGACAGTCTTTTTCTCCCACATGTTTTTTTGATTATTATTCTTCTTATGATCTTCCGATTGTACATAAACTTTATAGCATTGCTTTATTTTTTCCCGCAATTTAAAACCGGAAGCACCACCAGCAAAAGCGACTCTCAGCAAATCGTTAAATTTCTGTAAAGCATTTCCCTTCCTGGCAAATGGCGATGTACTTGTTGTCGATAAATATTGAATTATTTTCTCTAATTTCTCAATGACAAACTGCTCCTTACCCTGTGTGAGCTGCGAGCGAAAAAAGAATTTTTTTAAATAGAAAATTAAATTTTTCTAATAAATAGAAAATTAAGAGAATTCGATATTTTGAAACAAAAATAAAATTCACACCTGAGCTTTTTCCAAAAGTTCGAAAATATAGCAACCAGGAAATGTTTTTCCCTCATCGACTTTATCCAATTGAATTTCGTCGATTGCTTTTTCTAATTCAAGAAACATGGCTTTTAAAATGAAAAGATCTTCGGCCGTGAAATCTTTAACGACATTTGGAGAATCTGAGAAAGCATCGTCTGTTAATTCATTGGCCATGTCCTTCATCACTGATGTTACTTCGTCAATACAAAGGGCGACGTCTGTACTGCTGATCTGAAAAAAAAGAATAAATTTTTTAAATAAAGGTAAAAATAATTAAACTAATAAAGTAAATAAAAAATACAATAAAATGAAAGCAAAAAGAAATAATATTAAAAAATTACCTGCAAAGAAGCGGCTTCCTCGCAAGTTTTCTCCACATTGTGCGCCTCATCGAGTAAAATAATATTATTCTGCAACTCAATTCCCTGCGCTCTTCGCGCCTTTGGATCTAATAAATAATTATACGGCATGAAAGTAATGTCCGCCTGTTGCTTTAATTCTTTCGACAAAAAATACGGACAGCATCTTGCTTTTTGTCCCGCTTTCGCCAAATCTTCAATGTCCAATATCTCTTGATGAAAAATCGGATCGTCTTTTCTACGGAAAAAAAATTAATAAATTAATAAATTTGTAAATAAATCCTTACAAAAAAAAATATATATATATATTTCTTTGTAAAAAAATATTTTTTCTGTAAAAAAATAAATACCCACCGAGATTCGACATTATTATAATAAAAACAAGTCCTGGCTTTAACTTTCGCCTGGCACATTTGTATTTTATTGAAGGAATTTGGTTCCTTCGACACCTCGGGATGAATGCAAAGTTGATCTCTCGAACCAAGAACCGCAACTTTGACGTGTTTATAGGAAGTTCTTTTTAATTCCTGCATCGCTTGAGAAAGTTGAGAATGCGTTCGCGAGGCATAAATAATTCTCGGCATATTCCAACTGAACGTGGGTGTCGCTTGATTTTCCTGCCCATCTTTAGATCCACCGGCAATTTCCAATTCGCCGGTCAATTTTTTCGCGAAATGATTCAAATCCGATTTCTCATAAGTGCCAACGAGCGATTGTGCTTGTGCCTGAGCTTTTCGAACCGTAAGCCAACTCAATGACGAGCAGAGAAGACACAAAGTTTTACCGGTTCCTGAAAGAAAAAAAATAAACAAATAATTTTACATTTTTTTTCTGTTTCTATTTCGAATTTTTGGAATAATCTTTTTGGTAAAAACAATATAAATAATATAAATCGTGAAATTATTAATTAATTATTAATAAACTACTAATAATTATTGTTAAATAATATTTTATCGAAAGTTTTCATTTAAAACTTCAAAAAAAAAAACGAAATCGAATCTATTTTTGAGGTTAGGAACGCAGAGTGAAAAGTTCGCCGCGCACGTAAAATTATTAACAAAAACGATAAAAATGTTTAAAATTCCTATTTTAAGTAAATAAAATTATTTCTTTTTTAATTCTCACCGGTTGGTGACTCCAAAACACCGTGTTTTCCATTTTGGAGACATTCCAAAACTTTTGACATGTAATCCTCCTGAACTTTATAAGGTTTAAAGGGAAAATTAATATTAACACCATTGATATTAACCTCCGTCATCTTTTTTTCAACTTTAAAATTTGAAAATACAAAATAAAACGCTAAAAGTATAAACAATTTATGTTATTTTATTCTTTTCATTATTAAAATTGTTAAAATTCGATCACAACACGCGTTGACAAGTTTATGACACTTTTCCCGCCAAAAACAAATGTCAAGTCAGCTGCTACGAGAGGTTAGGTCAGATTCAATAGTTAAGGTTGGGTAGTCAGCTGATCAAGTCGCTGCCCTTTTACAACCGCCTGTCTTTTAAAAACATCATTTTCCTTGTTTATATAATCAGGTACGACTATTTTCATTTATTTTCCCACGAAATATGAATTGTGAACAGTCTATTTTGATGATAGAATTTAAAAACTGGGATTTTTGATGAAAATTGTAATTTAAATTCAAGGTGAAAGAATTTCGGGTCAGTAACCTTTAATCTTTAGGCGATGACCTTGAGAATTGGATTATTTTTTTGCTCCTTTTTATCCTCTTTTTGAGAGAAGAAATAAAATTACTTGACCATTTTCCGTTTGACAGAAAATTCATCAATTTTATCCAGATTTTTATTTAGTGAATTTTTCAATAATAATTGTAGAGATAAAACCAAAAATTCTAACCGGCGATAAGAGAAAAGTCGTCGGCCTTTTTTTATCTCATCCTCTGATTATATTTTGCGGTTTCTTTTTTCAGCATTTCTTAATATATTTTTTCTACATATTCGACTTTTTTTTCTTCTACTTTGTCCCACTTTTTTTTATTCCTTTTTCTCTTACTAAATATTTTTTTTTTACTATTTTTCTAAATTTTCAATTTAGTTTTTTAAACAATAAATATTGCCGACAGTAAATAAATTTTTTATTAACAGTATTTTGAATCAAATTTTACGATTTATTACAAATTTTCAATCAGAATTACAGAATAAAAAATTTACGAAAATAAATAAAAAGAAGAGCTGTGGAAGTCTTTCAGTTAATTAATATAATTAATTAAAAATCTAGAATTAATTAATTAATTAATTTAGTATAGTTAGAATTTAGAATTAATTAATTTAGAATTATTGAGAGATTTACAACAAATTTTTAACAATAAACAAATTTTTTTCAGTGTCAGTGGATTTTCGTGCAATATTTTTGTCTGTAAATTTTCTCGTCAACAATGCGTCTTGTTATTTGTGATACCGTTGATTATGTTGCCGAATGGTCGGCAAAATATGTGATGAAAAAAATTAAGGAATTCCAACCAAATGAGAATAAATATTTCGTCCTTGGACTGCCAACAGGTGATTAACTTTCACGTAACTTGAAATAATTGTCTTTTTTCAATTTCAAAATGATTTATGAGCAATTATAAAGCTTATTTTTATTCTATTTTATTATATAAGAATTATTTTCAATATTTTGTAAATAATTATTTATTTATTTTATTTATTTTCAATAATATATTTTATTTTTTTATTTATTTATTATTTTTATTACTACCTAGCAAATTTTATGCGCATTTTAAAAATTTTAATAACATTTTTCGCAAGAATTCAATTTTTTCCATAAAATAACAACATTCTTCGGAAGAATTCAATTATTTTTTATAAATAGTAAAAATTTTTGCAAAAATTCAATTATTTTCAATAAAATTTCACAAAAGAATTTTTATTCCTAAATAATTAATATATTTCATATAAAATTTATAAAATTGATAACAAAATTTTGTTAAAGCAATTAAAATTTTTTTTTTTTTCTATTATCCAGGTGGCACTCCATTGGGAATGTACAAAAAGCTCATTGAATATTACAAGGAAGGTAGACTTTCTTTCAAATACGTCAAGACTTTTAATATGGACGAGTACGTCGATTTACCAAGAGATCATCCCGAGTCCTATCATTATTACATGTTTAATAATTTCTTCAAGCATATTGATATCGATCCGAAAAATGCACACGTTCTCGATGGAAATGCTCCCGATTTGAATAAGGAGTGCGAGGATTTCGAGAGAAAAATTAAAGAAGCCGGAGGAGTTGAACTCTTCATCGGAGGTTCACGATTTTTAATTATCTCTCAATATTTTTTCCTTTTTATTTGATTTTTTTATTTCGTTTTTAAATTGTCTCTCAATTGTGATTTTTTCATTATATTTTTTTATTTCTTTTTTAAATTGTCTCTAAATTGTGATTTTTTCATTTTATTTTTTTATTAATAATAATAAAGTAATTAATAATTTCTTTATTTTGATAGTAAACTGATTATAATAATAATAATAATTGAAGGAATCGGACCGGACGGACACATCGCCTTCAACGAACCAGGCTCGTCTCTATCGTCGAGGACTCGAGTGAAAACCCTCGCCCAGGACACTCTGGAGGCGAATGCGCGATTTTTCGACAACGACATTAATAAAGTGCCAAATGAGGCGTTGACCGTTGGAGTGGGAACCGTAATGGACGCCAAGGAAGTGATGATTCTTATCACTGGTTCTCATAAAGCTTTTGCACTCTATAAGGCCATTGAGGAAGGTGTCAATCACATGTGGACGGTTTCTGCCTTTCAACAACATCCACGCACAATTATTCTCTGCGATGAGGACGCAACCATGGAATTGCGCGTCAAAACCGTTAAATATTTCAAGGTAAAACAACAAATAATTCAAACATTTTTACGTTTCTCACCTACATTCAAATTTTTCTAAGAATTTAAATTAAAAATTGAATAAATAAATATTTAATAAAATATATTCCACTAGATTTTTAACAATGATAGAATTTTTACAGAAAAAGGGAACATTTCAATTATTTTCAACTATTTGAATGAAATTTTTCACGAGATTCATTTATTTTCAATAATAATTTTAATACATTTTTTCTCAAGAATTCAATTATTTCTATCAACAATAAAATTTTCTGAAAGAATTCAAGAATCACCCGAATTTAATTACTTTCATCAATAATAAAAATTATCTGATGAATTCAATTATTTTTAAAACATTTCTAATTGAATTCCTAGAAAGAATTTAATTATTTTTAAAAAATTCCATAAAATTATTCAAAAAAATTCAATTATTTCCTAAAATTTGAATATATTTTTCGTAACAATTCAATTATTTTCATAAACGATAAAATTCTTCATAAGAATTCAATTATTCAATTATTTTCAAAAATTTTAATAAAATTTCTCGAAATAATTCAATTATTTTCATGAATAATACAATTTTTTTCAGTAAATCGATTTTTTAAATAATATTTTTATTAAAATTTCTCCATCGAATTGAATTATTTTCAAAAATTTTAATAAAATTGTTTCTAAGAATTTAATTATTTTCATAAATAATAATACTTTTAAATTTTACATTGAAAGTGTTTTGAAACTTTAATTCCTGGTGGTAAATAAATAACAATAAGTATTCATTATATTTATTAAACAAGAATTAATTAAATTTCAAAAATTTTATTTAAGAATTCTAAAAAAATGAGCTTTATAAAAAATCGCAATTAAAATTTTTTTAAAATAGTCGAATTCCCGAAAATAATTTAAAAAACCTGAAAAAATAGGAATTTTTCTCTAATTTCATTAAAATAAATTTTACCTATATTTCAAATTATTTTATTTTTTCACTTTAAAAAAATATTTTTTTAAATATTATTGTAAAAAAATTAGTTTTTTAAAAATTGTAATTAAACTTTTTTCGAAAATAATTAATTTCGATTTCTTTTTAATTTCGAACAAAAGAATTTCTTGTATTCATTCAAAACATTAATTTCGATTTCGAACAAAACTTTAATTTATTTTTTTTAAAGAAATACAATTAGAAAAAGAGAAACTTTCTAATCTAAGTTCAAGACCCGAAAATCAAAAAAGAAAGAAGAAAGAAAAAAAAGAAAAGAAATTCTAAAAAGAACTGGAGACTATTTGAAAAATGTCTAATAATAAATATTCATGTATTTCAGGCTTTGAGTGCCGTTCATATGAAACTAATCGAGGAATCACCGGTGACTCGTCGCTCTATATCAAGCAGTGAAAAGGTTTGAAAAAGAATACCTTTTTTAAAAAAAAGAAAAGAAGAATTGAATCAATCGAAAGAAACAAATTTCTTTCTCGACAAAGAAACACACGATTAATTCCAGTGATTTAAAAAAAAAATTGACCTATTTTTTAATCTTTCCATTTTTACAATTTGTATACAATTCTTTAATAATAAAAAGAAGAAATAATTATTTTCACAATTATATTTCTTTTTTCATTTTTGTTTGTTTTCTTTTTGGTTTCAATTTTTGTTTAAAAATTGAAAGCCCTGCAAGAAAGTTTCTTTTTTTATTATGATTCTTGAAAAAAAACCGCAAAATAATTTCTTTTTTCACTCTCGTAAAAAAACTCCCCGTAAAACTTTTTATTTTGGTTCTAAAATAAAACCGCAAAAATTTTTTCATTTCGGTTCCAAGAAAAAACCTGCAAAATTCTTTTTATTTCGATTTAAAAAAAACTATTTTTCATTTTGGATCTGAAAAAACGCTCGCAAAACTTTATTTTGGTTTTAAAAAAATCCCGCAAAACTTTTTTTATTTCGAAAGAAAAAACCCGCAAAATTCTTTTAATTTTGATTTAAAAAAAACTATTTTTCATTTTGGTTCCTAAAAAAAAACCCCCGCGAAAAAATAAATTCTCCAAAAGGAGAAAAAAAGAAAAAAAAACGGAAAATTCAGCTGCTGCTAAAACGCAACGATAATTAATTTCCGGAAACTGATAATAGTCCCGTTGAATAGAGAAGATTTGCAGAATTCAACTGTTTGGAAGTGTTTTACGTAATAATTTTCAACAAAGATTTTTACTCGTTGATCTGCGAATGAGGACAGATCTCTGTGTGTGACGTGTGCTTAAAATATATATAAAGGTATCAGTGTCGAGGCTCAAGTGGTGATGATGATGATGGTAGTGGTGGTGGTGATGGCGATGGTTGTAATGGAGGTGGTCACTCAGAAAATTGTGTTCCATTCACGCAACACGCGTAATCATTGCTTTTCATAAAATACAAGGCTACGATCTTAACTTCAGTTTGCTCAAGTTCGTTGCTTGAAGCTAATCTCGAAAAATTATTTTCCCCCAAAAAAAACAAACAAACAAAAATAGTTTTTGAAAAAAGTTTACAATTTTTTTTTGTTCCCAGAATTTTTTTGAATTCTGTTTCACTTTCCATTCACGACAATGTTTACATCGAACCGAAAAACGTAATTTGACAAATTTTGCTATTCTAATAAAAATAATGTTAAAAATTGAAAACTAAAATTAAAAATTAAAATTAAAAACTAAAATTGAAAAATAAAATTAAAAAATAATTGATTAAAAATATAACTGAAATTTGAAAATAACTGATTAAAAATACAACTAAAGTTAATTTCTTGAAAATAAATAATCGAATCAAATTTTATTTTCTTCAAAAATAAAAAATCGAAACTAAATTTTCGTTTCCTTGAAAATAAATTGAATTAAATTTTCGTTTCTTTGAAAATAAATGACAGAATTAAATTTCAATTTAATATTTACAAATATTAATAGAAATTGAAAACCTAATTAAAACTGTAAAAGAATTTACAAATATTAAATTTGAAACAAAAGAAATTTCAAAACTGATATAAATTTGTAAAATTTAGTTCAAAAATATTAAATTTGAAAATAAAAAATAAAAATTATTGAAATTACTGTAACTTTTGTAATTAAATTAGTTGCTCGAAATAATTAATAAGAGAAAATTTCACAAAATATTTGTTGAATTAATTACAATTAAAAAAAATAAATAAAATAAAAGATAATATAAGAAATAATTAAAATTGAAACACTGACAAAATTTCAAATAGTTTTAAAAAAATAATAAATAATAATTAAAATATCAAAATTATTAACTCAAAATTGTCAAAATAAAAAATAAAAACCAAACGAAATTGTAATTCAAAAAAATCGAATTCTTCTTCTAAAGGAAATCGAAAAACGCAAAAAACTAAAAAAAATTCATTAAACAATAACTAATTATTAAAATTTATAATTTACAGTGTAAAGGATTTAAATTCGTGTTTTTTATAATTTATAATTATTATTTCATTAATAATTATTAATTTATAATTAATCCCATCGTCAACTAAAAACAAAAGGAAAAATCATGAACGAAGTTGTTCTACGTGACTTACAATCGGTTCTCCGACAGGAGCTCGGCGATGATTTAATTGTCGTAAATTTCACCACCGAACTATTATTGCCACCTGGTGAAAATTATGGCAGTACAATGCTCTCAGTTGTCGCCGAAATAAAAAAACATGCAAATACAAATAACATTGAGACTTTAAATTTAGTGGCAAAAATGTTGCCGCCAACTGATTTTCAACGTGAAATATTCGACAGTGGCTTTACATTTCGTAAGGAGTGCTTTTTGTACACGGACATTTTGCCACGTTATAAAAAACTCGAAATTGAATTTGGCGTCAAGGAAAGTGAAATTTTTGATATTGGCGCAAAATTTTACGGTGCAAAAATTTCATCGAGTCCCGATATTGATTTCGATGATGACGCTGTTATTTTATTGGAAAATTTGAAAGTTCGTGGTTATTACACCGGTGACAGAAAAACAGGTATTATTACTATTTTTTTTAACTGTTATTAATATTTTTTATTATTGTTATTGTCTTTTTTTATTTTTTTCCTACTGATTTTTTATTATTTCTACAATTTTTTTACTTTCACTATTTTTTTACCATTGTTTTTTTACTATTACTATTTTTTTATTACTACTGTTATTTTTAGTCTTTTTTTACTACGGTTTTTTTATTATTTCTACAATTTTTTTTATTATAACTATATTTTACTATTGTTCTTTTTACTATTACTACAATCTTTTTACTGTCACTATTTTTTTACAATTTTTTTTTACTATTAATATTTTTTATTACTGCTGTTATTTTCAATATTTTTTTACTACGTTTTTTTATTATTTCTACAATTTTTTTACTATAATTATTTTTTACTTTCACTATTTTTTTACAATTAGTTTTTTACTATTACTATTATTTTTTTTACTAATGGTTTTTTATTATTTTTTACTACTGTTTTTTTTATTATTTTTTTACATACTGTATTTTTTTACTATTTTTTTACTACTTTTTTTTATTAATACCTACAACAATTTTTTACTATCACTATTTTTTTATTTCTTGTTTTTTGTTATCTTATGATTTTATGTAACAATTTTTTTTATTATTACTATCATTATTCATTATTATTTTTTTTTTATTATCACAATAATTGTTATATATTATCTCACTAGATTACTTCATATTTTTTTTTGTAATTGCTCGAGTATCGTTATACAAAAAAAGTAGTTAATAAACGGTTATTAATCAACTACGTGAATTACATTACGAAATTGTAAAAATATGCATGACAAGATAAAAATCATGTTTCCGGTTTTTATAGTTAATATTTTTGTCACGAAAATTGCGTCAAAACTTAGTCAAACTTGAAAATTTTTCGCGTTTTTTAAAATTGGAAAAAAGAGGATTATTCCAATTTTTGCAAAAAATTTTATTGTTTATAAAAATAATTGAATTGTTTCGAAGGATTTATTAAAATTTAAAAAAAATTAAATTCTTTTGAAAACTTTTTTAACGTGCATTAAGAAAAAATTGAATTCTTTCGCGAAATTTTATTGAAAATGATTGAATTTTTGCAAAGATTTTACTATTTAAAAAAATAATTGAATTCTTTTGTGAAATTTTATTAAAATTTAATATTAATATAATTTTTAATATTTAAATGTAAAGTAATTTTTAATATTTAATTGTTAAGTTATTTTGAATATTTATTTATGAATAAATATTAAAAAAACATTTAAATATTAAAATTTTCTTTTAATTTTGAATTTTTTCTCTAATTTTGAAAATAAACAATATTTTTTTAATTATAATGTAAATATTGAAAATTTAAATTTTAAATTTCAAAATTCCTCTCAATTTCTGTATTTTTAGTCAAATACAAAAAAATTCATTTACTACTTGAAAAAATACAGAAATTTTTGAAAAAAATTAATAAGAATTTAACGAAAGAAAAAAATATTAATTTGAATAAATTGTTAATTAATTTTTTCCTCCATTTTGTCTCTTGTAAAGTAAATAGTTAATAATAATTGATATTCATCGGTTGCCTGATAGATAATTCTGCATAATTGTAGAATAATTTCCAATTTTTCTAGCATTTATCTCACTGCATGATTTTGCATTAAATTAAAATATAAATACTGAAAATTTTCATTTCTAGTCTTCTCTCATTATATTTTCATTATTCGTCGTTTGAAAACAAAACAATTATGCAATTTAATTGTTTTCAATTTTTGCGACGATATTTTAGAAATTAGCGTAAAAAATGCAGTTTTTTCAGTTTTTAATTGAAAAAAATTAACTTTATCTAAATTTTAGAAATTAGCATAAAAAACGTAATTTTTTTAGTTTTAAATTGAAAAAATCAACTTTTTCTCAATTTTAAAAATTACCGTAAAAAAAGTGTAGTTTTTTTAGTTTTAAATTGAGAAAAAGTTGATTTAGTTTTTTTTTGTTTTAAATTGAAAAAATTAACTTTATCTGAATTTTAGAAATTACTGTAAAAAAATTCCGTTTTTTAGTTTTAAATTGAAAAAATTAACTTTTTCTCAATTTTAGAGAAATTTTTTAGTTTTAAAATGAAAAAATCAACTTTTTCTCAATTTTAGAAATTACCATAAAAAATTCCGTTTTTTTTAGTTTTAAATTAAATAAATTAACTTTTTCTAAATTTTAGAAATTTCCGTAAAAAAATGTAGTTTTTTAGTTTTAAATTGAAAAAATTACCTTCAATATCCTGGTCTTGATTTTCTAATTTCGGATCCAGAAAAATATTTCCAAAAAATAAATTCCAATGAAACTGGAAATTCTCTGCCAGAGAAAAAAATATTCTCAATTCTTTAAAAGCCACAAAATTTGTTTCCTTTCTAGGACTCGATTTGGAGCACTCGCGAATGGCCATCAAATCAATGGCAAAATTCCATGCACTCGGAATGGCAGTGAAATACAAATATCCCGAGGAATTTGAAAATTTAAAAGAACGATGTAAATGTTTAAAATTAAATCCCGAGGCATTTGAGGGCATGAAAGATTCCTTCTTGGATATAATTCGTGGTGATTCAGTGATGGGCAAATATATCGATAAAATAACTCCACTTCTCGATGAGAACACTGATAATTGGACTGGTACACCCGAGGAGCCATGGGCAACAATAATTCACGCCGATTTTTGGGTTAATAATATGATGTTCCACAAGAATTCTCACAAGGAAGTTGACGATGTGAAATTTGTTGATTTTCAAAATTATCTCTTTCAAAATCCCCTCAATGAATTGATATTCTTCATTGGCGCCAGTATTCAAACTGATTTAATTCTCGATAATTTAGACGATATTCTCAATTTGTATTATGATAGTTTCATTAAAGTTATGATGAAAATGGATTGTGATACGAGTCAATTTACACGTGCAAATTTTCATGAGAGAATTAATAAAGGTGCGCACACGGAATTCAGTCATTGTGCGTTTATTTTGAAAATTTTGACTATTGACATTGAAACCGATGGCGTTGAGGCGACAAAACTCGATTCTTTGGAATTTGGCACGGCGAATAAGCGATTTTTCGATAGAATGCGACAACTGCTTTTGATTTTCATCGAACGGGACTGGATCTGAAGAGAAAATCTGTAATTAAAACTAATTTTTTTTTGAAAAAAAGAAAATTATTTTCAATACTTAGACAAAAAAAAATTACTTTAAAAAATTATTTATTATATTTATTAATAATTTTATTTTATAACAATTTCTCGAAAATAATGCAATTATATAAATAATTCAATTATTATTATCGAATAAATAAAAAATTCAATTATTATTCTTGAACAAATAAATATTTCAATTATTAGGTATTATTATTTCTGAAAGTATTATTAATAAAAGAGAAATTATTATAAAATTAAAATAGAATTTTTGAAATAAAATTTGAAGATTACAAAAATTTTCGACTCGTTTGTAATTTTTCAGAAAACTGATCAAAAGTATTTTAGAAATGAAGCGTAAAAAGTTGTTTCGACAAAAATATGAATTGTCGAAAATCATAAACTTTTAAATTACTAATTTAAAAAAAATTGACCGATTGTTGTTTTTCTCTTTGCGAATTTTAGAGAAAAAAAATAGGTATTCAAAGCAAATATTTTATACGTTTTTAAATAGCAAACGGTGGTAACAGTATTGCAGTAAATTATTAAAATTGATAATTGACATTTGATTTATTTTCAAATTGACAATCAAAAAAATTGTATCTATTAAATAAATAAAAATTTTCACATTAGAAAATAAACAAAAAATTTAAAAGAAAAATGTCAAGATAATTCTATAAAAACTGATTGCACTTAAAAATTTACTGTGATTAGATTTATCGGTTACGATAGTAAAGTAAATAAAATCTTATCAAAGAGTCTAATTTAATAAAATTGATAAAAAAAATATTTATTTGTTTTGATAAAAGAGAAAAATTTCTTTTTTAAACAATTTCTCAAGAGAGTAAATTAATTAGTATTTAGGAAACAATTATTACCTTTATTTGGAAACAAAGAAGTTAGTTTTATGTTTTCTATATTTAGAAAAAAAAGTAGGACAAAAAAAAAAGATTTGTAATTATTGTCCAATTTATTCAAAGTCATTTAAATGACATTTGTACTGTTTCTATTAAATGTCAACACAATTTTTTATTTTTAAAGAATCTTTATAAATGCGGTTCAATATTTTTCAAATGAATAAATAACTAAAATAATATTTCTCCGATAAAAGCGAATTTTAATATTTCTTTTCAAGAAAAATTTTCAGTGGATTTATTGGTAAAAATTAATAATAATTTCAATCAGTAAAAATTATTGACAATTTTTGTTAGTAAAAATTATTGCTTATTTCTATCAGTAAAAATTATAGATTATTTCTATTATAGTAAAAAATTGCTAATAATTTCGATTGGTAAAAATTATCGACAATTTTTGTTAGTAAAAGTTTCTATTTGTAAAAATAATTGATAATTTTTATTAGTAAAAATTATCGACAATTTTTATTAATAAAAATTAGTAACAATTATCGACAACTTTTATTACTAAAAATTTTTATTAGCAAAAATTACAATAATTTATATTAGTGAACATTTTATTAATATCTATTTGTAAAATTATTAATAATTTCAATACGTAAAAATTTTATCTATAACTTTTATGAAGAAAAAATATTAACAATTTATTAAAGCAAAAATAAAATATTAACAGTTTGTTAAAGAGAAACATATGCAATTTGTTGAAAAGAAATATTAGCAATTTATTAAGAAGAATTATTAATAATTAATTATTATTAGAAAAATTATTAGTAATTAACAATTTATTGAAAAAAATTAATTTCTAACCGAAGAAGAAGAAATAAAATTTATTACTAATAATTCTTCTTGAAAATTATAAATTTTCCCTATTGACAATAATTAACAATTTTTCTTCGAAAAATACTCGAAAAAGGTAATAATAAATTATGAATTATCATAAAGTTACAAAATTGAGAAATTTTTACCTATTAAATTAATTGTTTTTTAATGAAATATATTTAAGTATTATATTATATTTTTGTTATTATTAGTATTAAATTATTTATATTTTCATTCTACACGAAAAAGATTGTAATTTATTTCTAAATCTAAGATTTTGCAGAATATTGTAAATAATTGTTGAAAGAAATGCCAATAAATTGAAAATTGAATAAATTTTTTAATATATACAACTACATATATACATTTTTTTGGAAAAAAATATTCATTTAACATTTAAATTTATCACTAGAGTATAATTTATATTATACAGCGTAATTTTTTTTTTAAAAGTGTCTAAAATCTAATTTTTATTCCAATTTGAATTTAAAATTCATTTCCGAATTTTAATTCTTTTTCAAATTTTAATATTTTTCGAATTGTAATTCTTTTTAAAATTTTAAATCTTTTTCGAATTGCAATTCTTTTTCAAATTTTAATCCTTTTCGAATTGTAATTCTTTTTTGAATTTTAAAACTTTTTCGAATTGCAATTTTTTTTTGAATTTTAATTCTTTTTCGAATTCTAATCCTTTTTGAATTTTAATTCTTTTTACGAATTGTAATTTAAAAATTTCGAATTCGAAAAAAAATTGTTTTCAAAATCGAAAAATTCTTCCTATTTGTAAGAAATTATCCAAAATCTAATTATTCAAATTGTTTACAATTTTCACTATTTACAATTGTTCGTAATTTTCAATTTAAACAGTTTTCAATTTTTCCAATTGTCAACAATTGTAAATTAGAATCAAATTGTTTACAATTTGAACAATTTTAAAATTTTTGCAAATAATTTAATTTCTTTTTTGTTTTAGAGGCAAAAAAAAAATGTACGTCACCTACTTTTTTATGTTTTCTTTGTCCTCTGAACTTTGGGTACTTTTCGATTACGATTGCGATTTTTGACATTGGAAACTTCGTAGAAATTGCTACCAATTTTTTTACGTTTACCAGCCCTCTCGAGTGCTCGTCTCTGTTTACTCGTTTTCTTCGCCTCCTTAACACTCGAAACGGAAAATGCTCCACTGCTCGACGTTGTTTTCTTGTCGAAAATTTCACTGTCACTCGAATCGTTTGCCTCGTCCATTAAATCGTAAACATTCACATTCAACGTGTCCTCTTCGAACGGAATAATCTCATCGTCCGTGTCTTCGTCCATTTTCTCCGGTTTCTTCGTTTCTTTCCTATTATTTTGTTTTCCTTTTTTGTTTTTGTTTTCTGCTTCGTTTTCTTTTTCTTCTTCTTCGGTTTCTTTTTCTACTTTTTCGTTTTCTTTTTCTTCTTCTTCGGTTTCTGTTTCTTTTTCGTTTTTGTCTCCTTTTCGTTTTTTACCTTCTATTTTCGATTTTTGAATTTTTTCAACTTCTTCATCTTGATTGCCATCGTCGTCATCGTCGGAGTCTTCGCCGATATCCGAAGCGCAGGGCGTTTGAACGTAACTCTCGTCATTGACCTCCGACTCATTCAATTCCCTTCTCATGTCTTCTCGCGAAAAAGGCAAAGCGACCCGAATTTTTTTGAAGTCTTGCAAAACCTTCAGAGTCTGCTCCTTTTTCTTCTCCGCCGGCACTTCGTTTTCTTCCTCCTCCGCCTCCTTAGTTTCCGTCTCCACAATTTTCGGCAATGGTTCCTCGAATCCTTTGGGCACAACATAAAACGGCAATTTTCCCCTCTGCCAATCGTTCAACACCATTTTCGCCGCTGTCGAAATATCCGGTTCGCCCTTCTTCAACAATTTCCCCGCTCTTCGCGCGTATTTCTCCAAAAAATCCACATGATCCGTCCACTCGTCAATTTTATAAGTCTTTCGAATGTACTCCGCCTTCACACGCTCCAAAACACTGGCAATATAATCCTCGGGGCCTTGAATTAATTCCACGCGAACAACGCCCTTGAGAACTTTTTCCGTATCAGTTTCGGCCGATGGATAAACAACGCCGGGACAATCAACGAGGTAAATTCGTTTCATTAGAGTGACGTATTGCCAGACTTTCGTTTCGCCGGCAATTGGCGCGACTTTACAGACCTTCTTCGAGCGCAGTGTATTGATGATGGAACTTTTGCCAGTGTTTGGATAGCCAATGAGACCGACGCTTATTTGCTTGCGATCGACGTGTAATTTACTGAATTGACGAAGGAGATTTATCAGTGAACCCTTGCCAAAGGGATGTGTCATTGAGGCGTGAAAGGCGATTGTTGGATATTCGGAGGATAAAATTGCGACCCATCGTTGTGTCACCCAATTTGGTACGAGATCAACTTTATTGAGAACGAAAATTAAATGCTTGTGGGACTTCTCGGTTTTCATGTATTTCTCCACTGGTGGCGAACGTGTGCCCATTGGATCGCGAGCATCGAGGACCTGGAAAATATTTTTTTTTAGAGATTTATTTCTTTAATTTTAACACAGCTCTCGATTTATAACAATTCTTGAAAATTGTTTTCAATTAATTTCTATATTTAAATTGATTTAACAGAGTTTTCACAAAAATTCAATTTTGTTTTTTCCTGACTTTTTCCTGAATTCCGGACAAAATTAAGAATGAAAATAATTGAACACACTCCAAGAATTTTAACTAAAAAATTCTTGAAAATAAATAATAGTTAATTAGTAGGCAAGTAGATTTTTTAAATTTTGAACCTGAAATTATTTAAAACTTGAAGTTAAAATTAACAAACCTGTAAAACAACATCGGACGAATCAATAACTTTATAAAGTTCATTCCAAATTCGCCTACTTTGTCCAGCACCCATAACCCAATCTCTCTGAGCATCCTTAACACCAGTATCAGGACGAATTAAATCATAATCACACGTATCCTTTTTCTTTTCATAAACTTCAAATTGTTCCTCGGCTTTCTTCACCAATTCATCCATCGACGATATATTTAAATTCGGACGTTTCCTCTGCTTCTTCGGACCGAATACACTCGCATAACTTTCCGTCTCTAAAATATGAACACGCGCCTTTTCCGCCTTCTCCTGCAATAATGTCACCGGCAATTGCGATGGTTTAATAATCACCTGATAGGGATTATTTTTCACCATACCGAGTTCTTTTTGAAAATTTTGCAATGCATTTTGCGTAATGACACGTGAATTACTAAACCATCTTTGCGATGGTTCAACGCGTGACATTGTACCCGATGGTAGACGTCCTTGAAATGGTGCTGGACTTATGATTTTTCCAGTTTTATCACGTTTCGCCTTTGAATTACGATACATTTGCAGTCGCTTTATTGTACCTTTTGTTCGTACTTTTGCAACACCTTTAAGGCCCTCCGTCGAACGTTCTGGATTCATACTGTGTCCAGAACGATTGAAACCCTCCTTTCGAGGGGGTTTGTGTCCTGAATGTGATTTCGCCATTTTTCCTGCTGTTGAAAGAAAAGGGAAAAAAATTATTAAAAATGTAAATTAATTTTATTGGCTAAATTCAGCCATTAGGAAAAAGTATTTATTAGTTTACCTAGAATTTAGTAACGATTGCTTCTAAACATTTTAATATAATTTTAATTAAATTCATCCAAAAAATTTGCAAGAATTCAATAATTTTTATTAATAATAAATTTTATATGAAAATAATAACAAAATAATAATTTATAATAAGAATAATAAGAATTAAATTATTTTTTACACAATTTTATTTGAATTTCTAAAAAGAATTTAATTATTTGTAAAAATTTCCATAAAATTCAATTTCATAAAGAATTTAAAATTCTCTAAAAACAATTCAATTATTATCGAAAATTCTAATAAAAACGATTATTAATGTAGATTTATGATAAAGTATTTAAATTTATTATATTTATTCAATAATTATTTAATTATAATTATAAAATATGAATAATGTAAAATACAATTGTAAAAATTATATCACATAATGAAATTTTTAGGTTATGTTTTGAAAAACGTTTCTTTTCTATATTTTAGAAATTTAAAACAGTTCAGAAATTGCCACGTAATAAATTTTTACGATTTACAATGAAAATATCCAAATACTTTGTTTTAATAAAGGAATTATTGGTTACATTAGGGAGTAACAGTAAAAATAAGGAAAAAAATAGACAGTAAATTTACTCACCTTTTTAAAGTACTTGATTACAGACTAAATATAATACAACAATAAATAATATTTGCTTCACTAAATAATATTTCTTTCACTAAATAATAATATTTCCTTCACTAAAATTATCCGTTCATTCGCACAGTAAAATTGGTTACTCGCCACTAGTTCGCATGAAAACAACAGAAAACACGTGGGATTGTTAAAACCGGAAACCGCCATTACAGACATTCTCGTGTTAAAACTTGACTTCAGTAGTCATCAACAACGCGCATGTTTCTTTTTCGAACGTTTCATTGGTCAAACCAACGCGCGCTTATTTGAAAAAAATTTATTCTTCGAATTGAAATCGAGAAGTTTTCCTTTTGTATAATCACTCGGTAATTATTTATCATAATTACTTTTCACTTAGAGTCTTTTCTATTTTCTACTAAATAGTACTATAATTATATATTATACTTAATAATAGAATTATATGATAATTATACAATTCTATATTCATTTTTTCTGGCAAATAAAAAAATTCCTTTACTGACTTTCAAATAAGCGCGCGTAATTCAAAAATATGAAGTAAAAATAATTGAACAAATATGTGTCAAAGACCATAATAATTAATAATTAATAATAGTATTTAATAGTAATTAAATAATAGTAATAATAATATTTATTACAAAATTATATAAACGTTAACAGTAGATATTTGAAAAAAGTGTAAATCTCACGAATTTTGCATTTTAAAGAAAAAAAAGCTTTTTTAACATTTTGATTAAAAAAAAAGAATTTAAAAAATGGGTTGGCAAGACTGAAACTGAAATTAAATTTTCAAAAAAATAAGAAAAATAGAGGGAAACCCCCTAATAAGAAAAAAATGAACGAAAATTAAGGAAAATTAAGAAAAATACGAATAATAAGGAAATGATTCGGTTAAATAATTTTATATCAATTATTTATTTTTTTCCATACAAATTATAAACATGTTTTTCAAATACTGTACATATACTGAGTTCTATTATATTTTTAAACCTCTAATTTAATGATATATCATTTTTCATTTATTTCCATTTACTCGTTTAAAATCATCATCAACTACTTTGATCCTCATTTTTTTCGTTTCATTTATGATAACATAATATACAGGTAAGGTTTCTCGTTTCTTTTTTTCTTTTCGCAAACTCGACCTCTATGTATTTCATTTTCTTTTCTTTTAATCAAATTTTTTCTTTTTCGTCAATTCTGATCAAGCTCAATTTTTTTTTTTTTGATATGACAGTTCATGGATATGGACAAATAGAAAAATCTTAAAATCATCAGTTTAAAAAAAAAACAATCTATACACAAAGTCACTATAAAAAAAGAAAAGAAATTTTTCTTCTCTCGAGAAAATATATCTTTTTTTTTAATGAAAAACGAAAAAAAAAATTATACAGATTAGGGACTGAAACTTTCTACGCAGTCAACTTTTTAAGGTTTTTTTTTCAAAAACATTTTTTTTTACATTTAAAATATTTTAATATTTATATTTCTTTTTTTCATATCACAAAATTCTATAATGTCCCTAATCATCACATTTTCGCGATTTATTAAAATTAATAATTTCAGTCGCTAGTCTATATATTTAAAATATATAATAATCATTTAATTATATTCCGGAAATATTTTGTGGACTTTGGAGAAAAAATTGAAATTTATAATTATTTTTAATTATTCCAGAAAATAATTTCTTTAATTTAAATTAATAGTAGAATTATAAAAATTGAAATTCGTTTTCGAATTTTTTCTCCAAACAAAAATTGATCTCTGTCGAAAATATATAAAAAAAAACGTAAATATAAAAAAAATAATACAAAAAAAGACGGAACAAAATTTCGTCGAATATAAAATTCAAGAAACGTGTAAATTATATATATATACAAATATATATATATATAAAATCGTGGATTGTGTTACAATGCGAGCCATTTTTTTTATTGCGTATCTCTCCTTGGAAACCAAAAAAAAAAAAAAATTGACAAACCTATGCCCATTTCCTATTTTTTTTTTGCTTATTCCATTTTTTTTTGTTTTGTCGATTCTCGATATTATCATCAATATAGAGTGAGAGAGTACTATTTTTCTATCTTCACAGAAGACATAGATAAATATATATTTTCATAATCTTTTTTTTCCTTATAAATGTAATTCGCTTATTTTAAAATCATTACTCGTTTTTTTTTCTTTTTTTTTCCTCATTTAAATGTTATAATAATAATAATATTAATGTCGGTGCTCATATATATATATTTTTTTTCATTTTTTTTCTGTTCTTTCCTAATTTCTTTTTTTTTTCTTATTTATACTTTCGCAACATGAAGAACGTATACAAAATATAAAGTGAAAAGTGAATTTTGTTCGAACGTACATTTTTTTTTCATTTTTTCAATGGCTATTCTTCTTTGAATGCGCGCATTTTGGTGTTTACTCGTGTAATTGTGTGAGTGTGTGTATATTATATACGAACAAAAAAAAGTAAAAATTAAAAAAAAATTCCAGGAGCTGCTATTTATATATATATATATTTTTTTTTTTTTCGCCTGGAAAATCGTTACCGATATCTTAAGTAACTCTTATTATTAGAGATCATTCTGAGTAATCGATTCCTGCATTTTAATTATCTTTTGATTAAAAAATTTCCTTTTCTTTTTAATTAAAAACTGAGAATGTTGAATTTTTCGAGAATTTTTATTTTGTATTTTGTATTTTTTATTTTTTATTACCAGAAAGATAATTTTGTTTTCAATACAATGAAAATAATTTTTTGTAATTTTTCTTCCAAAAAATGTGAAGAAAAAAACGAAAAGAGGAAAAAATCAATCATAGTTTTTTCACAAATTTTCTATTTACAAATTCTTGCAGTTTTTTTTATCTATAAAAAGCGGTTGATATTTATTTATACAGTTTTTGATGAGTATTGTACATTTTATTAGAAAAAAAACAGAAAAAAACAAACAAGAAAAAAGAATTAAAAATACAAGAAAAATTGCAAAAAAAGAACAAGAAATTTAAAATTACAAGAAAAAAGCAAAAAAAATATTAAATAAAATTGTTTTTTTATAATAAGTTGATATTAGTTTATTATAAATTATGTAATATTGTATCATTTGTTTATTATTACTATTTTTTATAATTATTATCATATAAATATTTATCATTAGTTTTATAATTTATAATATTTATAATATTTATTCATTAAAAAAACAAATTTTCAAATTATATTTGAATTAATTTTCAATTAATACTCAACTTTCATATTTTGAAAATAATAATTTTAAATTCGTTCCAAAAAATTATTTTCTCTTTTTAATTATTATTGAAAATTAAAAGAAAAAATAGTAAAATTCCGTTTTTTCTTTTAATTAATTTTTCCCTACAATTTCTTTACGATATAATTTCAGAATTTACAATTTATAATTAATTGTCGGATTTTTTTTATCGAAAAATTCAACATTCGGAAAAAATGTTTCTTATTTGTCAATCGAAAGATAACAAGAGAAAAATGCGAGGCGGTTCCTTAGTATAAAGTAGCATTTCATTGAACTTTGCTTTGGAAATTTACTTTTTTTTTTTAAAAAAAGGAGAAATTTTCTAAATAAATACTAAAATTGATTTTTTACAACTTTTCAAGTTAATTACAAAAAAAATATTTTATTCTTTTTTCTCCCCTAGTTCAGTGTTATTTATCATCACAAAATGTAGAATTTATTCTGAAAATTGAAAACAAAGGGGAAAAAATTAAAAAAAAGAAGAAATGAAAAATAGAAAAAGAAATAAAAATGGAAAAAAGGGAAGTTGAACCAAAAGATGTAAATAAAGAAATAGAAGCAAACTAAAAATAGAAAGAAAAGAAACGAAAATAAAAAATAGAAACAAAATAAAAAAATAGAAAATAGAACAAAAATAAATAACAAATGAAAATAGAAAATTAAATAAATAAAAAGCGAAATTAAAATAAAAATGGAAAAAAATAGAAAAATAAATAAACAGAGAAATAAAATGAAAATGGAAAAAAATAGAAGAAAAGGTAACAAAAAATCCCAAAAGAAGAAATGAAAGAAGAGAAAAGAAATTAAAAAGTAAATTTCCACCAAGTTCGCAGATAAATAAAAAATAATTCACCGAATTATTTTCCCGGAGCGACTACAATTATATAAAATACACAAGATAACAAACAAACTAAGAAGTACAGAAGCTGCCAATTTTTTCTAATCCACTTTTTTTTTACAAAAAAAAAATTCTACAAATAATTTTCACAATAATTTTCCCAATCCCAAATCGATTGGTTTCGAAAAAAACTAATTTTTCTTCCTTTCTTTCTCCCCCTTTTGAAGAAAAAAAAATTGCAACAAAAAAATTACCACTAATAATATTAATAATAATAATAAAAAAAAACAAACAAAACGGGGAAAATATTTCTGACTAAAAATAGAGATCAAAAAAACATTGCCACTTGTTTCATATTATAAGAGTTAATTAAAGTAACAAATGTACGGTAAATTATTACTTTTTAACGTAATTTGTATACATAATCCTTAAGAAATAAAAACGCGTTACGACGTCTTTCCGAGTGTTCTTCTTTTTTTCTTTTATACTCTCGGTTATAATAGGCAAGTTTCTGTTTTTTTTTGTTTCGAAAACAGACAGAACGGATCAGAATGAGCAAAAATAAAAATATTCCGTTTTTCTATTTCCCGAACGCTTCTTTGAAAAAAAAACTCTTCGAACGAAACGTGAGAGGCGTGGAAAAAAATCACCAAAGGCTTGCATTAAGTACATTAACTTGAACCTGAATATTTTCCTTTTTAGAAAAGAATTTTAAAAAAGGGATAAAAAAATCTACAAGGGCTTTTTTTTAAAGAACTTTAAAGAGTTTGACAAAAAAAATTTTAAAGTATACTTTGAGGGAAATTTAAAAGAATGAATTTCCTTGAAAAAAAAATGCTCTTTCGAAATTGTTTTTCTTTGAAAAAATATTTCATTAAAAAAAAAGTTGTTAATATTTTAAATATACTTTAAAAAATATTTTTTGCAACACTAACCTGTAAAATTGGATTTTACACACAGAAAACTGTGTGTAAAGTACTTCTTTTTATAGCGGTGTGTAAAGTTTTACTTTACACACCGCTAGCAGTGTGTAAAGTAAATTCCAGTGTGTAAAGTGATTTTTAGTGCGTAAAATGGTTACTTAACGTATTCTTGTGACTGTTTGATGAGAAACAATGAAGTTAAGCTTTTAAACAACAATTTGCAATCACATTTTTTTATTTTAGTTTCTAGAAAACTTCATTTAACAGTGCCCCCACTACACCTAAACTTACAGTAATATTGGCAATATTGCTGCAAGATTAGTTGTTGTAGTGTTGCAAAAAATTTCGTATGGCACTCGTGCGTAAATCAGATTATACTTGTGTGACTTGCAGCACTCGCCTTCGGCTCGAGCTGCAAACGTCACACTCGTATAATCAACGATTTTACGCACTTGTATCATAAATAACTATTAATTTGACTGATTGTTCGAAAAGTTTGTTCGCTAATTTAATATTTGGTAATTAATTAGAATAGAATTTTAGAATAATTAGTAATTAATTATAATATTAAAATATATATTTTTTAAATTTTCTTATAAATTTAAGTAAATTCTTTACAAAAATTTTTCAAGCAAATAAAAATTATTTGAAAATAATTTTTCTTCTTTTTCCAGAAATTTTCGAATTAAAAAAATTCCAAAAGAAAAAGAAAATTAATTTTTCTTCTTTTTTGAGAATTTTTCGAATTCAAAAAAAAATTCCAAAAGAGCATTTTTTCAAAGAATTGCGACTAAAACCAAAAACCAGAAAAAATAAAAGTTTCTCCGAGTTTTTTAGGCGTTCGTACACAAAAATGTTAAAATCGTAATAAAAAAAAATGATTGGCTAATAATAATAATAGGAAAAATTAAAAACCAACTCTGTACGCTATGCAAGAAAAAATGAAAAAAAAAATAAAAAGAATCATTACAAGGAATATACGAAAAAAAAGAAAGAAAAAGACCTTAGAGAGTAAAAAATAAGGACGATTATAATTACAAAAACACTTTGTCCCTAAAACTACTATTTTTGTTTTCTGTATTATGTTTGTGTTTGTGTTCATCTGTCTGTCAAAAATCAGGATTTTAAAAGAAAGGGAAACGCGAAAAATTCTCTCAATCGTTCCTCATTTCAAGTTTTCAAGTTATTTAATAAAAAAGAAAAAGAATTTATAAAAAATTACTTAAAAAGAAACAAAAAGAATTTATAAAAATTACTTAAAAGAAACAAAAAGAATTTATAAAAAATTACTTAAAAAAAGAAAAACAATTTATAAAAAATTACTTAAAAAAAAAGAATTTATAAAAAATTACTGTAAAAAAGAAAAAGAATTTTAAATAAAAAATAAAAAATTATGTACTTTAAAAAAAAGATAAAGATAAATTAAAAAAACAAAACAAAACCATTCGTGCAGAGAAACGATAAAATTTTTTACTTTTTTTAAAAAATAGGGGGCGGGGGAGAGGGGAAGATAAAAAATAAGTGAAAAATATGAAATAAAAATTCGAGACTCGCGAATGTGCATGGCATCCCTATAGTTTTCGTTTCTCTAAAAATTAGATCACTTAGATAGCTTTATACACGATCATTTTTTTTTATAACAATGTAAATCGTAATCATTGCGTTAATATTTAATATATTTATATTTATATATATATATATATACTCTTATATCGTAATATATGTATATCTGTGTGTTGTTGTCTTGTCTGATCTATCGTCTAGTTTATCAATAAAACTATAATACTAGAGTTATGTCAATACCGTGCCACACCGAATTCACAGTTTCTTCTTTTGGCAATTTTTCTTTTTTTTTTATTTATTATTGTATAATAACAATTAATTATTATCAATTTAATTCAATTTTGTAATAATTAGTTATTTATCAATTTGATTCAATTAATTGTATAATGACTAATTATTATCAATTCAATTTTATTAATTATAGAATAATTAATTTTATTAATAAATTTTTTATTAATTCTCTTTTATTACTACGAGAAAAAAAGGAATTTTTTATTGTCGACGAGCTTCTTTTCTTTTTGGTAAATTAATGGGAATAATTTAATTAATAATTTAATTTTTAAATAATTTAATTTTTTTTTTTAAAATTGAAATTTAGTTTAAAAAATTGAAATTTACATCAAACAATTGAAATTTATTGTCAAAATTGAAATTTATTTCAATTAGATTTGAAATATTGTTTAAAAAATTGAAATATTGTTAAAAAATTGTAATATTGTTAAAAAAATTGAAATATTGTTAAAAAATTGAAATTCAGTTTAAAAAAAATGAAATTTACAACAAACAATTGAAATTTATTTTTCGAATTTGAAATTTAATTCAATTTAAATTGAAAATAATAATGACTAAAAAATTGAAATTTAGTTTAAAAAATTGAAATATTGTTAAAAAAAAGTCGAAATATGGTTAAAAGAATTGAAATTTAGTTTAAAAAATTGAAATTTACATCAAATAATTAAAATTTATTTTCAAATTTGAAATTAAAATTAAATTGAAATTTAATTCAATTGAAATGGAAATATTGTTAAAATAATTTTAATTTAGTTTAAAAAATTGAAATTGACATCAAACAATTGAAATTTATTCTCAAAATTGCAATTGATTTCAATTGGAATTGAAATATATTGTTAAAAAAATTGAAATATTCTTAAAAAATTGAAATTTACAACAAACAATTGAAACTTATTTTCAAATTTGAAGTTTAATTTAGTTGGAATTGAAATATGATTTAAAAAAATGAAATATTGTTAAAACAATTGAAATTTAGTTTAAAAAATCGAAATTTACATAAAACAATTGAAATTTATTTTTCCAATTTGAAATTTAACTCAATTAAAATTGAAATATTCTTTAAAAAATTGAAATGAAAATAGAAAATAATTAGAAGAATTATTAAAATTGGTAAAAATTTCAAAATTCGTTTTCAAAAAAATCATTGCTTAAAACTCGAGTATTATTTTTTCCCCAAAATTCTAAAAAGGCTAAAAAATTCTAAAAATAGAATAAAATAAGAAAATAGTAAAAAAAGGGAAATAATATTTTTTTTACTAATCGAGATCGTAATAAAATTGTTCTTACCATTATTGATGGTTTTTTTTTCTTTTGATTTTCAAAAAATTTCGAAGTAAACTTGTTTCTCGGTTTGACTACTCGTATTTTCTTGTGTCTGTGTACACGTGCATCCTGTTCTTTTTTTGTTTGTTCATTAAATGACGTTATCAACACTTTTGAAAAATAATCCGAAAAATTTCTCTTCACACTTTTCTTCTTTTTTTTTTAATTGCACATTTTGTTTTTTAGTCAATAAAAATTTTCCGAAACTCCATATTATTTTCTGCAGAAAAAAAAATTTTAGAACTTTAAATTTTGAGTCGATTCAAATTTTTCCAAAACACTCGATTTCTTTCACTGATTATTTTCTTGAATATTTTTGACTGAAAAAATGTATTTCGATTTTTCAATAAAGAAAAGATTACCTAAAACAATTTATTTTATTATTTGTCAATACCTTCGTTCTTTTAGCAAATATTCTATTTGATTTATTTAATTTAAATAAATTCACTTTAATAGAAAATTTTATATTATATAAATATAAAAAAATTATAAATTATAAATTTTAATATATTTTTGTTTTTTGAAAAATGTTTTCAAAGAATCGAAAACTTGCACTTTGTATTTAGGGCGAATTTTCGAAGAACTATTTATGTAACTAAAGAGTTACATAAAAAAAAGAATGTAGAAAAAAAAATATAAAAGTAAAAAAAAATTGCATTCGAAGAATATTGAAAAGAAAGAAAATCCAGTGTTTTTGGAAATGAAAAATCGTTTCCTTTCTAGTTTTAAAAATTGCACTGTTTTCGCAAAATAGAATTTTCTCTAAATTCCGAATTTAGATTTAATTTTTTTTTCAATTTTAAAAAGAAAAATAAAGGTGCACGGTCACCGATTTTTTTTTCTGTGATGGAGAGAGAGAGTATAGGGAGGGATTTCTGTTTCTTTTTTCTTCTTGTTCTTCTTCTAAAAATCGCCATGGGAAAACACTCAGAGAACAACGAGTATGCAAAAAAGCAAAGCTCGTGCGTCAATCGACGTGTTAATCGCACGTTTATATTCTTGTTCATGGCGAGCTCTTGGAGTCGCTATTAAAATTGTGTGTTTTGTTTGTGTATTTTTTTATATATATATATAAATTGTGGATGTGTTTGAATGCTTGTTATATGAAATGATTTTTTTGTTTGTTTGTTTTTGTTTTTTTTGTGGTGGTAGGCACTGATGGGGGTGGATGGCTGCATGACGAGCATATTAAACAGGCTAGTCTTTGACTAGTCTGTATATGTGATGCTGAGCACCGTGTTCGGACGTCGAGACTTCGAAGACGTACGCTGTGCAGAGTAACGTTTCTTGCGTGTCTCTGTTTGTCACAACCTGCAAAAGAAAAATATTTTCATTGTTTATTTTTTCATATTTATTTTATTTTTATTTTATAATTATTCCATAATTATTTTATATTTTGTTCTACTTTCAAAATTTATTGCAATTTTTGCTTTATTCTTTATCAGAGTTTAAAATTTTGTTTTTAATTTTGTTCTTCCCTGACTTTTCCCTGATTTCCAAAAACAAAAGACTACTGTTTACTTTCTTTTTTAATTTTTTTTTTGTGTAAAAAATAGAGAAAAGAAAAGAAAAATTAGAAATAAAAATGTAAAAAAGAAATAAATAAAAAATAGGAAATTTTGTTTCTTTTTTGAAATGTGAAAAAAATTGACAGAAGGAAAAGAAAATTTCGAACCTGGAGGATGGTGAAGTTCTCAAGAACGCTGTTCATCATGTATTTTTCAGGTAGGTGCTTCAGTTTGTGAATAAAGTTGATCATATACTCGCACATGGGAGAGCGGGTGATGCGATAAACGAACCTTCCATTCTCAAACCTGGCGTACTCGGTTTCCACCTTCTCTACCACTTGCTTGCCAAACGAGCAAACCTTCGTCGAACACGTTATCGTCATGTTCTCGTTGCTCTCGTATCTAGAAAGAAAAAAAAACGGAAATTATTATCTATTTTCTTTTTCACTCAGAGAAAAAGTATAATAACTTTAAAGTAAATTAATTGAACTTTATTTTTTCTTTCTTCTTAATTCTCAAAATTGTTGTCCTCTTTTTATTTAAAAATTTTGACTAAAAAACAAGGAATTTTGTAATTTAGTTCCAAAATGAATAAAATAATGAAAAAGTAATTTTTCTTTCGTGTTTATCATTTTAAAAATAACAGACTTTGCAATCGATAATTAATTTTAAAAAAGTAGTTTTCAAACTAAAAAAAGTAGGTAGTAAAAAAAATATCTATCGAAAAATTAAACTTGAAGACCGAAAAAACTCGTTTTAGACAAAAAAAAAATTTTTTAGACACAAAACTGCCAAAAATTCCGATCTATATTTTATTTTCCTGACTTTTTCCCAATTTTCATGAGAAATATATTTACTTCTTTCTTATCCTGCTAATAAATTTAAATTTCTTCAACGAATTTTATAACTCATGAAAGAATTTAAATATATTTATAATAATAATTTAATTCTTGCGAAGAATTTTATAAAAATTTTTAAATAATTCTTTTCTTTCGACTAATTTTAAGCAAATTCTCATTTAAATAATTTGAATTCTTGAGAAATGTTTATTATTCATGAAATAAATTGAATTCTTACGAAGATTTTCACAAAATTTTTTTTAAATAATTGAATTCTTCCATAGAATTTAAAAAAAATTTTATTAAATAATTGATTTTTTCGAGAAATTGAAATTAAATTTGTAAGAATAACTACTTTTTTGAGCAATAATTCCTGTAAAATGGTATTAAAAATAATTAAAATCCTGCGATGAATTTTATTATTTATGAAAATAATTGAATAAAATAAATTGAATAAAAATAATTGATAAAAAATTTTATTAAAATTATTTTAAAATAATTGAATTCTTTTGGAAAACTTCATTAAAATAAAAGATTTTGAAAATCATTGAATTGAGGAAAATTTTTGAAAATAATTGAATTTTTGCCAAGAATTTTAATCTAAAATTTTTGAAAATAATTGAATTCTAGCCAAGAATTTTTGTTATTTATTAAAATAATTGACATTTTCACGAGAATTTAAAAAAAATTCTTGAACATAATTGAATTTCTGCGTAGAATTAAATTAAAAAATTCTGAAAATAATTCAATTCTTTAATGGAATTTAAAATTAGTTTGAAACTAATTGAATTCTTTATAAAGAATTTTATGAAAAAAAAATTGAATTCTATCGGTGTTTTATAATAAAAATTTTTAAAATAATTGAATCATATCAAGAAATTTTATTAAACTTGTATTGAAAATAATTCAATTTCACAGAAGAATTTTGTGTTTTATAAAAATAATTGAATTCTTACAACGAATTTTATTGAAATTATTAAAAATAATTGAATTCTTGCAACGAATTTTATTGAAATTATTAAAAATAATTGAATTCCTGGACTATTATTTTATTATTTATGAAAATAATTCAATTTTTATATATTTTTGGGGAAAATTTTTAATAATAATTACATTTTTCGAGGAATTTAATTAAAATTGTTTTAAAAATAATTGAAATTCTGCGATGATTTTCATTATTTATAAAAATAATTGAATTTTGCAAAGGATTTTATTAAATTGCCTCAAAATAATTGAATTTTCGGGAATAATTTTATTTATCATTTAATAATTGAATTCTCGAGAAAAATATTATTAAAATCTAAAAGAATAATTGAATTTTTTCAAAAAAATTTTTATTAAAATTGTATTTAAAATAATTGATTTCTTTCGAAGAATTTTATTAAAATATTTAAAAATAATTGAATTGTTGTGGAAAATTTTGTTACTTTTGAAAATAATTGAATTTTTTATCAGAGTTTTAGAAACATTGTTTTAAATAATTTATTTTTCTTTTAAATAATAATAAATATTATGAAAATTTTATTTTAAATAATTGAATTCATGTAGAAAACTTTATTTATGAAAATCATTTAATTTTTCAATTAATGGATTTAAAATAGTATTAAAAATAATTGAATTTCCATGAAAAATGTTATTATTAGTGAAAGTAATTGAATTATTGTGAAGAATTGTATAAAAATTTGGTTAAATATGTTTTTTTTCGAAAATGCTATTCTAAATTAATTGAATTCCTGTAGAAATTTTATTATTTTTGAAAATAATTGAATTTTGGAAGAATTTTATGAAAATACTAGAAAATAATGGAATTTCGAATATTTTTCGAAAATAATTGAATCGTATTAAAGAATTTGATTATAATTTTTGAGAATAGTAGATGAAGTGCGAAGCTTGAAATAATTTCTTTTCAGAAATTATTAATTATTCGTTAATTTATTGGTATTTATTTATTACGCTAAATTTGTATTATTTTTGTTTTTTCTGGCACGAAAAGTAAATTTCTTCCTTGCGGTGATAATTTCTTGCGAATTTTCGCAATTTTGGTTTAATTTTCCATTTTATTGATTTATTTTTTTTTTGCGTGGAGGTGAATAATTGTGGAAAATTATAAGAGAGAGTTTTCTTACTGGCTCGTCACTCCATAGAAAGCTCCCGCTTCGTCCTGAATGTTGGTGTTGAGATCCGCCCAGAACTTGACGAGGAAGAAAGCCGCCTGAGGTCCTTTGTCATACAATTCCTTGAGGCCGCCTTTCTTCTCCGGGAACTTGTCGTATATCTGCCTCACGTCCACAGCTTCCAGGAGAGGATCCGCGTACGTCGCCGAACCCCCTATGTGGACGAACAGGTGCTTATGGTACTGAAAATTAAAATCATTAATTATTATTAATATTAATTACATTTATTAGCTCTCAATTCATTAAATTTATTAATTTTTTATAATTATTTATTTTTTTATTTAAAAATTCTTTTTTTACTTAAAAATTATTTTTCTTTCTTTAAAAATGATTCTTTTTATTTAAAAATTATTTTTTAAATTTAATTTCTTTATTTTTCGATTGAAAAATAAATGTACCATGTCTTGATCTCTGGGCTGTTCCATGAAGGCCGAAAATTCGACGAGTCTTAATTTGTGAGTAGCAATGGCGCGTCCCTCCCACGGTGGTGGTGGTTGTGCTTGCACCATGTCGCCGCCTGTGACCGCCGTCGCTGGTTTCCCAGTGTACGCCGGTTGCGGAAATGGTTTGACATCTTGGGACGTTCCTGGCTGCAAACCCGGTTGCCAAAATTGCTGAAAATTCCCAAACCAAAATTTTATTAATCAAATCACATTTTATATTAATAATTACATAAATAATATTTACAAAAATTCAAAATACACAAAAATACGTATACAAAATATTTATTCACAATCACAAATTTCCAATGAAAAATATGAATAAAATTATTTATGATTATTTAGTGTAAAATAATTTTTATTTTTTATTTTATTTATTTTTTATTTATAAAATTAAATTAATAATTTATTTCAAGAAAATAAAAAAAAAATAACGTAAAAGTAAAAAGTTGAGTACAACAAAAATTTATAAACAATACTAAATTAAAAATATTAATAAAAATTTCACAAAAAATCAAGAAATAAATAATTTTTAATCAGCGATTAATTTTGTAACACAAAATATGTTTTTCCTAATTTTTAATTAAAAAAAAATGAAAAGTGAACTTTTTTTTAATGAAAAGCGACGAACACAATTATATTAAAATGAGAGAATGAAAAAAAAACACAACGAAAAATAAGAATACATAAAAGAAATAAAATATTATATTTGTATAAAAAGAAAAAAATGAAGCATTAAAATATAAAATTGCAAAAACAACATAAACATATAAAATGCAATAAATTTAATTGCAAAATAAATACAATCGGCAGTTAAAATGAACAAAAAATATGCGGCGCAAAAAAAAAACGAAATGAATAAAGACAAACAAAAATTGTCAATTTATTATTATATAAAATAAACTGAAAATATTCACAAACGAAAAATAAAAAAAATTTGCAATTACACATGTAAATTAATATTTATTTTATATTTAAATATAATATTATTATTAAATATATAAAAGAGCGACGGACAATTCAACAATACACAACAAGAGAGCCCCCCAGGGGCTTATAATATTTATAGCAAAAATAGCGGGAATTAAAGACTTTCAGGGAAAATTATTAATGTTTTTTCATATTTTATTACTGTTTTTTTTATTGAAAAAAAATAAATAGATGAGCTTGAAAAAGAGAACATCGAGAAAAAAAATGAATTTCCATAAAGGAATTTAACGTTATTGTCAGTATAATAAATTATTGTAAATAAATAAATTTAATTTACTTTCAGGTTTGATAAATTTATTTTTTATTATTAGGTAGTAATAGTAATAATTATTATTATTAATAAATATTTTTTTTTCAACAATTTTTTATTTAACAGTATAGATAAGAAATTATTATAAAAAAAGAGACAGATGACAAAGGACGAGACAATTTCTTTTTTTTGAAACTGCGAGAGAATTTTTTTAAAAATATTTTCCAGGACAAAATTGCGAATTTTTTCGTTCAATAAAATATTAAAAATAAAAATTTCTCTCGCACAATAATAATAGAAGAATTTTTTTGTTAATCGCGCTAAGCCAGAGTTAGAAGAGTTAGTATTTTGAAAAAAGCCAAACCGACATTTTTTGTAGTAAAACAGTAGCTGATATTTTTCCTCTTCTCTCTAAGATAATGAGACGACTTTCAATAATTTTGTAACGAAGTAAGAAAAAACAAAAAAACAAAATAAAGAAAAAAAAAAATAAAAAAATAAAAAAAAAACAAAAAAAAAGAAAATTATCAATAAAAATAGTAAAAAGAAATTGTAAATAGCAACAATTAAAAATAGTAAGGAATAATAATGCAAAATAATAAAAAAATTAAAAATTAATAATAATAAAAATTTAATAAATAATGAAAAAAACTTTAAACACCAACTCTAATTAATAGAATTAATTAAAATATATTATACAGTTAAACTCGATTTTTTAAAGTTTTATTACAGTAAACATTTCTTTAAAAAATTGTTTAATCATTTTTTAATAATTTAATTTTGTAATATTTTTACAATATTCTGGAACTAAGTGAAAATAATAAATTCTTGTTAGACATTTTTGAATACAAAACAATTTTTTAAATAGAGTTGCATTCCAACAGGTTCGACTGTATTGAATTAATAAAATAATAAAAAATTTTAAAGCTAATTATTAGAAAATTTTTTCATTAACTTGTAATTTAAAAAGAATTGATTTTCAAATAAAATAATAATCATAATAAATAAATAATATTAATTAAAAATTAGTTTTTCAAAATAAAAATAAAGAAAAGGTAAATAATTAAGAAACTAATTATTTTCGGGTAACATCTCATTGTCCTAGGCGTAATGAAGACCTTTTTTTAAAGTAAACCCTTTTTTAAAATTTAAAAAATAATTTTTTTAAATTAAAAAAAAATTTTTAAATTAAAAAAAAAATTTTTTTTAGAGAAAAAAGGTCTTATTTTTGAAGGGGTTTTTTTTTGCTTGTTTTCGTCAATTTTTTGGGACTTACCGCTCCGGGATAGGAGACGGGAGTGGAAGCGTGAAGGGCAAGGGGCCCCACAAGGGCGGGGGGCATCTTGTTGTGTATCGCACTGCCTGCCGATACTATCTGGGCACTCGACATGTTTGACATTGTCTGCAACGCCTTCTCCTTCGCGCTATGATCCTAATAAATTTTCACCAAATTACCCAATTTGTTTCATTTTCTAATTCCTTAAAAAAAATTACTTTTCTTTTTATTATTATTTTAATTTCATCAAAATAATCCGCATTTTTATTTCTTTTAGACAATTTAAATTTTTATTTCATGAAAATATTCGATTTTTTTTGGGTGAATTATTTAGACTCGAAATCGAAAAAGGTAGAGAAAAAAAATAAAGAAAGAAGTTAAGAAAAAGAGTAAAAAAATACGTAAAATAGAAAAATAATGAAAGACAGTATAAAAATGGTACAAAAGTGGGAAAAATTAAAAAAAATAAGTGAAGTAAATAAAATAAAAAAGTAAACAAAACGAAAAAATAAACAATAATAAATTACATGAAGAAGAGGAAGTATAATTATAAACATCAAAATAAAATTAAGTGTACGTAAAAAAAAATTTTCTCGCGGGAAGAATCGAACCCCAACCGGAAAATCAGCACACAATGCATTTTACCACGCGGCCATCGACACATTAGAAAATTTTTTTCAAGTAACGAACGAAAATTGCGATTTTCAAGGCGAAAAACGAGAGAAAATAAAAAAAAATCTTGTGACTATTAAAAAAAACCACTGCATTTACATTTTCAAAGCGAAATTACATGAAAAGTGAATATAATTTCAAATGGAATATGAATTTCGATGAAAATTTTTCCGAATAAAATAATTCTGAATCGTGAAGATCTTGGGAGTGAAAAAAAGAGACAGAGGGAGAGAGAGAGAGGATATGAAATAGAGGAAAGAAAAATCAAGAAATCCACGATATCCCACAGAGGATTAAGTCGACTCTGTCCTAAAGCCTTGAGATTTAATGGACATTTTCTCTTTTCCAAGGAAGAGTTAAATCAAATTTTAAATCACTCGGAATCTCTTTCGACAAGCTTGATAAATCTCCTTTGAGGGACAGAAAAAGAGTAGAGGGGGGTTAAAAAAAAAAAACTTTTCAAAAAAAATTACAAGTTGTTTTCTGCAAAAAAAGGGAATCAAAAAAATTTTTTTTTTACGAAAAAAAGTGGATTAAAACATGTCTTTTTTGGACAAAAAAAAAGGTGAATCGAAAAATGTCCTTTTTGGACAGAAAATAGTGAATCGAAAAATATATTCTTTTGCAAAAAAAGTGAATCCAAAAACTGTCTTTTTTTGCTGAAAAATAAAAAATGAATTCAAAAATAAATAAGAATAAATAAAAAAGGAAAATTTCCCTTACTTTCATGTTGAATTTCGAAAAAATAGAAAATTTTAGATTTTTCCGTGTTATTTTTATTTTATTTTTTTTATTTCGTTGTCGCAGCTATGGTTGAGCGATCTTCGTAAATGACTTTTTATTCGATAAAATAGAGATGAACGAGTTCGCGAGAGCAGTCGTTCGAACTGTTTGATTTACGAGAGGCGTTACGTTTTTGAAATAGGATTGCGATATCAAGCTTCGCGAGAGGGTAGCTACAAAAAAAATAGAACTTGGATAAATGCTTTTATACAAAAAAAAAGAAAAAAGTATAGAAGAAGCCACCTGACGAAAGATAAATAGAAATCTAAAACTGATATCGATATTCGATTTCATTGATGTGGGATAATTTTGAACGAAAAGAGAGAAAGGAGGAAGAGCTGAAAATTTAAACCGCGATGTATATTTTCCTTTTTTTTCAAGAAAAAGAAAAGTTAGAGAAAATTTTTAATTTCCGTTGTGAATACCCCTGAATTTTGTTTTTCCGGTGTGAATTCCCCTTAATTTTGTTTTTCCGGTGTAAATATTCCTCTGAATTTTGTTTTTTAAACGTTAAATATTATCGGACGATTAAAAGAGTTGCAATTTTTACGCCTTGTCTTAAAAAAATTTCTCTATTGTGAACATGACCTTTAAACTGTTTTGTTGATACTTTTAGGCCACGTCCACAATGGAGAATTTTTAAATTTTAGGCCTAGGCAACAATAAAAATTCAGGCCTTGTCTACAAGAAAAAATTATGTCTCTATTGTGAACGTGACCTTTAAACTATTTTGTTGCTACTCTTAGGCCATGTCCACAATGGAGAATTTTTAATTTTAAGCCTAGTCAACAATAGAAATTTAAGTCTTGTATTCAAGAAAAAATTATGTCTCTATTGTGAACGTGACCTTTAAACTCTTTGTTGCTACTTTAGGCCACGTCCACAATGGAGAATTTTTAATTTTAGGCCAAGTCAATAATAGAAATACTCTAAGACCACTTCCACAAAGGAAAATTTTGAATTAAGACTCTATTGTGAATTCGTCCTTTAAAGCAAAAAAGCCTATAAAAATCGTTTCTATTTTTAGCAAAATTTTTCAATTTCATATTTTAAGGTCATTTCACAATGGAAAAACAAAAAAAAAACTTTTTTGAAAACAAACAGGCGTTCATATAGTTCATATCGACTCGAATTACACGAAGAGATCTCGACATTTTTATTTCTCGTTCGGCAAAGCACTTTTTCTTCTATCGTTCTACAATTTCATACCTTTCATCCTTTTTTCCTCTTATTTTTTGGTCCCTTGTATATTCCTGCGATATATCTCGAGGGGATCGAGACACTTTTTTTTACTAGCGTTCGCGGTGTCTAAATCGACTGTCAGCGACAGAAAAATGGCCCGTGAATCGATGGACTCAATGAGTTTGCACGTTTGCCTATTGTAACTCTCTCTCTCTTTCTCTCTCCCTTTTTTTACTCGCTCTGTACAAAATATGACAATATATTTTTCTATTTTTTGTAAATAATAAAAAAAAATTTTCTTTGGACTCATTTTTAGGTTAGGTTGCTTCCGAGAAATGAGAAAAATAACCAAGATTCACTCTGCACCTGCCCAACCCTGGTAAATTCAACAAGAAAATAAAATATACGCTTCGCGCCTACCCAACCCTGTCACATTTAACAAATTAGGGTACGTTTACACCTTCGGTAAAAATTTCCCGTTTTGGAAACTTTTACCGAAGGTGTAAACGTACCCTTAAAAACAAGGAACCAAATGTACACTTTTCACCGACCCAACCCTGTCAAATTTAACGAGAAACAAAAATATCCGTCTTGTGCTTACCCTACCCTGTCAAATCTGCTTATTTGTCAAAAATGACAGAGTTTCGGCTACAGAAAAGAAACTTTTAACAATTTTCATTAATATCTGGCGAAAAAATTAGCAGACAAAATTAAATATTCAAAGAAAAGAAAGAAGAAAGTTTATTTAAAGGTGTATTTATACAGTCAACTTTTTTTCACACACAGTTAAAAATCCATAACCTATTTTTTTCCACATTATCTTCTTCTTAATGCAACTTTAATCAAAAACTATTCCATGACAGATCGTAAAAAAATGTTTGTAGTTTCGAAAAATACCGAAACTAAAGGACTTTTTTAAAAAAGAAAACATTAATTTTACTACAATTTCCGGTTAACTGTATCGAAAATTTATCAAGAACTTGATTGGTCAAACGTTTTCGATTCACAAAACATCAAATTCACGAACTACATAAAAAAAGAAAGAGAGAAATGGATAGAAAAAAGAATCAAGGGAGGGAGGAAGAGAAGTAAAAAATTCTCCCCCTCCCCTCTCCCATCCCGATTTCAAATAGCGTTGAGTGGAAAAATTCCCGCATGGTTGGCATACACTTGTTTTGAAATCGACATATACGAAATATATCTCTATTCTCTCTCTCTATCTCTTTTTTTTCTTTTGCATCCATCCGGTGTGTTTACGTGACGTGCGCAAAATCAATTCGGTTAATTGAGAGACGAACACACTCGGGACTCGACTCTCATTTTTCCGGCTTCTGCGGATGTAGAGCACACTCACACACACAGATATAGAAAAAAAATAGTGGAGGAGCTGAATAAAAAAAAGAACCCCGAGAGGAATTTCGGATATGCCGAAAATGGTATCGGTGTATTTAATGACATTCCAAACGCGAAATACCACCGCAATAAAACTTTCGATGCAATCTGCACCTACGATACGATATATACTGATATAAATGTAAAACTCTGTGTCTCTATTTTCACAATTCGTCAGAAATGTTCATAAAGTTGGCTAAACGAGTAGTGGGAAGGTGGTTTGGATGAGAGAGAAAAAAAAAGAATTTAATTTCAAAAATACCGGAGAATAATTTTTTTTTAGAGTTTTTATTGCATTTTTTGGTTTGGGAAGAATAATTTTTACGAGAGGATTTTTTGCTGTGGGTTAATATTGAGGTTGATTCGAATTCACTTCGGAGGTAATTTAAATTTAATTTTTAATTAGGTGAAAAAGTTTATTGGTAACGAATTGGGAACGTGACACTCCGTAGGACATGAGAGCGAGTGAGAAGAAACTAGGTTTCTTTGTCGCTCTCGTTACCACCACTCCAGCGGGCGAAGGAGGCGGAGCGTAAGCGCAAGAGTGGGGCAATGGGAGCGAGCGAGAAGAAAGAGGACTTCTCTCTCGCTCTCATTGTCCCCACTCCGGCGCTTACGCTCCGCCTCGAGCGTCCCCTGGAAGTGGGGGTAACGAGAGCGAGCGAGAGAAGCGTTGACTTCTCTTTCGCTCTCGTGCGCTCGAGGCGGAGTGTCAGTTGCAGAGTGGGAGCGACGACATGCAGTAGGCGGAGCTTAATCTAAACTACGCTCAATCACAATTTTTTTTTGACATTTACAAACCGAAATCCATTCTTTTCACCATCCGGATTTAAAAGCACAATAAGAAGACAAAATTCCCCCTTATTTTCAACAAGAAATAATAATCAGAAAAATTGAAAAGACAATAAAAATAATCAGAATACTTGAAAAGACAATAAAAATAATCAGAATATACTTGAAAGGACAATAAAAATAATCAGAAACCTTGAAAAGACAACATTTAATTTTCCGAGATCGAAATCGTCGCACTCTTGGGCGATAATATTTCGATCGAATGTCTGGCCTCGCATGCCGGAAGCGGAAACCAGAAAATTACGTCACACTAGCCGAATGCGACCCGGTGCCGTGAATAATGTCGATGGCATGCGGTTCTGCAGTGGTTGGCAAAAGAGAGAGAGGGAGAGAGTTTTCAGGGCAAAACGCGTACAAAAGCCACTACACATTGTGCGTACAGAGGGAAATATATACGCGTGTCTACATAACCAGAGGCGCTTGGCTTTACCCCCCTCAACGAACCCCATTATCCTTTATGCCCACTCTCTCTCAGTTTCAATACTCTCTCTCTCCTTCTCTCAGTATTGAAAGAGAGAGAGAATATTGAAACTGAGAGAGAGAGAGAGAAAACCAACCCCTCTCGAATGCTGACCAAACGGCGGCAAATGTAAACGCACACACCACTGTCCACTCGACTCAACGAAAACCGTGCTTTGATTTATTAACCCAGCCCAATTGTTCGCTATTCGCTGTAATAATAATTCAGCTGTTGATTAAGCGGGTGGAGTTCATTTTTACGGCTGATTTATCCGGTGAATGTGCAATGGCACGCGAGCGATTTATTCTAATTTTTCTCCTTTTTTTTGCCTCTCTTTCATTTTTAAAAAAATGATATTGATTAACCCAGAGTGGTGTTATTAGTTTCACGATTCGAAATTGGTTAATAAAGCTAAATAGCGGAAATTGTTGGAAGGCTAATTAATTTTTTGTCACTTTCCCGTTTTATTTTTTTCCTGTAATAAAAATAGAATTTATTTACAAATGTTTACAATTTATTTTTTAAATTTATGTATTCTTATTTAAACTCACCACTAAGGCTTTTTTTTACCTTTAACTAAATTCTGGTTATTTTGAATTAAACTTTATTTTTGAGTAATAAATTTCACGAGGCCTTATACGGTTTAAACTTTATTTATTTTTAATAAACAAAATTGAAATAAATTCTATTAGAAGAAAACAGAATTCTATTATTAATTATAATAAAACATAAATTCTGTGAGAGTATACCACAGCGGTCACCCATCCAAATATTAATCGCAGTCAACGATGCTTAACTTCCGCGTTCGTAAGCCTTGGCGTTTGATCACCCAGGCTACTTCACTCTTTTTTCGAAAAATTCATTATTTATTGTGCAAAATTAGGCAAAAATTAGCGTTTTAATAAATTCTCTCGTTAAATTCGTCAATAAATGAGTAAAAAAAATAGCAGAGAAGGAATATTATTGAAAAAAATGGTAACAATATAAAAATAAATAAATGGGAAAAATTAACTCACCACTTTGAGTTTAGCCTGGATTTCTCGAAGTTTCCTCCTAGCAAGGACCTGTATGTGAGACGAGACTTGCTTTCGCGTTCTCGTCTTACCGGTCCTTAGTTTGATGTAACGTGCGATCAACTCATTGCGACCTGGAAAACAAAAAAAATTGTCAATTGTTAATAAATAAAAATTAAAAAAAAATAGGACCAAAGATCACAATGAATTTCCATTATTATTTATACTGTTAAGGTCCTTTAAATAAATTTAAAATTTCAAAAATTAATAATAAATTAATAACAATGGGGTATTAATAATAATAAATTAATAAAAAAATTAATGAATTTTTATTAATAAAAAATAATTAAGGCGAATAATGAAGAAATCGTAATTAATAAAAATATGTTAATATAATAAATATTAAAAATTTAAATAATAATAAATTTTGGCAATTTTTGTAAAGTGTTTTTCTTATTGCGAAAAGAATTTTTCTAAACAAAATCGAGTTTCGAAATATTTTCTAAGAGAGGTAATATCCTTGAGTAGATTTCTAAGTGCCGTGTAGAACAGTACCAGCTCAAAGCAAGAGGACGGCTTAATAATAGCGTTAAATTGATATTAATCGACATGCAGAGGGTAATTATATCTGCAGGCAGCCATTTGCTTCCAGTCCACTTGAAACAGACAGTTTGGCTCAACCAAGAAACACGATCGTAATTTTAAGATTGCCCGAGCTTTTCAAGAAACAATAATTTACACTCATTTTTTATTTCTAATCTCATTTTTTTGAAAATAATTTTTTTTCGATTTTTTTTTACTTTTTACTTTCATTTTATTTCCTTATAAAAATATTTGTATTTAAATATTTAATAAATGTTTATTAATAAATATTTTTAAATATATATTATTTCCTCTTATTCATTTCTTTACTCTTCAGTACTTTTTCCTGTTTTAATATCATTATGAATGAGGCTTTATGTATTTTTGTGATCTGTGAACCATTATTTATGTCCTTCAAGTTGTGCGCCGATACTTATATTTGTCCTATGAAATACACTTAATTGTTTTTCCAACACTGCAAACGGGGATTCACTAAATTTTGATTTTTTCCAAAAACTGGGATTCCCATCAATAAGCAATTTTTTTTCCCACTGTGAATGCAACTTTATATAATTCTAACCGTTTTTGTAACTCAATTAATTAATTATTACTATACTAATTAGTAAGAATTGTTATTATTTTTATTATTGAGCCTAACAATTTTTAGGCCTAATAAATAAATAATAAATTAGTTTAAAGGTGTATTCACAATTATGGAAACAAATAAAAAGACAGCAACTTTTTAACAATTTTTTCCCTGTTTAGTAATGAAATTAATTTATTATTACCAACTATTACTATTGAAATTTTAATAATTACTGTCTAATTATTTTTTTTCAAAACTTGTTTTGTGGTGAAACATAAAAAATTCGCCGACGAGGGTAATATTAAAAAATTAAGAAGCATTAACCGTAAAATGATCGTTTTGTGGTTGCACAAGTTTTTTTCAGCATAAGCTCCACTGAAATTGCCATAAAAAAAAGTTTTGAATACACGACCGAGGGCGAAGCGAATTGGTGCTTAAAGTAACTTCCGCGACGCGTGGCGAAGACCCGATACACTTCTCCGCAGTTAACTTTAATCTTCGTTCATTCCCCCCGGTGGGACATAAAATTTGCCCCAAAAATTGCCACGTTGAAAGGTGATGCCAACCACAGGGGAGAAAATAAAAATTACTAAACGAATTATCGATTGTGAATTCACCTTTTTTTTGTTTATATTAAGTATTTGTCACAACAAAAAAGTTGTAATATAGTGAGCAAAAAGGAAAAATATAAAACATATTTCGCAATAGAAATTTAAGGGATATTTCACAACGGGAACGTAGTGTGTGGTTCACATTAAGAATGTAAAGTAGAGTAGAGTAGAGTAGAGTAGAGTAGAGTAAAGTAGAGTCGACATAAAAGTAGTAAAGTAAAAAAAATTCTACAAATTACTGTGAACAAATTTTCACTCATTTTATATTCCGAATGTATTTAAATAATACAACAAATCCTCTTAACGTCTTTTATTTTTATTTTCTGTTTCCTATTATTATTGTTTTTTGCATTATTATTTCGTGTTTGAATTTTTCTTGCCTCTTTTCTTAAAATTACATTTTTCATTTAATCCCCCTTCAGAAAGGCAAAAAAAAAAATAAATGACATCCATGAATTCGAAATTCGAATGTCACGTTGAGAAAAGTACTAAAAATAAATACTCTCCCTCTCTCTCTCTCTTATTCACCCTTCGCCAATTCTGTCACCGGAGATTTCTTCTTTTTTTTGCGGTCTCCGGGAGATTTCGTTTTATTTTTCATTCTTTTCTTTCTTCCTTTTTTTTGTGTAGAGAGTGTGAGCAGTAGTGAATTATTTATTTCATCGCGCAATGTTTGCATTAAAAGAGCGACTTCTTTTAATCCACGGGTAGGATTAACAAATGCGCGAATAACGTCATTTCGCCCCGGAAACAAGTCGTATAATTAAACGAAACGGGCACTCGAGTCCGCTGAAAATTTAATATCCTCGTGGAGAAAGAGAGAGAGATAGAGATAGAGAGAGAGAGGCCTGGTTACCCCAGACCTTACAACCATTCTTTCAAGGCGCTTTCCTTCGTCCTGACACTTATAAGACCTCATCCCCCCACATTCACCCTTCCTGACCCCTCAAGCCACCGTTAAATTCTCTTCATCCCTGACCTCTTGCCTTCCCCCCTCCCCCGCCCCCTTCCTAACTCTCCACAATCGCCTTCTACTTCCAAGTCCATCCAACGATCCTTTTAATGAATTTTCAGGGTAAACGCGAGCCACTGGATCTCTGAAAGTTCGTTAAGCTCTAATTGCAAACTCGACTGTCGATTATTGCTAATAATCGATTACAATTTAACGCTGTGGTAAATTTTTATTTCGAAAAAAGTGGATGAAACTCTTAAAAAATTATTTTTTTTACTTTAATTTTATTTACTTAGTTTTTCTGAGGTTTGAAATTTAATAGTTCGGCATTGTGAATGATCCTTTAGAATCCTTTAGAAAGTCTTTCTTTTTTTACTTTTGTGAAGTATGCTTTACGTTCCCTTTGTTTCAGAATTGGGAAATTTAGTAAACAGCGATATTGGCACGAAATACATAAAGGGTTGTTCATACACTACAGTTTTCAGTTATTCACAATCTAAAAAAGTAAAGTGTCATTCATAATCCAGAAAAGTAAAAGGGTACTCATAGTCCATAGAGAGTAGATTAGAATTGAACCCTAAACGGTTAAGGGGTTTTCATAAACCGAGGAAAGTAAAGCTTCATTCATACCCCAAAAGAATAAAGAGGTTTCCATAAACCGAGGAAAGTAAAGCTTCATTCATAACCTAAAAGAATAAATGGGTTTTCATAGACCGAAGAAACTAAAGCTTCATTCATAACCCAAAAGAATAAAGGGGTTTTCATAAACCGAGGATACTAAAGTAAAAGTAAAAGTCACAACCCTAAATAGTTAAAGGGGTTTTCACAATCCAAAGAAGGTTATGTTAATTTAATGCGACCCTCATAGACCATGAGGAAAATAAATAAAAGAATAGAAATTCACTCCCCGCACTTAAGGCTCATTCACAATGGGAATATTGCGAAAGACCAAAACTAAAAGAAACAGTATAAAAAAATTTTCACATATTTGGTAATAATTGAAAGTTATTTCTCCAGGAGAACTCGAATACGCAAATGGGAATTGGGATATAACATCGGGAGGCGAGAATCTGTCTGTATTTGCGATTGTCGTAACCATATTGCTAACGTTATTTCAATTACGTCACATTTCATGTTGCCTGGGCGCCCGTTTTATGATCACGACCATAAACCTTAACGGCTGTGAAATCTAAGCAGCGATAAGCCTCAACGCCGGAATATCCTTTATTACACGATCCACCACCACCACTATCGCCAAACTTGAATCAATCCATTCACACGTATCAATGCAACATCCACTCTCACGAAATTTCCATCCCCCTTAATTATCCTTTTTGGCTTTTACGAGAAATTCCAATATAGACACCATTAAAATTTACGACTAAATTAAACCATACTTCTAATCTTCTATTCTCAATATTTCATACATCTTGATGTAAAATATATTTTATTTTCTCCTGGCAAAAAAAATAATTCCAATATTCCATAGAAAACATTTTGAAGAATATATAGATAACTTCTTATATATTCGAAAATTTGTTTGTAGAAAGAAAGGAAAAAAAAATTGTCACTGAAAAAAAGAAAGTCAAAGCTGAAAAGTCAGAGGATTTTCCCGGTGACGTCAATGAATTATTTTCCCCTTGTGAAAAAAAGTCCTTTTAAAGTTTCGAGACACATTTTACGTTCATCCGTAACGTGACTGGCTTTTTTAAGACCTCGAATTTGTTTTTTTCTTTTTTTTTATCTAAACTTGCAAAGTTTTTGAGAAAAGAGAGAGAGAGAGAGAGAGAGAGAGAGAGAAAAAGCAAAAGAAGAATATCGGTGTTTGTATATATAGGGAAAAAAATGCTTGATTTTCAAGCAACTAGCATGAGTCATGAGTCACGACATATACCGTTGACCCCTTGTTAATTACTACTTAAGTTTCACTAATGAGAGTCTTTTCCGACTGGCGTGACGAAATGTAAAAGGGTTTTTTAAAATGCAATTTTTTACCAGTTTCGAGTTTTAAAAATATATTTTGCAAGGTTAAACGTAAGTTTTTATTGTCAGTAAATTAGTTTTTTTGGTACTTGTTTTTTTTGTAAAATTTTTGGTTCTTCGGGAGAATTGCTATTATTTATATATTTATTATTACTATTAAGAGAATTTAATTAAATTAAATTCGAATTATTTGGAATTTTTTTTTTGTTATTTTGAAGCAATGTGTACGGTACTTAATTTTTGTGTTGTGAATGCCACTTTATATTTTGTTATAAAATATAAAGTATATTATTATTATTAGACTATTATTATTATTATTATTATAAACAAATTAAAATAATTTTGTACGTAAAGTAGAGCCCACACCAAAATAGTAAAGTACCGTTCACAACGGAAATGTAAGGCAGAGTCCACACCAGA